ACAGACTTCGAAGTTACCACAAAAGTCATTCCTCCAACTGTCGCCAGTGATCCGATAAACGATATACATACTCGAACAGTGGAGGGCCGATTGGTGGAGAGGGGGGTGGGAAGGAGTGATGAACAGAAAGAGTCCATCGGGCTGACATCTATGGCCATCGAGTACACATGTCTGTGGATAGATGGATCTCTGACAAATAGTAGCATAGTTCTCCCCGTTCCCATTCCCATTCCCATCTCCATACACGGCCACGTCCTCGTTCACCTCTTTATCCCTGTCCCTGTCCCTGTACCGTCCCCTGTCCCTGTCCCTGTCCGTCCCCGTCACTGTCGTCATTCCGGCCACAAAAGCACGGACTTTTCAATGGGACTTCCTTACCTTTCCGTTGAATCTTTTTTTTTTTTTTGTATTTTCTCGTTTTTTATTTTACGAGTTTTTCTGCTCTTTTTGTTTCCGTTGTCACTCGTTTTCGGTTTTTGTTGACAAATCATTCTATGCGTGTGCTGCGGGTGGATGCCAGCGAAAGAATGTCGGGGGCTGTGCTGTGGCAAAGGGCACAGTGGACAGAGAACAGAGTACAGAGGACAGAGTACAGAGGGCAGAGGGCACAGCAGTCAGGTGGTCCATTGTCCGAGGCAACTGGCATATCATTCATTCACCTGGGCAACGGATGCGCCGATGTCGAGGCAACGTCATCTGGCGCTTCAGAATGCGCTCGCCCAAATATTCTCACAGATGAGTGTGTGTGTGTGTGTGTGTGTGTGGGGTGAAGGGGAAGGGGAGGCTGGATGGAGGCTATATGTAAGTATATGCTCCACAAAGAGTCCCTGCATCAATGGGTCAGTTTGAGGCAACGATGACGAGATTATGCTCATTAGAGTGAAGGCCTCGTCTGCCAGTTGGCAGTAGGCAGGCAGGCAGGCAGGCAGGCAGGCAAGCAAGCAGGAGGATGGGAATACCCCGCCTGTCGGTGGTGGAAACAATGGGGATTGGGAACCAGAGGATTGCGACCGGTACGTGGCATACACTGCGCCAACCAAAAATAGCGCAAAGAGATCAGGCACGCCGATACAGCTGGAGTGTTTGCGTTGTGGAGGTCTAACTATTTTTGGAAACAAAACCCTCGCAGACCTCGAAAGTTCACGAAAATTAAGCAACGCTCTTTGACCTGCCCGTGCCCAAAAAAGGCCTAATTGATGGACAGTTTGGGGACACTGCCAATTAAGTAACCACATTAATAGATGGAAAATAACTAAGATTGACATGTTGTTTTGACCAGGAAAATATAAGACCAGTTAGGACTATTTTAAATCAATATTTGGGGGGGTTCTTGGATAGTTTTCATTCAGATAAGAATCATAAGAAATAGTAGAAAATAGTAGAAAATATTAGAAGAAAATGTAGATCTATTGAGATCTTGTGTGTACCATAGAGTTCCTCCCACTCTCTATATACATTTGCCTACACTCGTACTAGCCGTGTTGTACCGTTCCGCAAAGATATAGCCATCAGTGGCTTGTGAGTGTTGATAGAGCCAGAGACAGAACCAAAGCCTAAGATCGACTGGCACTCGGGAACTACTTTCCATTCAGAGGAGCAACTTGAAAAGAGTTTCGGTTCACAAAGAGATTTGAAATGCTTCCCCATATAAATCCCGTAATTCTAAGTTAATTGGGTTGTCAATTGATGGGAGAGAGCAGATAGCGAGGGGCAGTGCAGTGGAAGAGCAACAGCAAGAGCAAGAGCGAAATTGGGAGCAGGATTGGCACTGCCCGCCCGGTTTGAGGGAAGAAACTTTGTTGGCCAACGAGTTGGCCTGTCTCTCTCTCTCTCTCTCTCTCCTGCTGTGACTCTGTAACTGTGTGTTTGTGTTTCTGTTTCTGTGTGTTTGTGTGTGTTTCTGTGTTTGTGTGCTTGTGCTGTATGTAGCTCGTTTCACTCGGCATTTGTGCAATATTTTCTCATGAATTGACGTGCCCGGTTGATAGGCTTCTGCCTGGAATGGCAGGAGTTTTGGCTGGGCTGGGGCTGGGGCTGGGCTGGGCTGGGCTGGGCTGGGCTGTGCTGGGGGCTGGGGCTCGCTGACGGAGGGCTGGTGCTGCAGCGGGTGAAGGGTTGGGCTTGCCATTATTTGTATGGCCTAAAACTTTTTCGTAATGCCCTGATCAATGCACAGAGCATGGCCGTATCGGGCTAGAGCATGGGCAGTGGGCAGTGGACAGTGGACAGTGGGGTGAGATGCGAGGGTTGAGGGCTTGTTGGCAAATTCAATTGGAATTGCATTTGAAATCATTTTGGCATTTAGCATTATTATACATATTGTTAGGCACAAAAATGCCGGCCGATACAGCTACCGATATGGAAATTGTTGTGCTTGTGTCAGTTTCAATTTACCACAATTTGCACAATTTATTTGCTTTGACTTTGACTCTTCAACCCCGGTCCAGCATCGAGCCTAGCCTCCATGCACCATGCACCATGCACCACGCTGTGCCTGTACAGTGCCGTCCCAGGGCCGTCGTGCCACAATATGCCACATTTCATAGAAACCGTATACAATTCCCAGCTTTATTTCATTTCATTTCATTTCATTTCCATTGCATTGCATTTTGCTGTGCATCGCATTGCGATGGTAACTTTTTTGCTGCCTGCCCCAAAGGCATGTACTAAATTGCTTGTTTTAATTCTTTTTTATTGTTATTTTATCTGCTGTGGTGGTTGCTGGCCACCTAGATTTGGCCTGGCCCTGACCAGCGGAGCGAATGCATTGCCAAAGTGTTGGCCATAATCAATTTGATTTGCCGACAATCAACTGGCCAAGCGCGTCAAAAGGATTCTATGGGCATTATCAATACGAATCGCATTTCATTACAGCATTTTCATTTGAAATGCCTGAAATAGGTTCTCCCCCTGCCCGCTCTGTTGCAGCCCGCACTATCATCCTACCGCACGATTTGAGCAAATGAAAACCGCAAATTGCCAAATTAAAATGCAACACATTTTCCCTTAAAATATTGCGCTGAAAAGCATTTGCAACAAATTAATAAAGCATGCTTTTTGGGGCCCAAAAGTGGGGCACAAATAATTTCACTCTGCACACATCCATGTGAAATGAGCCCGATGGAAAACTTGCACAAAGTTTTAATGTGCCTAATCCCATCCCCATACCCCCCATATCCCCCCACATACCCTCCGCAGTTCACAGTCTCCCCATCCTTTTTGTATTTATCTAACCCCATTAAGGCTGCCAGCAAGGGCTCAGCTTCGGCTCCGGGATTAGGCAGCGTAACAACAACATTGTGTAAGGTCAATCTGTTCTACTACTTGCGATCCACATGACCTGCACATGGCAGTGGCTGTGGCTGCCATGGCTACAGTTAGATGCAGGGTGCAAGGTGCATGATGCAAGATGCAAGATGCAGGGTGGTGGTGGTGCCGGGGCAAGGGTGGGATAGCCTTGTCATCGTTATGCTGGTGGTAAGAGTCCTTGACGGGGCCGAAGAAGCAGAAATGCAGGTCCGTAATGGCATTCCAAGGTCTTAACAGTGGCGGCAACGCCTTAGAAGCTATGCTAAATGTTTAACAGCGCTCAGGGGAACAGTCCCCCAACAACAGCTTGGGGTAGGTAAGTAAATTTTTAACAGCTTGGGGCAAGCGTCCACATCGTAAGAGCTGTTCCGACTCTATAACAGCTCGGTTAACTCCGTTATATAACTGCCTACCCCCCCACTCCACTCGTGGGCCGTTAACAGCTCTGCAGGCAAACCCGCAAAAACTTTGCTAATCCTTGTACAGCCATGCTTATGACATCACAGCAATGCGGACAGTTTGTTCTAGAGAGGTGAAGAGGTGCACTGCTTATGTATAGATGAGATGTGGTAGCAGCTGCAGAAAAGCAAAGATTTAGCTTCAACGACTTCCTACATATATGTAACATGTAACAGCTATATGTAACACCTATGTATACGTAACAGCTGCGCTGCTAAACTTCGTAACAGCTATGTTAAGGCCATGAATAGCTCTGCTAAGTCCTCTGTTTTCTGTTTTTTTGTTTGTTTTGGATAACTGTAACCGGCATGTCGAAGCTTGCATCTATCCTATCGTTATATGTAATATGTGTAAATATGTATTATGTGCAGCCTTTACATCTCTGCAAACCCCTTAAAAGCTCTTGCAACTCCTTAAAAGCTCTGCCAAATCAGCTTGTCAAATCGAAGCTTGCAGTCCACAGAAAATCTACCCCTTCGGTAGAACAGAGACCAAGTGATGCTCGCGTGCCACGACACGCGGGCTCGTTCGCAGCGTAACTCGAACCTCATTGAAACATGAGCTGGACTTCCTCAGAAACTTGACCAGTCATAGCCACAAGCCGAAACAAGCCTTGGATAAACTGTTTAAGCTAATTTAAAGTCACATTGCTTCATTCCATTTATAAAGAGAATGCAGCGTACTATTTTAGCGCTCCATTTCTGAAAATCTAAAGCATGAATTATGGTATCACATATGAAATCTATTGCTCAGCTCTCGTTTATGGCGTTTTTTAGGTACATTTAAAACCATAACGGTATGGCTAAGCATTTTATGGCACATTTTGTGGACTTGACCAGCCATAATGGTATGGCATAAAGGTATAATGGCCGCCATAATGTTATGGCATAAAGGTATAATGGCCGCCATAATGTTATGGCATAAAGGTATAATGGCTGCCATAATGGTATGGTTAAACGTTTTATGGTCATCTCTTGTCCTGAAGCTCAGTTTAGGTCGAAATTAAGTTCATTTTTGGGACAGGACAGCACAGGACAAGGACACAAACCCTGTCTATCGATTGCAGCTCGATTGCAGCTTATCGTGTGCGTGTCAGTGTGTGTTTGTGTGTGTGAATGTGTGTGTGTAAGAAAGAGAAAGCTTGTGGGTCGGCCCAAAAAGTGGACCAAAGTTTTGTTGTTTCTGTCCCTTCCTGTTTTGCTCTGTTTCGCCTCTCAGTTGGCCGCGACTTTTTGCACAAACGGTTCAGCGAGAATGTTTAGCATATTGCTTCCTCGCTGCTGCTGGTGCTCCCCCTTCGTGTGATTCCAGTTATTGTTAAAAGTGTTAAATTCCTCAAGCAGTACAATGATGAATAACTGTTAATGATAGTGTGTGCCTGTGCCGTGCCTGTCACTGTGTATAAGCGAAAGCCAAGCTAAAAGGTAAGCGAAATGTGCTGCTGCTGTACTCTTTTGTTGATTTTTATACAATACATATGTATGTAGTTGTTGCTGCTGCTGCTGTGCTATTTTTTTTATTGTTTTTGTAGCTGTGCCATCTTAAAGTGTGTAACTAAACGAAATGGTATAGGGTTCAGGTGTATAGGGTTCAGGTGCTATCTTTACTGGCTTTTGCTGGCACGATTGCCACGAAAAACCTCCGAAAATTAGTAAACCGAAAATGAACTGTAATTGTGGCAGAGTTGTACTGGCAGGAATGTGTGTGTTCAAATGTGGGTGACCGTGCGTATATTTCTGCAATTCGGGCAACTTGCTCTAGATTTGTTGACCCCAACCCCAACCCATTCCGTTTGTAGCTTATCCTGCTCTGCCTGCTCTGTTTCTGCCTCTGCCTCTGCTTCTGCCTCTGCCTCTGCTTGCTTGCTCTCTGCCAGTAAATCTTTCGCTGCCGCTTATTTTAATTCTGGCCTTTACTTTTTCTATGAGTGGGACCCCTTTCTCTGCCGGCACGGCACCTATTCATCTGAATGTCTGCCTCTGCCCCTGCCCCTGTCCTGCCATGCCGCTGCCCTTACCTCTGCCAAAACCTCTGGCGCTCTACCACTTTTTGATTACTTTGACTTTCGTTTGCTTTTCACTCTTCATTTCACCATAAAAAACATTCATTTCTGATTTCCTTTCTCTTTTGTTTCATCATGCTCCGCTGAGAGAGGGCACGGAACGAACAGACGCATCTGCGGGAGGGGCAAGTGGCAGAAAGATGAGGAGCGAAGCGAAGCTTCTGTCCGAGGGTAGAGAGACCGATTACAGTTGTCTTCTGACGTGACTAAAGTTCATTTTTATTTTCGTTGCTGCCTTTGTTGTGCGTCCAACGGTCGCTTCGCCACAGTGTCCCATTTTTGGTGCGGCTGTGAAGCAGAGCAGCCGCGAAAAAGAGGTCACTAGCCAGCCGGCAGCACTCCACATCTTCTTCCTCTTCCTCATATTCGCTTATTGGCTTACGAGTATGCGGTGACAGTTTCAGGCCTATGCGATAATACATACAAATGTACACATGTATTGTACATGTATACGTACATATTTGTATATAACAAAAATATGCACATACATATGTGTGCACATACCGTGCTGCATATTGCCGCATTGGAGCGGCAACAAAAGACAGAGCCAGAGCCAGAGCCAGTGGAATGACCTCGCAGTAGGTTAATGAAAAGTGGCACTGTGCTGATGCTGCTGGCTGCTGGCTGCCTGCCTCTGTACCACCATTGCTGCAAAAGTTCTGCTAAGCTGCTGGCACCGTAGTAGTAGGTGTAGCAGTAGTACTGGTGGTGGCAGCATGATATGTGACCAGATAAGTGGGCTGCCTTGTCGCCCTGAGTATGCATGTGTACTCGTGTGTGTGTGCGGGAGAACGGAAGATTGCGAAAGGCTGATTAACCGATTACTACACCCGTTAATTAGAGGGTAGTCGGGGGTAGATAGAGCTGAAGGCAGCGACTGTCCTGCTGCGACTACCCAAGTAGGGCATGGACAGCACACGCAGGGCAATTTGTGGGACTGTGAAGGGAGTGTCTGTACAGAGTATGCAAAGGGCGACCCACCATAGCCAGGATTCACACAATGGAAGCAGAATACACTCACGAAGCGTACAAGGATGTGGAATAGATAGTGATAGACCTGCAGGCAGCAGATTGTCCATACAGGCATAGGGCATGGAGACTCTCTCTCGCTAATCCGCACAATGCGAACTACAGGGTATGCACAGAACGACCTGCTCTGCGCTGTGCCTGGGAATAATTAGACAGAAGCTCAATGAACTGTGCAAGTGGGTGGAAGGGGACAGAGTGTGGTGCATAAATTGATTATATATGAGGGCTTAATACAACGTTTTAATGAACCATTCACTTCGCAGCTCTAAAAGCAATTTTATTCGGCCGGAGAAATAATCCCCATCCAAGCCCTGTTACTTAAATCCCGTTGAGTGCCTGGCAACGTCAGCTAAAACAAGAAAGCAGTGCGCGAGAGAGAGAGAGAGAGAGACCAGGATGAGTGCAATGCATTGTCAGTATTTGCTTCTCCCTCCTCCCACGCTCTTCTCTCCAACACTCTCGTTCAATAATCCGCCTAAGTCCCGTTGCCTAAACTCTTTGAGTGCCTCTGCTCGCCTGCCTGGCCTGCTTGGTGACGCCAACGAGAGCCAGAGGCTGAGAGAGAGAGAGAGAGAGGTTCTAGGTGTGGGAGAGCCGGCAGGCAAGCTGCTTGCTGCCAAGCGACAATGATCCATTGTCAGCGTTTGCTTTGCCGACCGACCGACCGCCCGCCCCCCTCCCTCCTGACACCTCTTTTGCCGCTTCGCTTTGATGTGGCAATGCTGCGTCTCTGGTTACAAATTCAATTGAAAAAACTGTCAATATTTGAGATTGAGAAGCAGAGCACGGGCACCTGCCCACGCCCACATCTCGTTGATGAGGCAAATCGTCGACTGTAAAGCGATGCGAGATGAAAGTGTTGCCACTATACTCGCCTCACCCCTCACCCCTCACCCGTCACCCCTCAACACCGCCAGCAAGGCAACCCATTCCACACATCATTTTCCAATGAAAACATTTGGGTTTTATTTTCGTTTCTATTTTTTTATGGTGATGAAACTTGTAAGGGGAAGCTCCTCTCCTCCTCTCCCCACCCACCCACTGACTCATTTCCATTTGCAGGAAACTCAGGAAATGACCAGCGACTGGTAGAGGGGAGAGCCAGCATGGATGGGGTACCGTCCCTGACAATGACCTTCACCAGCCTGGCTCTGCTGCTCCTGGTGCTGATCACGGGCCTGCTGTTTGCCTGCCACTGCCTGGGGCACCGGGCGGCCAGCTGGATGCGGATGCGCTCCAGCAAGGAGGAAAAGATCGGCCTCTCCCATCACAAGCACAAGCTCTTCCATGCCAACGGCTATATGGCCAGTGTAAGTTGTCGCCTCCTGATATCGACTGTTCCTATCGTGTGTTATCGTGTATCGATTGCCCACCACAGATCCAATCGGGCTCCGAGTTCCTGCTGAGCACCAGCGGCAGCTTCAAGCGCTTCGACACCATCGACAAGGACGACCACAATCGCTCCCAGCATCTGCTGTTGCTGAACGGCGGAAACGGTGGTGCTGGCGCCGGAACGGCCACTACAGGGGCCTCCTCCACATTGGAGGCCACCACGCCGCTGTGGAACTTGCCCCAAGGGGATGTTGGCATTCCGCCGCAACCACTGCGCCCGGCTCCTGCCCCGAATAGCGCCGGACCCAGCAGCAAGACCGTGACGTTTTCCTTTAGCCAAGTCAACGAGCTAGCCTCTCCCACAGCCGACGGCGGCTCGGAGCCGGATCGCCGCTCCTGTTTGCGTTCGCCCCTCCGCCACAGCGGTGGTGCAGGCGGAACTGTGGTGCCACAGCCACTGGAAGCACCGCCGCCGCCGCGACTCACAACCTCCGCCTCCGTCAACCTGTCGGCCACTGCCATTCCACGTCCAATTGCGAAGCGGCAGGTGTCCCTGCAGCAGGGCATCAACCGGAGCGGCGAGGTTGCGGTCGGAGGCCCACTGACGGCGCAGGTGCAGCAAGTGGAGCCCCAGTTGGAGGCGGAGGTGGAGAGACGCACGCCGGCGTTAAAGCGCCGTAACTCTAGCACAAATCCCTTCCTCTGCGAGTCCATTGAGCACGTGCCGCCAGTCCCAACTGAAGCTCCAGCACCTACTTCCACTCCAACGCCCGCGGCAGCTGCATCTGCACCACCCATGCAGCCCATGACGCAGCCCCAGCACAACGGGAATCCCTTCGCGGAGTCGCAGAGTCTGTCCAGTCGGCTGCTCAAGTTCCACAATACAACGAATCCCTTCACGGGTCTGGGGCAGCGCGTCAAGGGCCCCCACATGCTGCAGAAAACCATCTCCGAGGACTATCTCTTCCGGAAGCTGGGCATGAACGGGCCCCTGGCCAATGGCAATGGCCATGGCCAGGCCAACGGTAACGCAAACGGAAATGGCACTTGGAGCTTTGGCCGCTCTCTGATGCGACAGGACTCGACCCTCAGTCTGGGCCTGGGCAGGCGCAACAGCTCGCAGATGTCGCTGGACGCGAGCTCGGCATCGGGATCGCTGGAGGGCATTAACCTGGAGCGGGCCATCTCCTGCGATTCGGTCAACTCGGACTCCACCCTCTTTCTGGACCAGCTGGATCAACCCTACACCCAGATCACCGGATATCTGTGCATTGGCCTGCACTACGACAAGTAAGCAAGAAGTTCGATTGCCCCTGTCCATCCACTCATTCTGGTTCTGGTTCTGGTTCTGGAATCGATTCTCTGCAGAAACAGCATCAGCAACGAGGGCATGGAGCTGACTGTGAGCGTGCTGGAGGCCAAGGGTCTCATTTGTCCCTTCAGCGTGGAGTCGTTGGATACGTTTGTGCGGATCTATCTGGTGCCCGATCACCCTGGCGCCATGCAGACCAAAGTGAGTACATTTCATGGATGCTTCGCGGTAGCGATGCTCAACGATAAATGCGTTCATTTAGGTGGTCGACTCCACGCTAACGCCCAGCTACAACGAGAGCTTCAGCTTCTGGCTGCAGAAGAAGCAGGTGCGCCACTCGCTCTGGTTCCATCTGTACCACAATGGGCCTGCCCACACGCTAATTGGGGAGGCGGAGATGGAGATTGGAGAGCTGCCGCGGCCCATCACCACCTGGATACCGCTGTCGGACTCCAGGAAGTGCAACGCCCGCTGGGGCGAGCTGATGTTCTCGCTGAGCTACCTGCCCACGGCAGAGCGACTGACCATTGTGGTGGTGAAGGCGCGCAACCTGAAGCTGGATGTGGAGCAGCCCAGCGCGGACATTGTGCAGAATGTCTTCGTAAAGGTATGGACTAGGGTATATCACAGTACATCACAATATAATGAAACCACATTCAAAACAGGTTTACCTGATGAACAACGAGAAGAAGGTGCTGAAGAAGCGCACCTCGCTGAAGCGCAAGGATCGCTGCCCCATCTTTAACGAGTCGATGATCTTCAGTGTGCCACCGCAGAGCCTGACCACGGCCCAATTGCGTCTCACCGTGTTCGGCGTGACCACCGAGGGCGGTATTCTGCCGCTGGGCCATGTCATTACCGGCAGCTGTGCGGTCGGCAAGGGACTGCGCCACTGGCATCAGATGCTCTCCTCGCTGCGCAAACCTGTTGCCATGTGGCATGTCCTCCGTCGGGCCGTCAATCAGCCGATTTTCACGGGCGGCGCCGAGGCCGTGGTGGCCGCCATGCAGAGCACTCTGCAACGGGCCAGCGCCAAGCGGAACAGCATCGTTTAGGGCACAGCATCGGTGCCCTCTGATCTGATCGGATCGGATGGGATCGGATTGTATGGGCTGGGATAGATTTCTCGCTCGACCGCTGATGTGCGCTGAGGCATTAAATTTAGCGTATTTAGTTGGAAAACCCTTCTCTCCCCCCCCCCCCCCCCCCCCCCCACCACATCCCACTTGTTTGGCGAACCCTTTGAGATGCAACGAAAAGAAGACAGAAATGCTATATGGGATGTGGGATGGGGGGGATGCACCCTCTGGAACCCGCTAAATTGCATTTACTAACTTTCTTACTTTTCTACTGCTTTCCCCCCAACACACACACACTCTGCCACACTGCCCTTGTGTATCCCCCCACGTGTATGCCCCAGTCGAGTCGGGAGAATTAGAATCAAATTTACTACAAGTATTAATTAATATAGATAATATAATAATCGAATCGAGAACAGAACAGAACAGAACCTAAACCCGCACCAAAGGACAACACGAGCCTATTAACTAGTTATACATATTAACATTGTCGCGCACTAATTGTTATCGGATGTAAGATTTATACTATGATATATATACATATATACCAGACTATATATAGAGTCAGAGAGTACCCCCGCACTTGTTGAGATTTTCGTTCATCGTCGCATACAGCCGGGAGATTAATTGTTTGTCTGTATAACATACTTCATTTCCGCGTGAATAACGGACAGCTGAAGAAATATAATGAACTGGAGTTCATGAAGCGGAGTATGCGTAATACTGACTGCAATTATGATTATCCCGTGCGCTGTATGAGCTAGCCCAGCTACCTGTGAGCCTGTTATACATATGTATGTACAATATGTATTACTCGTACAACTCTATAGATAGATAGATAGATCGATCGATCGTCATTTGGCAATCAATCGTTGTTGAATTTGAAACTCAATCGAGAAGCGTTAAACCCCTTAAGCATTGTGATATGATGATATGATATAAAATGAATTCAACAGAGCAAACCTTAGCGAACCAAATCAAATTACACCCATATGTATTTACGATTATTCTATAACAATCCATAAAGAACCGAAATGTACGGAACCGTATTATACGCATTATGCTAACTAATTTGTAGTCGTTGAAAGGGGAGCAAGATTTCTTATGTGATTTGCATTTTGTGTAATGTTTTGCCATTGGTATTAGTTGAAACAGTCAGGAGTCAGGGGATGATCTAGTTATAACCTTTACACAAGCATACACAGACACACATAAACATATGGATTTCCATTTAGAAACGAGTTTTTTTTTAACAGTAAGGGACAATAACTTTGCAAGCATTTATAATTAAATTTATATCGAGTTATTATCAAACGAAAATCAAAGAGTGTTCGTTAACCCCAAAGGGGTTCCTCCGCAGCCCTTTAGCTACATACATATATAATATAGCACATTAAAATTATGTATCCGTTTCCAATAGTGTTCACTCACTTTCAGCCTTTATTGAGAGCCTGGCACACTTTTTTTGCCAGCTGATGCTTTAAAAATCTGGTCACATAAATCCCTTTCTGAATCTCACCCAATATACATACATACTATACCTATAGATATGCAGACATTCCCTACTAAGTATGAGATTGTGAGTTTTATTGGATAATTATAAAATGGATGAAATTATGGATAAAAGTATAATCTAAAAATTTGATAAGTACAATCGAAATACATCACAACTCAATTCCATAGCATAGCCTCGCCAATCGATTACGCTTTCGATCTTCTTTCGTATTTATTCGATAATGTATTTATCATTCTTTGACGGATATAATTTGACAGTCGAATTGATTGTCACTGAGCCGCATTCAATCAGAGAAACTATGAAAGAAAATTCCATTATTCGTATGTAATCGTGCCCTTGAAAGCGCTGCCTTATAGTAGTGAAACGCACTGTATGCATACATACATATATATATACCTATATAGGAAGAGAGCATTTAAGGGCGAGTCCTTTTCCCCGATTTACCAATATACATATATGTATACTCGTATTCAACTGAAGAATCCAAAAATCCGAATCAGAAAAGTGGAGAAAAGTAAAAAATATATAAAACACTTTTTTTTGTTGTTGTTGTTATTTTTCATACAATATAATTGATTGTTTGCTAAACTAATATTACAAGAACTAGTTGAAATCGTGTTGAATTTGTATTTATATAGAACTATATATACATGCATATACAAATACATATAGGGGCAACTACATACATACATATATGTATAAGATAATGAATGCTACAAATTGTTAAACCAATCAAAAATAAACCAGAATTGAATTATGCTCGTATTTATGATACTGCTATGGGACTCGTGGACGAAAGCAAATCAATATGCAATTTGACTAGAGCCTTTGTCCAAACACAGATGTGGCCGCTGCGGACGAGGGGGGCTACACTACAGATAGAGATACAATACTGATGCTGATGCTGCTGCTGATGATGCTGATGCGAGACATCTGTGCCGCCATTGGAGCGTCTATTTTTAGGGGCAGCGATTAGCAGCCAATGGCAGGCAGGCCGAGCATGGCAGGGCAGGGCAGGGCAGGGCAGACCAGACCACTTGACGCTGCCGGAGCTGCTCCGACCGAGCAGACTGTCTGTCTGCCACGGAGGAGTCGGTAGTCTGGTAGTCAAGTAGTTGCGGTCGCTGTCGTCGCTGGCTTTGACTTTGGGTCTTGGGTTTAAATGTTCGCCACTCTCCCGCGATCCTTTCAGTCGATCGTTAGCCGCGACCGTGATAGCAAGGATGAGCCAGATATCGCTGAAGGAACGCCGCCTCCTGCGCACACCCAAGTGCGCCCGCTGCCGCAACCACGGCGTCATCTCGTGCGTGAAGGGCCACAAGAAGCTGTGCCGCTGGCGCGAGTGCTGCTGCCCCAACTGTCAGCTGGTCGTCGATCGCCAGCGGGTGATGGCCGCCCAGGTGGCCCTGCGCCGTCAGCAGACAATGGAGGCCCTGGAGGCATCCGCCCAGACATCGCATCCAGCCACCGCATCCAGTAGCGAGGGCGAGGAGTCCCTAACTTCAACGTCGCCACCACCACCTCCGCCTTCAGCAGCCGCCTCCACATCCACATCCACATCCTCATCAGCCACGCGCCAGGCACTGATTGCCCAGAAAAGGATCTACAAGCAGCGACTGCGCAACCTGCAACAGTCCACTTTGCACATCACAGCAGCCATGGAAGGTTAGTAAGAGATCCCATCCCGTCCGATCATACCCCATCCCATTCCATCCCATCCCATCCCATCCACACTTGCCCATCGCCATGCGGTGCCAGACTGTCTGGCTCGGCGACGAGTAATTGGAGATCCTCTCCATCTCCGTGTCTGTCGGGGCACACAGGAAATGACTGATTCCCTGCAACAACAATGACAACAGCAAGTTATTAAAACTCGAAAGAGAAACAATGGAAATTGGATGCCCTGAAATGTGTGCGGTACGCACGCACATTTCCAATCACTTGAACGGACGGACGGACTGTCCGCACAGTCGCATTCTGTAAGTGGATACGCGACCAAAACGGAAAAACCTCTTGAGACGAAAACACAATGTGGCAACACCAACAAATGACTTCACTTCGTACTGTTATTACTGTTCTGTCCTCCATCTGGTTTCCAAGTAACTGCAGAATCTCCCAATTTGGTGCCAGGCTGTCTGGACAGTGTGTCTGTGCCGTGGACCAGGCCGAGGGCCGCTCATATTACCCGAAAACAACAAAAAAAAAACCCCCGACCCAATAGGATTCGGGCGGCTGAACGAATTACGGCAATTTGTACTCCGTCCGCCACTGATAACGCCCCCACATTGCACCGTTACTTATCCGACTCTCCTTGTGTTTGTCTTTGCAGAGTACAAGCAACGGTTTCCCACGTTCAGCTCTCCGCTGATGGAGCGAATGCGCAAGCGACGCGCGTTCGCTGATCCGGAACTCAACTACGCCATGGAGGCGACGCTGGGCGGTAACGCCCTCTATGCCGCTGCCGCTGCTGCTGCTGCTGCAGCCATGCATCAATCGGGGCCGCCACTGCCACCGCCGCCGCCATTCACAGCTTCCATCCCAATCACAGCCGTCACGATACCCACGCCGCCCGCACACGCCACGGCAAAGAAGACCAAGCTGAGCTTTTCAATTGAGTCAATAATGGGCATTAGCACGTAGCTACTCACTTATGTAATTCTTAAAGCCAGGCGCCCTTTGTACATATACATATAGCTATAATAGTTAAGGAGAGCACAATTTTTTTTGATTCGAATTAAGTTTCTTAGGAAATAAAACAAAGGAATTGAAACTACGCGCCCTATTTATCAGAACCGATGCCCGCGAAACTTTGAAATTCGATAAGCGAGCGCTGCCAACCCGCGAAAACGCAGCGTTGCGTTCGGTTTCTGTAATCGGTATTTTTTTAAATTTATCGCTTGGCGCACTTGAAAACAGTGATGTGAATATTTCGCACTGGGCCAATAAATATATAAATGCAACAAAAGCAAACACAAGAATAACAAAAATAACAACAAGGAATCGTATGGTACACGCTGTTGTCTAAACATTTGTCGAGCAAGCGATTCCCAGTACGGTACGGGACAGTTTCAGTTGCTTCAGCGGAATTGGAGCGAGAGGCAGAACGGCCAAGCTTTGATTTTCTTATTGGAACATTTAACCGACCCGACCATAAACACACTCATACATACGCGAGCGCGCGCCAGGTACGACACGCACACAAACACACCATATATTTATTATGTACATATACATATAGGGATGGTGTAGATAAGTTTATTAATAAGTTTAAGTTTTCCCACATTGCTTGTACATATTGTTGAGTGTTTGTGTTTCTCTTTTGATTTTTGAGGGTCAATCTTTTGCGTCCGTCCCAACAGAGCAGTCCGTTCCGCCGTTCGCTGTAGCAAACATTTGGGATCATTAGATAATCGGGAGAGGAGATAATAAATAAACGCTCAGCGCCCCCCGCAACACCACCCCATCTTCAAGGTGAGTTGCAACGTCCGAGAGGAGGAGGAAAAGTGTTGCATTCGGCAAAGAAAAATCGATCGAGCTCTGCCAACGTGGAGGCTGACGGACGCTTCGCTCTTGAACTACATACACACGAGCAGGGACACACACCACACACACACACACACACACACACAGGCGACAACATTCTTATTGGGCCAAGAAACGAGCCCCGCCGACGTTGCTAACAATCCTCCTCACAGTGCGACGCTGTTTCGTGAAAGTGATTTGTGGCACGTTCAATTGTCGCCAATTTCCGCCTAACTGAGGCTAAGCTTACTGCTTATGGTGCCCCGTTTAGTGTTTTGCGTGACGCCCTTAATTGATTTGCGTGCTGCCAAACAAAGTGTGTCAATTATCAGGTGAAGCGGCATATCCAAAGGTTACCTACATACCTCCAACGATCGCCGCATATTGTGTTCCCGAGCGTGAAGAAAGACACAAGGAGAGAAAGGAGAGCTAAAAATGTACGAATGTGACTTGAAGGCCGGCCTAACCTTATGTTATTCCACCATGCGCGACTGTGAACAGCCGAAAATTGTTGCTCTGCTCCTTCATTCATTGTGTTGTGTATTTTTGTGTCTGTCTCTCTGTCTCTGCCTTCTTTTGTTGTGTGTGTGTGTGTGTGTGTGTGTGTGTGGTGGGTGCGTAAGTAAGACGGTTAGCAGCTGTTTAGCAAGCAATTAGCAGAAGCTCCTGCTCTAACATTTCAATCAACTTGCCATTTGCTGACGCCACACCCCCTCTCTACGCGCCACTCTTGCCGTGGATTAGTATAGAGTTTTAATTAGTTTCAGTTGTTATCATCCCTATCTTATCCATTGCATAAGTGTTTGCCGTGCGGCCCAGAACAAATCATTTTGAACACAATTTCGAGCACAGTGAGAGCCAGAAAAAGATAAAAAGAAGGAGATAAAGTTTTCGAACTATCTTTAGACCCAACATCCTTTTGGTTCTGCTTTGAATCCGTTACTATCCCTTAAAGCTAACTTCCATTCAAAACCCATCCCACTCAATGAGTTCTGTTCAGTTTCCTAGCAAGATTTCCCAAGTATCCATTATGCTGTTTTCACTGTAGTTCATCCATTTATTGGCACTTCAATTGTTCCTTATGCTGTGTTCCTGTTCCAAGCAATCGATTTGAAATCGTTCCCTGGGTTTTCTTAGTCAGTATCCCCTATAGCTGATTATGTTACATACATATGTATGTACTTATTGTATACATACATATATACAAATTTGCATGCCCATTAAAAATAAAGAGACCTTCTTTTTGGCTCTGCTGTGCTCCCATCAATCTCTAACCGGTTTCAAGTGCGTTCCGTTCCGTTCCTCAAAAAATATTCTTCCCCAAGCCGAACCGAACGAAACGTGTGCGAGAGATCCAATGGGCAAACAAGTTCTCAGGTTAATCAGCCGGCTTCGGGCTTGTTCCTAAAGAAAACAACAAAATCCCGCTGAAGGTACACAAAAGTGTACATATGTACATATAGCCACATATGTTTTGTGCCATATAGTATTATACATATGTATACAACATCTAGAAATTCGCTTTCGCTAATACGAAAACAAAACATTCGGTGGAATGGCTGATTGACGCTTCATTTGAATGCGCATCAGTTGTGCCACATTTAAAAACATCTACACCAATATTCAGCCGTACGATTTCTGGCCATTCTTTTTAATGATTCTTTGTCTTGTTTTTGCTTGCTTGTTTTTCCATTTGTTTCTTTTTGCCAGCTTGCATTACGCAACTGTCGTTTCAAAGTGCAAAAAACAATGTTTAAATGTGAAGAACATTTCTATATGGATCTGTAGAAATCGGAACATGTTTGTATGTATTGTACATGTGCGAAGCTTGGCCTACGTACGTCACTGATAAGAGGCCCCCGGTCTGGCTCAAAGTCAAAAGTACATGCTCCTTACTGATAGGGCAATGTACGAGAATAGCAGCAACTCTCGTCCAGTAAATAAAGCCTACACAAACACCACCCAAAAAAATTAAGCCTCTGGAAAAAAAACTATCACAGCAATAATGGGCTTGCGATTATGAAAGTGTGAGATTCAAATTTAAATTTCAGTTTAAAAAATGCGCGCTCGAATGCAGCTGTCAGCTGGGGTTCGTTTCTCCGCTAAATGTGCATATGCACTGCCAGCGGCAAATTTAACTGAACTGTTAACTGAGGTGGAAATGAGCGTGTTATATCTCTGAGCAATATAAACCACGGACTTACCAAACATACGCCCAATAAATATATAATCTACTTATTTTATATTGATAAGCAAACCATTTTATTGAGCAGTTTCTGCCGATAACAGTGAGAGAGAGAAAGAGAACCGGCATACCGACTCTTATAAATTGTACGAGTGCGTTATACTCTTATACAAACGCACCCCTCCACAGCCGACGCGCTGAATGTATTCTGTTTTGTTTTCTTCCAAGAAATAAAACAGAAATCCAAAATATATTGCATATCAATACATCGATATATCGATATATATTTAACATTAAAATTTAATTTCAGAGAAGAGAATGAGCCGTCTGCTAATTAACAAGCCCAGCGCCATGCAACGTGCTGCAGCCACAATGTCTGGCAGGGCCGCCTCCGCCTTGCCACTTCGGCAGCCCTATCCACAGCAGCAGCAACAATCCAAATTGACGCCCAGTGTCGTCATTCGACGCTGGAAATCGTTTATACATAGCGTTCAAAAATCCGCAACAGCAGCGTCGGCAGAGCCAGCAGCAGCAGCAACACCAAGCATGACTACAACGACAGCGACGTCGAACCGCAGCCGCATTCAATCCGAAGCTTTTGGGGGTAGACATTCACCGTTTGACGCCCGTCGGTTAGTTGTTCCTCCTCTTGTGCTTTAGGCCGTGTCTAAGAAGTGAAATACATTTTAATAACTAAGTGGGAACTCTCCGCTTTTTCACTCCTCCTCATCCGCCTCCTTAGTTCGTTCTCAACTAGCATCAAGATGCCAGCGAAATGTCTGCAACTGGAGAACATCAATCCGAACTTCATCACCATGGAGTATGCCGTGCGTGGTCCACTGGTGATACGTGCCGGTGAAATCGAAAAGGAGCTTGAAAAGGTGAGTGAGCTGGGCGCCTGGCGGCGTGTATAATTAAACACCGCCACGTTTAATGCGCCGTGTCAGCTCTTCCAATTTAATGGCCGTCAAAAGCCCGCATTTATTGTCTAAGCACGCTATGTATGTATATGTCCAAAGTGTTAGTGTCGTAGTGAATTTGTGTGTGTGTTCGCTCTGTCGCCCTTTTCTTTACGCTTCAGCAGACGGGAATTCTGTACCAAATCATTCACTTACTGATGCAGGCAACTGCAACTGCATTGCGGCCACCTGTTGGAGGGGGTTCATTCATCGACATTCGAAAAGAGGATGTGACTTTTTCATCCCTATATCAAAGAGACCTATCAAAAGCAAGCCCCAAAACTGGTAAAGTCGTAACCGAAATGTTCTTTATCTCAAAGAGATATGCTTTTATGGGTGATAAAAATATAATGAAAATTAGAATGAACTTTGAAGTGGGATAAGAAGAACAAAAAAGCCAAAAAAAAAATACATCGTTTCATATCTGAGCAATGAAATCTATTATGAATGATTGCCGACGGAGCTTGCCTAATCCCCACTTTTGCTTTCAGCTCAAGTCGCGTTTTTGTGTATTTTGTGTTACATACATATGAATGTATGTATGTGTGTGTGTATGGGAAGTTTTTAATTATTGTTAATTACATTTTGCCGCTTTCAATTAGGGGCAGGCTCAATAGAACGACCTTCAACTCCCTTTAACTTGTGCTTACATAACAAGCCAAGAGTGTGTGTGGGCGGGGAAGGGATGCTGTCTGTTATCAGTGCTAAAAGAATGTGAGAAATCAAAACAGAGACAAAACATGCGCATAAGCTTTGAAAGTGTGTGTGTGTTTGTATGTTTCATACATACATACACTCAGCTCCTGCTATTCCATTCTCTTTGTACGTTTGTACCGTTTGTTTTGGATACTTTAAGCAGAATTCTCTTCTACCCAAGCGACGGCGCACATTGACCCACAACATATATATGTGTACATTGTACATGCATACATATTATTATACTTAAACATACATATGTTTATATGTACTTACACGCCTAGGCGATGCATATGCATATGATCCATCCATTGTTTGTTCCCGCGCTGACTTTTCACAATTTGTGTTTTAATATCGCTGACAGCTTGTTCACGTTCCCCTCGCTCCGCCCCCGTTGCGATTGATTTCCTTATACGCCTGACTACTGATTCGATTCGTCTTGTGATTTTTTTTTTGTTCTTTGTGCTTCTATCAAATTCCTTTCGGCCTGTCGCACAGCCACAGGATGAAGCAGAACGTTTTGGCCATTTGCCAAAACCATGCGGCGGCGTGGCCCAAGGCAAAGTTGACAATAGTAGCAGCATTCTTATCATTTTCATTTTGAATTATTTTTGCTTGTTTGTCGGGGCTTCTTGAATGCATTGAGTGGATTATGCGATGGGGGGTCTCCCTATTACCTATTACCAAGGTCACAATACCCTGTTCCGAATAGATTACAAGGGCATATTGTAGCTGGTGATTAAATAATATTTATTTTATCATAGTCAGAGTAGTGGGTATCCCACAATCATAGTGTCGGCTAAAGTAGCTAGCTTTCGAACTTGTTTTCACTTCCATTTGACATTCGGCAAATTGTTATTACATATTATTATTGTTATGGCTCGCTTAAAACGATAAGATCGCCGATTGGGCTCTCCTGTATGATTATACGACTCTACCTTATACCATACACAATACACATACCTGCTATATACGAAAGCATATAGTTATCAATTATATAGCAGCCACTTAGAACCAAAAAGTTTGTTTACAACACACTAAAGTGCAAATTGATTGGGCCGCCGGTGGGGAAACTGTGAGATGTGTATGTATGTATGTATGATCTATATGATGGGTTGCTGAATATTTACTTAGAACATTGTTGCAGTGGACTCTACTCCAATATTTAGATTGGTATTTTTCATACTTTATACTTTCCAGAGTCACTCGCCATAATCAAATGTTTAGATAAAGTAAAAACTGAAACTAGCTGCAGCCTTAAATATATAAATCTCAAGAGGACAACCTGAATTGATACGCCTTCGCTCGTACAATAAACATTAACAAATACACCCCCACAATAAATATTGTACAGTATTCGTGTGCAATCTATAATGAACTCTGCAGACTTGGCAACACCTTTTCTTTATCAGCAATTTAACGAAATGGAAAACGAAAATATGGTTCGATAAGGTGGGCCCGATCTCTCCACACCCCAAAGTACGTTTACGCTGGGCGAATGTTTGCGGTTTGGAATTTAGAAAAAAATGTAGAGCGTTCCCTTGTTGTTCCCGTCGCTCGCTCTCAGCCCGTGATGTACAACGAATTCCTCAATTATTTAATATTTACACTGACATGTACTACTACGGGATGACGTCAACGACAACGGCAACGCCAACGCTCACTTGCAGCGCCACAAAGGGGCCAGTATTTTACATATCCATTACTTGGTCACCCATTTGAAACCCCCTTCCCAGCAATTGTGTGGTAAATTGCCCATTCGAGCGGAGTATAGTAACCCAAGCCACCATCTATAATGAATGCAGGCCGCCGGCCCCTGCGAATGCCCTGCAAATTGTGTGTTAGATCGCTGACAATTTCTTGGCAAATTATTTCACCCCGTGTTCCAGGCAGTACAGGGAAGGGAAGCGTTGTCGCATGTCTCTACTAAGTAGCAGGTTCACCCCCAGATATATGTATATGCTAATAGACTTGATGAGAATACGACTCAGTAGGGCAGAAGTTTATTTTGATGCACTCCCGCTACCGCAAATCCATATGTGATTGGAATCCAAAATAGAACAGGCGATGATTTTATTTCAAGGTTATCCAGTAATACAATTAATGGATACGCGGATAATTATCAGCAAAAAAAGGCACTCTATTCCTCGTTTGTTTGCTTTTATTTTACGACGACAAATAGATAAACCGATTGACTAGCCTGTCCATCGATGGCAATCGTATCATAAATAATCAATGAAAGCACACAAGTCGTGTGCAATTACGGGGTTAACCAATTTGGTTGGGAGGGGTGATGTGTGTTTTTATTGTGTGTCCCTCCAATTGAATGTAATTTGCATGGCAAAGAGAGAACGAATTAAAAGCTCATTTGATACGCTTCGGGCGCATCCGACATTCATTCAGCAAACCACTATAATTTCCCTTTCGTTTGATTGAATTTGATTGCAGGGTGCCAAGAAGCCGTTCGACCAGGTGATTCGGGCCAATATCGGTGATTGCCATGCCATGGGACAGCAGCCGGTGACGTTTCTGCGTCAGGTAGGGTTCAGATTTGGATAGAGTCCAGTCTCCAAGATGCTTATCTGTTGAATCCCCATTACAGCTGATGGCCTTGACATTCGAGCCCCGCCTACTGGACTCGCCCGATTATCCCGAGGATGTGAAGAAGCGCGCCCGCGCCATTCTTGCCAACTGCCAGGGCCACTCGGTGGGCTCGTACACGGACTCGGCTGGCCTGGAGGTGGTGCGTCGCCAGGTGGTCGAATATATACAGAAGCGTGACGGCGGAGTGCCCAGCGATTGGCAGAATATCTATCTGACCGGCGGTGCCTCGCCCGGTATCAAGAGCATTCTCTCGCTGATCCAGTAAGTGGTGCCACATTCTTGCAGCCTTTTTCTAATGAAACGAACCTCTTGTGTGTTTGTGTTGCAGTGCTGAGGTGGGAGGCAAGCCACCTGGCGTGATGGTGCCCATTCCCCAGTATCCGCTGTACTCAGCCACCATTGCCGAATATGGCATGGACAAGGTCGACTACTATTTGGAGGAGGATTCCGGCTGGAGTCTGAGCCGCAAGGAGCTGCAGCGCTCCTTCGATGAGGCCAAGAAGGCGTGCAATCCACGCGCTCTGGTCGTCATCAATCCGGGCAATCCCACCGGTCAGGTGCTGACCCGCGACAACATTGTCGAGATCATCAAGTTTGCCAACGACAACGGGCTGATTCTGCTGGCCGATGAGGTGTACCAGGACAACGTTTACGACAAGAACTCCAAGTTCTACTCGTTCAAGAGGGTCGCCTACGAGATGGGCGAGCCCTACCGCAGCCAAGAGCTGGTCAGCTTCCTGTCCACATCTAAGGGTTTCCTCGGCGAGTGCGGCATTCGCGGCGGCTACATGGAGGTGCTCAACCTATGCCCCCAGGTCAAGGCCATGCTCACCAAGTCGATAACGGCTGCCCTCTGCAGTACCACCGCCGGCCAGGTGGCCGTCAGTGCTCTGGTGAATCCACCCCAGCCCGGCGAGCCCTCGTACGACCTATTCCAAAAAGAGAAGAACGCCACCCTGGCGGCCCTTAAGGAGCGCGCAGAGCTCGTCCACAAGACGCTCAGTAGCTTTGAGGGCTACAAGGTGAATCCCGTTCAGGGCGCCATGTACGTGTTTCCCCAGATCGAGATCCCACCCAAGGCCATCGAGGCAGCCAAGGCCAAGGGCATGGCTCCCGATGTTTTCTACGCATTTGAGCTCCTCGAGACGAGCGGTGAGTTGTGCACTGCCGATGGCACCGCTTGGCACCCAAAATAATCTCATTTCTTTGCCTCTCTTATAGGCATTTGCATTGTTCCTGGCAGCGGATTCGGGCAAAAGCCCGGTACCTATCACTTCCGCAGCACGATCCTGCCACAGACGGACAAGCTGAAATTGATGATGGAGAAATTCCGTGTATTCCACGCCGATTTCATGAAGAAGTACAAGTAGATGGAGACACACTGCTTGTATCCCTTCCCTAGACCCTTCCTCCTCCTCCTGCCGCCTGCCTGTGTTAAAAGTGTCTGATCCCCCCCTCCACGGCTAAGGATTATCTAGTTTTTTTTTTGTTTTGTTTTTTGTTACTATGATAATTGATAATTATTTGCCATAGACTTCTACTGTTTCTCTGCTCTTTATTATTTTATATATAACAAATATAAACATAAATATAAATGTGTAACATTTTTACATACATAAATATGTATTTCTGTGCTAAAGAACTGCACGAATCCACATAAAATGAATCTTTACTTTGTTTCAAACAATTTTTTATATTGATCTTTTGGTTCAGTGATTTTTATATGTTTTAACAATGTAAAAGCAGTTTTTCTGCCTTTTTACATATATATTATCCGAATATTGTAATTATTGTGTATATTGTGGATTCATTCAGTTCTCTAGTAGATGCTATATAGTCCTGTATACTCGATAGCCTTCCATAAATGATTTGGCTGCTTTCACCATATTAATTAGTCGTTAACTAAACTGTTGAATTTTATGTAGCCTTACGTTCGGATATAGAAAAGATTTGTGTGCCGATCCTTGATTTGATTCTTTTGCGCATGCTTTAAGTGAGAAGGGAAACAAATCCAAGTGATTTGAGGGGAGTGACAATAATTTTGTTAGAGCCAAAAATTTGTTTATTACTTTCGTTGGCCGAGCGAAAAAGAATGCGGATATTGTTCTATAGAAAAGTTGTGTTGCATTATAAACAACATTACATACTCGTTCATATATGTCATATATGTGCATATCCCCCGGTTCGATCACGAATACATATTATGTAAATGTCTTCAAAAGTCATTAATATTTGGTAAAAGACAAACCAAAACATGGAACTATGGAAGTAAATAAACATTAATATTGTTAAACTTTTACTGGGAACTAAAGGAGGAACTTAAGGAGGAAATATCTTTCACTGTATAATCCATCTGGTTCTGTCGATGAAATATGTAACAGCTTAAATAATTTATTTCAAAGTCAATGTTATGAATGGTATCTAACTTTAAGCTAAATTATTATGTTGGTAATGTGCCGGAAGAAAATTGAATAGTCTCATGGTAGACAGTTTGAAATTCAAAGTAAAAGTCTCATAGCAGCCAGAAAAAATAGGTTAATGACAACCAGCTTTAATAGTTTCTTAGCCACCAGCTTGACATGCCTGACAGGTGTGTGTGTTCATGCATATAGCTTTAATAGTTTTATATTTATTAATTTAATTTAATTAATTAATTAATTAATTTATTTATTACAAGTTTCAAAGAGGCCAGCTTGAATGTTAGCAGCTAGTTATAAAGTCATGGGCATGGCATGAGGTCTATGTCGTTGTGGTTTGGGGTGTAATTAAGGGAATATTTGACGGTCAGTTTGGCTGAGATGTCAGCAGCATCTTTTCTTTTGTATGTGACTTGAGATGTGGTTTCTGCCTGAGCTGGCGTAGTAGAAGTAAAGCAGAGGGAGTGAGCAGTGCCAATCGCATGTTTTCCTCGTTTATTTCGGCAGATTTTTATAGCTCCTGTATTGCAATGATTTCGATAAATAGAATCTATGAATACAAAGTACAAAGATGACTTCAATCCAGTTTTTATTGTTGTTTTCTCGTTGGATATGCTGTTACTAGTAATGCCACCTGCTTTGGACCTTCTGTGTATAGGAAGTTGTGTTTGAGGAGAGATGTTTCAATGGAGTGAAAGAGCTAATGGAAGACTATTGGAGGGGCTGTGTTTTTCTTGTACTGGCAGAGGCTAATGTTGGAACTCTGGGCATTTGGTGTCCAGGAGGCTGCGGTCTGGATGCTGGTATTAGCCGGGCAGGGTGCTGGAGGAAGAACGTTCAGAAGCTTATATCCCATCATTGCTGAAAGACTTTGTGTACATATGTACATAAATCTATATACATATGTATAAATTTACGGGGTCCGAGATTATTCCCTCTATCCTCTCAAGGGTACTTTAATAAAAATACCCGCACCAAGCCGAGAACAGCGATACCATTACGTATCATTATGTACATCTAAACAGCTTGCTATCCTGCTCTGGTTCAGGGGAACAGAGTCTGTCTCTTTCTTTTTTATTGCATTGTTATACAAGCTTACCCAAAATCTGACTGGTATTATTATGCAATAGCAATGCAAATTGATAGATCGCCATTCACAACAATAAACCCTTTGAAAGCGGGTGTTATTTTATTCACTGTTTTGAACCGGTGGGATTTGGGATTCATTTTATCGTCATCAAATATACTGGAGTAAACTGTTGGGGATCTCCTTCATCTCCGTGTACAGAGTTAGACTGCTTATCCAAATCCCTATTCATAAAATATTCCTGAATGTTTATTTTCATTATATTTATTTTATATTTCCGATCCTCATCAACACGAAAAGATGTTCTTGTTAGTTTAAGTTTTTTCCTAAGATGAATTTTATCTCAAACGTATAGGAAAAAGTTCCAAGCCTGATTTGTCCAGCAAATGACAAATTTTAAAATGTACCGGTGTCTATTATCATTCTGATCATAGACAAGGCTAAGGATATAAATGGCAGCTCTTGTTTAATAAAAACACGATTTAATTTTCAGTATTTTTTTTATTTTTTTTTTTTTTTAGACATTTTGTGTTACGACAGATTTTCAAATAAACAACACAACAAAAAAAGCAATATAATGCGTCCATGAATGTTAAATCGCATTTACCTTTTGATTTTTCTCATCTTGTTATTTTCTTGTTCTTCTTCCGTGTGCTGTTTCTGTTGTTTGTTGTTGTTTGTTGCTGATGCAACGCTGATCTGATGATTAGAATCTAACATATTCTTAACTCCTATATACCAACATCTACCGTACTGCACTGCACAGCTTCCCTCCTTACCAGTCGGTCATGATTCGCATAGGGTTTGGATAGGAGGGAATTACGTTGTGGGTCTTACTGTTACGATCAAACTTTTACTTAATCAGCCCCTAGGAGGACATCCAATAAACTGATAGATAGATCAACTTTACAATTACTTTAAACTTACATCCACATGGGGATGACCATTACTCCAGGGTTAAAGGAATTTCGTAGCTGCTGCCTGCTGGTGAGCTGGTGAATCAATAACTTTCTTCGGCCACAACTGTAGCTCTCTACTATAATCTATGTGACTGTGGTGGTGTTTCTTTTTGAGAGGGAGGGGTGGGGTGGTGAGCCTGTGTAAGTGTATATATATATATGAATTTATATATATAAAATATATATATATATGTATAGGTTTAATCTGCTGCAACGGTATTCTTCGCCTCCTAGTGCCGATCCCGGGAGTCGGAACGGCTGCGACGATCCCTTGAGAAGCTGCGACTGCGTGTCCTCGACCTTCTGGGGGATCTCGATCTGAAATTAAACGGATATGGGTGGCACCACAGACACAGATAGAGAGAGCGGGAGAGAGAGAGAGAGGAAAGAGAGAGAGAGAGAAAATAAAAATTAATAGTTTTTGTACTGTCGCTGACTGAAAATGAATGTAATAATTAGCAATTCCTTAATATGTAGGTAAAGTTGATAGTTGAGAATGTAGTCTCGATCGAACAACACACACAACTTGAACAGAGTCGGGCTGGGCTGGACTGTGGGTTGAGCTGAGCAGAGCTGAGGTTGAGGTCGAGGTCGTTGGAGGTTGAGTTGATCTGATCTGAACGGAGGCAGAGCTGAGCTGAGCGGAGTTGATTGGAGCGGATTGCTGATTGGAGCTGAGCTGAGCTCTCTGAGCTGAGAGCTGGCTTTTAGCTTGGTTGAGGTGGTTGAGATTTGAGTTGAGGTGGCAGATTTTTTGGCTGACTTTTGGGCCCCGTTACGAAAGCGTTGGTGGTGTTGTGACTTTACATAAGTAGTTGGTGGTGGTGGTGGTTGGTTGGTTGGTTGGTGGTTGATTGACTGGTTGATTGGTTGGTTGGTTGGTTGCTTAGTTGGTTGATTGATTGATTTGATTGGTTGGTTGATGATCAGAGCAGACTGAGAAGACTGTAGTTGTAGTTGTAGTAATAGCTGTAGTTGTTGTTGTGTTGTAGTTGTAGTTGTAGTTGTAGGACAGTTGATACGATTCTGATACTGATATTCTGATTTCGATTGATTAAGTGGTGTCTGTGGTTGTGGATTGGTGGTACTGTGGTGGCTTTTTGGTGTGTTGTTTTTGGTGATGACTGTTCTTTTTTTTTTGGTTTTTTTTGTTTTGCTTATTTTATCGCCTGTTGACTGCAGCTGAAGAAGTTGGTTGGTCGGAGTTGGATGGAGAAGCAGTAGTGGAAGCAGCATCAGTAGAAGCGGCAACTGTGGAGGAATGATTGGTGGTGGTGCGCTCCCAAAGAGCCATCCGCGATGCTTAAGATGGAGATACGAGACGAGACGAGACGTGACCAGACCAGACGACCATAGCAGGACGAGACGAGACGAGCAGAGACGACGACGACGACGTCGGAGCTTGGGATGAGGAGTAAGTCGAGGGCCACGCTCCTGGTGCTAGCTTGCCTGATTGATTGACTGATCGGATTGCTTGCTTGGTTGCGCTGGGTGGTTGGTTGGTTGGTTGTTGGCATTGTGGGTGAAGAGGTTTGCTTTGAGTTGATCGGGTGGTATTTTTGCATGCACACATATATACAGATATATAGAGCAGACCATTAGCGTGAACAACAACATTTATCGAAAGACACAAAAAAATAAAAGAGAAGAACGATCAAAAGAACAGAAACAAACATAAGAACAGGAAACGGAAACGGAAACAGAAACAGAAACCGTACCACAAAAATAATTCTTAAAAAAAAAAAAAAACAGAATAGATCATTTTGGTTAATGCGGTTAATACGAGTATTGTTTGACCAAACATATTGCTTCTTCGCTGCAGTCGTTGTGGTTGCTGGCTTTGGGATAAGCTGCGCTTCTGCTTGGCGGCCAAGAAAGGTTTCATACTTGCTGCGATTGAAGAAGGGCGGTTGCATTGCATTAGCGTGAGGGCAGCCTCAAGAGCTGATCGATCAATCGTTTGATTGATTGATTTCATTGGATTCATTCATTCATTGATTTGATTGATTGAGCTTTGAGCAGAGGAAGAGGTGCAACTACTGGGAGGTTGAGTAGGCGCATCACCAACAAGAACCAGCAACGGGAAGGGTAGCCAATCTCAAATTAATGGATCGACTTCCATTGCCAGCTCTCAAGTCTTGTTGGTGTATTCTTTTGATTGTTGTTGTTGAATTTGTTGTTGTAATAGTAGTAGTAGTACATAGTAGTAGTAGCAGTAGCTGTTGTTGTAGCTGTAGCTGTTGTTGCTGTTGCTGGTAGGCTGCGCTGAAGATGACAAATGATGTGGTGGTTGTTTGGTTGATTGATTGATTGGTGATGATGAGGTTGGGACAAATCGATCGACCTGAAGCTCTGAAGAGAAGTAGTCGAGGCCTAAGAACGTTGACGTTGTACCAAGTTGGTTGCAAGTTGGCTGAATGAAGCGTTGCTGGATTCGATTGTATTGGGATTGAGGTTGGATTGGATTGGTTTGGTTTGGTGTCTGTATCTGGGTTTCGTATTCGTTTCGTTTCGGTTTGAGTGTCTGTGTTTCTGTACAGAGATATAATTAGAGTTTGTTTTGGATTTGGATTCGGATGGATTCTCTGGAACGGTTATATGGTTATAGTGTTTGCTGGCTGTGGCTTTGTTGCTTTACTGGTTGTCGCACTTGCTGCTGCTTCTGTTTTTAGTGTGGTTATTCGTGTTGGTTGGTTGTTTGTTTGGTGGGTGGAATAGAAGCAGCAGAAGCTGCTGATGAGATGGGTGAAGGTTGGCTGTGGCAGAGATGGACACGATGCGGCGGCCTTTGCTGATTTGCTGCAGTCAACAATATTGCAACTTGCAACAGAACATAAATCAGAAGAAACAAAAGAAAAACAAAAATGAACTGTGACTGATGTGTGTGTGTGGGTGGTTGGGTGGGTGGGTGTGCTGATTGTTGGTTGTCGCTGCTGCAGCCGCAGCCGTAGCCATAGCCATAGCCTCGAGTTGTTGGTTGTTGCTGTTGATGATGGTGTGGACTGGACTGGACCTGGACTGACTGCACCCATGGATCCCATCCTGTAGGTGGTAGTGGTGTGGTTGTGGTGGTGTTGGTTGTGGTGGTGTTGATTGTGGTGGAAGGGAGCATGTATGCATTTAGTGTTGCAGTAATCGTCATTTGTTGCTGTCAACGGAATATATCGAACTTGTTGAAGTAGCAGAAATCGGCAAATATCATACTGAGGCCACACAACTTTCGTTGGCAGTTGGTTGTGGTGTATGGTATTGTTGGTGTTCTTGTTGGAGTTGGAGTTGTGAAATGTGTGTCTGAGGAGGAGCAGGAGCTGTAGTAGTTGTGAGACGTGAACTTGTTCTGGTGGTGGTGGTGGTGGTTGTTGTTGTAGTAGTAGTTCTTGTTGAAGGAAGAGGAGTAGTAGAAGTTCTAGTAGTAGTAGCTGTTGTTGTTGTTCTTATTGTTGTAGTTGTTGTTGTTGTGCTTGTAGTAGTAGAAGACTTGATCCTGCAAAATGATTGTGAAACCACATTAAAACTGGCTCCATTCGTTCCATTTTTCATTGCAAGTTACAAAAACACAACATAATTTTCAAAGGTTTTTCTTTTCTTATTTTTTTTTGGGTTTGGTTCAACCACTCCCCCTTCCCCTAACCCCTACCCCACCCTCGGCCAGGCCGAGTCTGTGCGAAATGAATGTGAAAAGCATAAGAATAGTATGATGCATCGGTGCACAGCGATGCGGATGAGGTTAAAAGTTTGCATGCAAAAGAGGACTAGCATCTGCCTGTGGGCGTAGGACGTTGACGTTCACGTTCACGCAGACGTCACGGCTGACCCTCAAGTGTACGACAGTGGCACCTCGGACGACTTGTGCGCACGCGACTGTTCCCCACTGTGCAGACGCCACTGTGCGCGCACCAGGCATGGACATGTAATCATTGTATCTTTTCTTTTTTTTCTTTCTCTTGTGTATGTATACTCAAATCGATTTTTTCGCAACCACACGCACGCACACATGCACGGTCCGATGGCACCATAAATATTCTGCACATCTGCATGCGTGCGTGTGTGTGTGTTATGCACCTACACATGGAAACGAGCATATTAATAATTTCATAACCTATTGCCGAGACTCACCTATATCGTCCACCGCCGTCCCCAGCACGGGCACCACCGCCGCCGCCGCCTCCACTACCGCTTCGGGCGCCACGACGCGGTCCACCGCCACCGCCTCCTCCACCACCACCGCCGCCGCCGCCACCGCCTCGTCCTTCGCGTGACCGACCAGAAGACATTTCCACTCGAATGCGTGTGCCGCAGCAACGGGTTCCATCCAGGCCACGGGTTGCGTCTTCTGCGTCCCGACGGTCTTCAAACTCCACAAAGGCAAAGCCTGGCGGGTTGCGGGCCACCCAAACGTTGCGCAAGGGTCCATACTTGCTGAATGCGTTCTCAATCTCGTATTTGGAGGCAGATGAGCCTAGATTTCCCACGTAGACTTTGCAGGCAAGATCCCATTCCCGGTATCGTGGCATTTTGGCGATGTGTGCTAGTGAGGTGTCTTCGGGCGTGTAAATACTTAATGCTTTTACTTTTTTTTCCTCAAATAGTTGCAATTGCGTTGCTGAAAATATAAGTTTTCCAGCAATCGCGGGCACACCCAGCAGAAAATTTTTCAGATATGATTTTTATTGAAAAGAAAGATGGCTGCCAGCCGATAGGTACGCCATATGCTACTCTGGTTGTGCGATATCGATTTATGGTAATTTGGCGATATTTTCAACTATCGTTTAAACATTGAACATTTTAGCGACATAATGTTGTAAAATACAATAAATAAAGCATAAATAATACGATTCTATTTTGAAATTGATGAAATAAAATTAAAAATGTGGTTGCGACCAATCGATAGTTCTTATGTCAAATATTAGCATGCTTCGCTGCAGCCCTGGTCGACTTGACATATCGGTGCTCACAGCTGACGTCCATACTATTATTTAATATAGAGTAAAATTCCCTTGGAAGTTTCGTTATTAAGAAAAGTTCAATTAAACGTAACAAAAAAACATGGCAAAAAGTCCGGAAAGTATTGCTGTAGACCAGCTGGACAAGGACCAGATGAAAACGGTGAGTGGGGAGACATTCTTGGCTCTCGAATTCCGCAAATCATTTCCCAACGTGATGCAATGCAGCCGATGAAATCTATCCACATTGTGAACAAATGTACTAATCGCTGATCCCATCCATCACATGTAGTTCTCCGACTTCCTGATGTCCTACAACCGGCTATCCGAAATGTGTTTCACAGACTGCGTTCGCGACTTCACATCCCGCGACGTGAAGGACACCGAGGTAAGTGAGATGGGATGCGATTCGCTTGCAAGTCCCCCAGTTCATTTACCAGTATCCTGCTTTTGTTATTTGCAGGAGAAATGCTCGCTGAACTGCATGGAAAAGTACCTCAAAATGAATCAGCGTGTTTCGCAGCGCTTCCAGGAATTCCAAATGATTGCCAACGAGAATGCCCTGGCCATGGTTAAAAAGACGGGCAAATAGAACTAGGATTATTTTAAACAAAAGGACACACACAACATACACAAACACACACACATAAAGCAGAAAACATAGAATTTAATGCATTTTTGATGCATTTGTGTAAACAATAAAGAGATGACAACTAAAGAACCAACAGCCAAGCGCCTTGAATTGTTGTAATATTCGTTGAATCAGTGTGCTTTATTTATTGTTGATTTATTTACGGGCTAGAGATCTCGTTTAAAAAAATAAACAAATGTGATTATTTATGGGTAATCTGTTCGGATCGATCGTTTGGTTGGTTTGCCTTTTGTGAGGGGCCACAGCGACTGGAACCGAACCTTATAGCAGTTCAGCCTCATGGTATGTTTTACAATAGGGGAGCCGCAGCTGCTTATGTGCTAAATGCCTAAAACTACGTTTAAGTAACGTTAAGACAGGGCCATGTGTGCGTCTTCTGTCGTGATGCTGCTGCCCGCTCTGGGCACAGACACGGAGCTCAATCATTGACTACGGCGATCTGATCTGTTCTCTTAATTAGGCTTAATTTATAAAAGCCCTCGCCTTCGGCTTGCTATTCAATACTAAGGTTTATGCGCGGTTCGAGTCGCCTTATGCATGGTTTCTTCGGGGGTGCGGATCGGTGCGGGCTGGACTGGTATGCCAGCAGCTAGCCCTGTTCTCGATCAGATTCAATGGCTCGTAGTGGGCACCTCTGCAGGAAAGCCCTCCGCCTCGTTGATCAATGCATACTCCAGGATGACGCGTCCCTCCTTGTATCTAGAGCGAGAGCAGTGAGGATGAGCCCTCTTTGGTCAGGGTTGCGGATCATTGCGAACCGGGTACTCACTTTTGGGACTCCTCGGTGGCGAACTCGTACATCCAGCCCAGCTTGGCGCCGCAGTTCTTGCACATGACGTCGCGCACCATGTGCCGTCCAGTGAGCATGACACGCTCCTGGATGTTGCTGAAGGTCAGGTTGACCACGCGTTTAAACAGGTAGGCACGGCCTGTGGGAACAATGAGATGTAATCATAATGCGATTCCAGCTGCCATCCGTTGCATAACTTGGTGATGGGTATGATGGATGGTGTGGCTTACCCGTCGCCCCAGTGAATCTCGTGCTGATCAGTTGGCTGCGGTTGGTCAGGTTCGTGTGGCACTGGGCGCAGTTGAAGAGCTTCAGGCCTCCCAGATGCTCCAGAAATATGCGTCCCATTTTCTCTCTCTCTCTCTCTCTCTCTCACTCACTCTTGCCCTCGCTGCGTTAGTGTGCGTATGCTAGAGATTGATGTGATTGCGGTCGTGTTTGTGTGTAGCTGCGTTCCTTTGTTTGCCTTGGGATCTAGGCGAAAAGAAATGGTTAAAGTGCTATTCCGAGACGGTGTGTGACAGTGCGCGATTCAATCGTTGTAATGCTTATCTGCTGTGCTTTTGTTTTGGAGTACATTAATGGACTCACTTTGCACAACAACAAGCTACACGAACAAACATACTTATGATATGCCATACATGAACACATACCTCACCCCAGCTGTTGGATGTATCCTTGCCTGTTGTCCCACTGCAGTGGATGGACACCCAGGAGATGGACAATTACAGATTTAATAATTGATATGGGGTTGGTACAAAGAAGTTACTGACAATCACCGATTAAGACTTACAACTTCTTAATACAACGCTTGCAAAAAAAATGAAAACAAAACGCAATGGAATGCTTTCTAGGGTTGTCGCCTTGTTCTACTATCGACTCATCAACATCGAATGTGCCATCGATATGATAATGCATACAAAAAAAATATTGAGTTTTGTAGCTATGATTAGTTTAAGGACAACAAATTTTGTTTAGTGCTGCCCCATTAAGTATATAACTACTTTATGTATAATTTAAGTGGTTTTTTCAAGTGAATTGAAATTTGACATATCGGTTGATGAGTCGATAACATGTTCAGCCCTGGTCGAACAGCTGCTACTACACGTGATTGTTGTTGGTTGTTTTTTCTGGCCTTTTGGCCTTTTAAAAGTCAAGTCCGTTAAACATTTAGGAAAATTATGTACAAAACGGTTTAAATTAGGTTTAGAATTAATTAAAGATCACCAGTGCAACCTGTGGTCCGACCTGTGACTGCAACGCACTGCAACTGGAGACCATGTAAATTTCGTTTCAACCCAACCAACCCGTGAAACCGTATTCTGTTACGTCCAAACTCCTCCAAACTATTCGCACATAACAAACAATCAATATGCTATCCATTCGCTGCCAGGCCCGGATCCTCTTCTCAGCCGCCACCAGGAGCGGGCGCCTCATTAGACTGAACCTCTTGCGAAATGTTGCCACCGGCACTGGTACTGGTACCAGCACTGGCTCCGGCTCCCGCTCTCGCTCCGAACTGATGCGAAAGCTGAGTGAGTGGCACGCCAGTGCGTTCAGCAATAGGTTCCTACTGTTCACCAACGTGGGCATCTCGCTGACGCTCAGCTGCCTCGGCGATGTGATGGAGCAACACTTGGAGATCTACAACGGGGAGATTGAACGGTTTGACAGCCTGCGCACCAGTCACATGGCCACCAGCGGTGTCACCGTGGGCGTTATTTGCCACTACTGGTACAAGATGCTAGACAAGCGGATGCCCGGCCGCAGCATGCGTGTGGTGGCCAAGAAGATTGTGCTCGACCAGCTGATATGCTCGCCCGTCTACATCAGCGTCTTCTTTGTCACCCTAGGACTGCTGGAAAAGAAGGATAAGCACGAGGTGTGGGAGGAGATCAAGGAGAAGGCCTGGAAGCTGTACGCTGCCGAGTGGACAGTGTGGCCGGCGGCGCAGTTCATAAACTTCTACTGGATACCCACCCACTACCGCATCTTCTACGACAACATCATCAGCCTGGGCTACGACGTGCTCACGTCGAAGGTGAAGCACACAAAGTCGCACATCAAGAAAATCCCCTAACATCCACTGTCGCCAAACGCTCGTACCTCAGCCAACAATAAATTGTATTGTAACTATTTCTTTCGAACACCTTGTAAATATAGACGAGCCTATGTACATACACTCGGCCACCCCAAATATGTTGTTGATCTGTATCTATCTATGCACATACATATGTCTGTAGTAAGTGCACCACGATGCGGGCCATGTAGGAAGACCTCGTTCGGACTGAAGACTGCTGATCGATCTGGCGCTGAACCAACCAGTTTCGATGCACATGTCCATATGGCCTATACACATACACGTAAGTAGGGGACTGTGTAATTGGATCTCGGCGGATGTGATGCAGCATGGTGAATGGCTGTCCGAACCGGTTCAAATCACCAGCGAAGCCAAATACCTGCCATATGTCAATTACTACGAAGGACTTTCGCGTACGCTGAGTTGAAACTGGAGTAGAATTTCGAGGAAACTGTTGCAGTGGGAAGCCCTACACCGATCTCAAAGCGATGACGCACATTGATCCCAATGGATGGCGATAAGCAACAGTCCCTCTAGCAACAGTCCCCAAACATGCGATGCCAGGCCCACGCCTTGAGCTTCCCCCTCGTTCTCGTTTCGCACCTTCTTTCCCCCTGACATTACCCAATAGATTGATAAGCTTTGGTTGCCAGCGACTTTAAAAATAAATCACGAAACCCATCCCAGTAACCGATAGGAGACTGATAGTGAACGAATGTACGAATCATTCAAAAATATGTATGTACATTGTGTTCATATATGTATGTATAATAGGGCGGTTAATTTTGTTAATTAATTTTGTGTACGACTCAATTCTGATGCATCTTTTTTAAATATTTTGTTGTTGTAATTAACTTAATTTTAATAAATTTGTTATATAATTTGACGAAATGAGCCGAACAAGTCATGTACTGGGGCTCATTTCATAAAGTGGGCGCCAAACGTCTGTAAGTCTGAATAGCAAAAAGTGTGTGTTTCCAATTAAATAATTGCTTGGAATTTTAATCGGTGGTAAATCAATTATGGGCTGAAAGAAGGCCTTTGACTAAAATAGTGGTGGCTTTTATTGCAGGAAATATAAATTGCTGGCCACACTGAAGTGCTTCTTACGCGTAGTAACAAAGCTTAACAAAGCATGACAAAGTTTTTAAAAAACCTTTAAAATAGTGTTAGCCATGTTTGAAAAACCCGAAATCAGCTGTGACTATTTCGGGAGCCGTGAGGCTTTACTCCATTCATGCTTATCACGAATCAGGAAGCACACACTCCACATACTACTTACTATATAGAGACACTGTCGAGCGTTTCTTCTCCGTATCCATTAATAAAATGTGCAGGTACCAAACCTTATCACTTTCAGCTTTCGCTTTTATTTTTATTTCGAGAGCGTTTAATTAGTGCTTGACATTGATAATGAAAGTTGCCAAAAAAAAAAAAACGAGAAGGAACGTGTGAGTCGCCTCTGGGGACGCGACTCTACTTTTATACTCAGTCTGTATATAAATTTGTGAGCTTATGATTTCTGAAGATGTATTATCTACATCTACATTTACAATGTCGATTCCACATCTAAAATGTAGATTTTACATACACAATTTAGATTCTAAATCTCCGCAAAATGCGCGAAATTGCACAGGGCAGAGTGCGTGCGAGCGAGTAAGAGAATGAGTAGCGTCAGCAGCGCCGAAATAAGCGAGAAACTCGTAATTAGATGCCATTTGATGGGCAACAAAATCGAGTTGCTTTGCTTTGAAGCTACTCGAAAATAAATGGCGCATTGTTGAGTCTTTGTCTGGTCTGGCATCAATTTGAATGTATTTGCGTTAAATTTATTTGGAGCTTTCTTGTTGTTTGCCATTGCCATTTCTTATGGCTGGATTGTTTAATTTTTGCATTTATGTATGTATTTTTGTCTGGAGTGAGACCAGTTCGGGGGCCTTTTCCAACCAGTTTATATATTTTTAACTGAGAAGATTATTTTTCAGTTTTGGCTAGCAGGGTAGCCCCAGGTAGCAACCGAATTTCATTTTTCGGCAGCACATAAATATTCCGATTATGCTGGAATGCTTGAGTCAAACTTCACATGAAAGATCGCGGATCTCAGTTGAACTATCTATTAAATCATATATTGAATTGGATCATATTATATGCAATAAAAAGCAGGCTAGAATCATCCTATCTACATAGATTTTGACTTCATTTATGTTTAGTATATTTGCATAAATATATGTATATCCCAAATTGATATTCTATCTAGATCTGTCTGGTTATTCCATATCTTCATTCCCCATACCCATACCCATACCCATTCAGAACAGATACATATAGCATATCTGCTGACGCACTGCGTCATCTGTCATACATGAGTTGTGTGGTGTGTGAGATAATCCACACTTATCGGTTAGCGCTTGCGGATTGGTCAGATTTCAGGGCTCGTCCCATATCGGCTCGGCATATCTCGCAATTTCGATAAACAACACAGTATATGTCCGAGTATGTAGTTTATTATATAAGCGAGAGCAAACAAATAAGTTGGTGCTAAGCGGCTCGCGGTGCCGAAGAGCGCGACACACGCGCAGCATAGACACCAATGTTTGTAAAAAGAACCAAAGAGTAGCCGCCGGCGGGCAAAGAGCACGGAATAATGTACGCAATCCGATTCGAACAGGTGCCACTCACACATGCACAGATATGCAAAAGTCTGCGAGTATCATACAAAGTATTTCTTTTGGACACTCTGTCGCTCTGTCTGTCTGTCTCTTCGTCGCTCTGTCGCTATGGCGGACTGTCTGTCTTTCTGCCTCTCTTGTCTGACTGATTGACTTGCCAACTAGACACTTTTTTTTCGTCTCTTTTTCTCGTATTTCTTTGTGTGCCGATTTTTTTTTTTGTTTCGCCGAATCAAGTTTTTGCCTTTTTGACGACTCGACCGGGCCACGCGCATGTGAATTGGGTGGGTGATCGTGCATGTGTGTGTGTGTGTGTGTGTGTGTGTGTGTAACCATTTAGCATAGATTCTACCCAAAACAATTGAACAAATAGCTGGTGCTCATCGATGGTTCGGGTTCACCTAAACTTATGCCAGCTGCAGACTGAAGGATCAGATTTCCACTCAAGGTTTTTGTCCTCACGCATTAACAAGAGTCGTGCCTTGCCCTCTCTGTGGGAGCCCAGCCTTTAAGGAAATATGCTCCAAAGTAAAGTTGGCCTCAACACCCTTACATAACCTCCCAGTATCGAATAGTGGCAAAATCGTATAGAATCTTAACAGTCAACACATTTATCCAAAGCATGTAAATGTAAAGTAGGAAGAATCTTCGGCCCCATAGATGATATATGTACATATGTATGTTTATATGTAGGTACATATGTACGACCAAATTTACATAAATATGTACCTATGCATGGCTTAATTTATAAGTGGAAGAAATTATATAATGAATGATGTGTTTTATACCAGAAGATATTAATAAAGGAAAACATCGTAGGGCTCTACGTTGTATTCCGTTTCTGAAGCTACATATCTCTACACATAAATAGCTACAAATAATTGTGTCCATTATCGGATGAATTTATCATACATGTAGAATGTACAAAGCTACTACAAAAATAGTTTGGAAATGAACGTATCGATAGTGGCTGTACGAATAATTACTGATCTGAGTCTCTGTCTTCTTGTTCTTCTTCAAAGAGGCCCACGTGTCATTGACTCTCCTCTCCATTGGAATATATTTAGTTGATTTCATAAAATTTGTGACTCTTTTCTACTAGCATCTACCGATTGCCGCACGCGACCCAGGCACGAGATCAGGCATTGGTCACAAAGAGCGATCGTTAAAAATATCGTAAAACGTTATGATCCCTCTAACATTCTCTCTCCACCGCTTTCGCTATCTACTTATGTATCCGCAAACCCCCTTCGACTGTCCCTAACCTTGAAAATCCACGAAAATTATCAATTAGAGAGATAGTCGCAGCGCAGCTGGTAAACACCGACAAAAATACTGTTCTTTTATTTTCTCTTTTTTCCATGGGTGCTATTTTTGAATGCCAAAGATCGACAGTGAAAATTGGAGGCTACGATGGGGAGGGGGGTTGAGTGGCATGTGCCATGGCGGGATAAAACCTTGAGCAGTAAAAAATGTGCGAGTCTATGGATTGAGGGATGGGAACGAGAAGAACCAAAGACCGAACATGAAAATAAAGAAAGCTCGCGTAAGCAAATAAATCTCTTAAGTCCCACCCACGATTTTTGTCCATAATAAACATCAATTATATATTGTATGTATGTTCATACGTATGCATGTATATTTATATCTCACCAATTTTTGATCGGGATCGGGATGCCAGTAGATCTTTAAAAAGAAAAAATCAAGTTCATGGTAATTTTCGTTTCAAGCTAGTATATTTTTGCCTTTTGCTACATTCTTGCAGTATTGGAGAAACTTTAAGAAACACATTAAATCTAAGCGCACAAATTTCCATTTAATTGCTACTGGTTCAATGGATTCATTCAAATGTCAGAGTATACATATAGCCCCCACCGCCCCAAAGGAGCCCGGAGGCCCCACGGCAACAGAGGGAAACTCACATAACGGCAGAGGGGCCCACCGGGGCTAGACCCAGAGTGGGCAGAGGCGCGCCACAAAAGCCGGCACGGGCCACCCAGGACCCGGAACCAGGCCGGGTCAAGTGAGTGCAACTGGAGGCCAAGACACAGGTCCGAGAGAGTTGGGAACAGGACCAGGCCCGAACCGGGATAAAGGGAAGGTGGTCAGACATGCTATATAAAGGAGGCCAAGGAGGGGGGTCGGCCACGCCGCGGGGGGGTTGGGGAGGGGCCGCAGGGAGCACCAGCTGCGCAGCAGTAAAAGCGCGGGGGGGGGCCCGGGGGGCATACGACGTGGTGCTCCAGGCCCAACCGCCAAGACCACGGCATAGGGTTGTTGCCCCCCGTCTGGTTGCGCCGGACGCCGGTCGCCCCCGGGGTTTTATGCCACAGCTGTATATTAGAAATACGTAGAAAAAATCAGAGCAGAAGCGCTCGAAATATCTGATTTTTGGCTTTCACTCATATATGTATGTATGTACATACAAGCGCTTCGCTGCTTAGTAAAGGCATTCAATGTTTAGGAAATCATCGGAATTAAACAATGATAATTAAAAGCAATAAATATACTCACAAATTTTGCAATTTTTTCAGAAAACAATTTTTAATACAAAAAGGCATACAAATAAAATCTATCATAAAATGTTCTGTTCTACAGAAGCCACAAATAAATAGGCGTTCAAACACGAATTTTTAGACCAAATTTAAGATTTCTTTTTTGATTAGTTTTTAATTTTCCATGAACCTAATTATACAAAAATGTAAGAATTTTGTGCTCATTCGCAATTTGGTTCACGCGATGCGGATAAATAAAATGAAATAAGCAAACACACACTTTTGGACCAAATTTAAGATTTTTTTGATTAATTTTTAATTCTTGAGGAACCTATTTATGGGAAAGTAAAAATTTGCTTGTGCAAACCATGCCACATTCTCTGGCTATCATGCAATTTGGTGCACGCGTTGCGGAGATAGCCTTAGATAGCTTACACACAGATTTTTTTCTACAAATTTATAGTATACATAGATATACCCATACCCATATCCGCACTCCAAATGACTTGCGGAATCCCAATCAATGATGGTCTGCTGACTAAAATGCTATCTAATTTATTGGCTTCTTGAATGATTTGTCAGCGGGTGTGTGGTGTGCTGTTGGGGCAGGGGATGGGGCTACTCCTGCGATAAAGCCGCATTCATCAACCTGGCTAACCGATCGTGATCATGTGGTGCTCTGTATCTGTATTTGTATCTGTGCTTCGGACAGTTTTATCTCTCCACACTCCCTGACAGCCAAAGCTCCGGAAACGAGTATCTTTTGATCGCGGGGACTGTCAGGCGGGGGAGGACTGTGGGCGTGGTTGATAAGTTGATAACTGAGCATTTTTGCTTCTTTAAATTTTTTCGGGGAGGGCGTGTGACACAGGGCCTTACGTCAATGGATTGATAAGCTCCCCAAAAAGAGCACCCAGATGATCAGTTGATCAGTTTTTTGAGTGGCAGCAAATACCTTTAACTGCCTATATCGTTGCCATATCATACGATTAATACTGCGTAGTCCGTGAAACCCTATAGCCCCCCTGCATAACAAAGAAAGCGATATTTGAATTTGTGAATAGCATTGAATGGGATCACTCGAGACTCATGGGGAGGGCAGGGCAGCGCATGCCTAAGCGGGGTGCCACAGTTCCAATTGCCTCGACATAGTTGGCTGTTGGCTGCGGGCTGCGATTAAAGTAGCTCGATCTCCGCTGAACCCCAATCCGATTTTACGTCATTGTACATATGCACCACCACCCCCACCCTCAGCCGCCACCTTCACCCGCTGCTCCCACCGTTTCGCGTCCATCAAGTGCGTAATTTGCGAATTCGATTTCGATTTCAATTTCGAATTAGCAAGAACTTAAGCCCAATTTTCGATTAACAACAACAAAGTGATACATTTCCGGTGCAAAACATAATGAATATTTACAGAAATGAAAACAACAAGAGACCAAGATAAGTATAGTCAATTTATTTACATTACGAATGCCAAACTAATTATATAAAATCAGAGAGTGGCTTGCCAAACACTCGAATGTTTTTTATTACCACCTCAATGAGTGCAATAATAATCAAATCCTAGCGATTTTTTAATATCTACTATACCCTCTATGGTGTGCATATTTACAGATTTGTGGGTAATAGATGCTATCTGTGTAGGATAGGATAGGATAGAGGATTGAATGTTTATATTGATCGGGAAATAAGCTTTCTTCTGGCTATTGCCTCTTTAAGAATCCAATACACTCTGTGGCTATACTGTGGCTATACTGTGGCTTTACTGTGGGTACACATGAGATCGAGCCCGAATGCTGCTTCTCCGATGACGCGTTCGGCTATCAAGGTAAGAAAAACGGATCGAAAATAAGTCATCAAAACAATAACAAAATGATTGTAAAGATTCAGGGGAAAAAACAAGTCAGTCGAGGGGCAAGTGGGACGTTAAGGCATATTACGCATACGCCTCATGGGGTGACGTTAAATATATGCACACAGATGTATACATACAATCTGTATGTATGTTTGTATATGTATGAGAAAAGTGGGCCCGTTTCAAGCGAACGCGCCTCCAAAAACACTCACCCACACGCATGCAGATAGCGAGATATTGTATACATGCACGGACACACCCCCCACATCCGCGCACACATACAGCTATTGCCACAAATGTGGGCGTCCTTGATCATGCCTTCGCGTGTAAGGTAAGCAGTGTAAGCAGTTCAGTGACTTTTGCTCTCGATGTGCAGTGCAGTTGCAGAAGTTTTGCGTTCGTTCCAGCCCATGCCCATATTCCAGTTACACTTTCGCTCAGTGCACGATTGTTGTTTATCTTTCAGTTACGTCGGAATATACCAAATGCACGTGGAAATCGTTTATCATGTTGTTTTCGTGCAATTTTGTTGATCTTCGCCTTAAAATATTATTAATAACAATAACACCCCGTGCTAAAGGGGAACGGAGATAAATGGGAGGGAGAGCTATGGAAAGGAAAAGGAAGGTCAATCACAACCACTGTGACCCACTAAGGAGAGGAGGAGACCAACGTTACACACGCACAAATAAACAGAGAGAGAGAGAGAGAGAGAGAGAGACGGAGAGAGACCCACAGACACACATTACAACAGGGTCAGAGAGCCACAGCCCGAGTGCGAGTGCGAATGCGATGCGAGTACAAGAGACAGAGTCACACTCTGTCTAGGCCATTGACATTGAAACTATTCGTATTTGTATCGCGCGATAGATACGGCATAAAGCAGCGAGGAAGACGATGAGGAAAACGTTAATTTATTAGTTTATCAATCAGCCGCGCAGCTGCCAAAGAGAAATAAAACAGCAAGAGAGAGACGTACAGAGAGCGCAATGTAAAATGTTGCTCTTCCCCTTTGCTCTTATCGCTGGTCTCTCTCTTAAGTTACAGCCAAAGCACATGGCAGTTGGCAGCATAAAAGCTATGATCATGATGTACTCGATTTAGATATTGCATCAGCCAGGATTCGAATTGGTGTCTAGTCTACATACCATTCACGGGTGTGTATGTGTTTTTTTTTTTGCACAATCTGTTTCTTGGCAAACAACACAAAACGGGGAACAGTTCGTGCCTTATCAGTTTTGGGAAACTACAAATACAAATAAAAAAAATTAACTGGGAAACGACAAAAATATAGCGAAATGTGCGCGTCATGTTGTTCAGCTGCTGAGTGGAAAAACAATCTTCCTTCGTTTATTTCCCACACCATTTTTTCGCATGATAAATGGAGGAATCCAGGAGCCTCGAAAAAACGGAACTGTTCCTTAGCCAGGTAGTAGGAGAGGAAGAGGCGATAACACGTGTGCGTCATTTAGACAGCAATTTTCCCTACCATCGTGATCATTTCCGTAGCTTTCCTGGGACAAACGGAGATAGTAGTGGTAGAGGTAAAAAAACAATGAACTTAATGAACGATTTCATCAGCGAGCATTATCTATGAGTTTTACTGGAAAAACCCCAATCGAACATATGTCAATAGATATATGTATGTATGTAAGTAGCTGAAAAACGGATATTTCCACAAATACATTCGTATGTACATGTACATATGTACCTGGGCATACATACTTATTTATATATATGTATATTTAATGGAAAAGTACACAGCACAGGCACAAAACCGAGTAAACAACGAAAAAACTAGAGGAACCCAGAAGAGAAAAAGCCGCCCAAAAAATTCAACTCGAACAAATTTGTCACCCAAAATGAACTGAAAATAATGGCCTGAAATTGGCTTTTGCGCTGGTTCCCAAAAACCAACAAAAAATCCACGAAAAAAAAGCTAAAAAAAAAAATTTAAGAACAACAAATTTTGTTGCCTACCAAAGATCGTCGTCGGATCGGTGCGTCCAAATAAGTACGTACACAGCCCATGGGGGGTACTGTTACCGTCCCCTTCCAGAGCACCACCCCACCGCAGAGGCCGTCAATCGTGTTTTCGAAAACACAAGCCGAACGGGAGCCGACGCGAGAGCCAGAGAGGCAGTGAAAGAAAACATTCGATTTTATGCTTTGTGTCTGACTGGGCACTGTACACTGACCAACACGCAAATTGGCCACTCGGGAAAACTTTGCTCTGCGAACGGAGGATATCAACATAGAAATAGCTGGAAACAATTCAAAGTTTTCACGGAGGAGTATTAAATGGATATTTATGGCAAGATGGGCATTTAGAATATTCAACTCATTTGATCGTACTTTTTTAGTGCAGTGTATTTGTCTGCCTCTCTTTTGGGACCGGCCACTGTGCTGTGCGCTTTCTGCGCAAATTCTCTTAATCAGCGGCTGACTGCCACGTTCCAACGGTAAACAAGGCGCTCTGACGCCGAGCGCTGTCTCTTCCGAAGCAATTCCTCCGATTCTCTAGCTGAGAATCGTACGACCTGCTCACACACACACAAGCCCACACACACCCGCATGCTGGCAGCGGCGACGGCGGCGGCTATAGATAGAGGAGCGCACTGCGCCAGCAGCTCATTTCTTGCAGCAACTCGTTCAGACACACATGTGCGAGAAGAATACCTGAAGAGAAGCGAAGCAGATCGAAACTCAATTAAATATATATAAACTTAGTGATATATAATTTATTTTTTTTGCTGTGTACGAGTGTGGTAAAGTGCGATTCCTCGAAAGCGAAACAATAAATAAATCCAAGGGATACAAAGTGCAAAGAACAGGCTCAGAGCCCAAGTGAGAACGTGAACTTTTAAGCAAACTCAAATACCGGCAAGGTGGGCCCAACAAGGAAGAGAAGAAGCGAAGAGAGTCTGCGAGATCGGAGCAAACGGGAAAGAAAGTTCATAGCCCAGCAACATGACTACCAAAATGGCAATAAACGCAAAGGTTTGTACAATGCGAATTCCGTTCAAATTCCAATACATAATCCAAAATTATGCTAATATTCGGGCAATACCATCGAAATCAAAATCTAATCTCATCGGAATACTCAAAAAAGCCAGGTCCAATAAAACCCAGAGCCCATCTAAATCTAATAATATTGCTAGCTAAATTTAGACAAGTCATAAATTATATTTTCTTTGCGCCGCCCAATTAAAATTTGTTGTAATAAGTTAGCAACAGTCTGAAATCTGTATTTGTTGTTGCTTTTATGTTTGAATTATTATTGTGAATATTACTAAATGCAAATCACGACACTCGACTGATTTATTTTTATCAGTTTCCAAAACGGCAGCAAACTCAGACAAAAACACTTAAAATATGTGCTATAAAACAAAGTGAATGAACTGGAAGCCCCCTGCCTAATCGAAATGGGAGTTCAGTAAAGAATTTTACTGGGCTCGTTATAGAAATAAAACGTTCAAGAAATTCCATTGAATTTCTCAAAGAATCTGGAGGCAATCCATTGACAAAAATAATGAAAATTTTCGGTATTATTCGGTGAAGAAAGTTTAGCTCCACTAATTTAAAATTCCATTCCATTAAATCCTGTTCAACCCTGTGGAAAGTATTTCTAGTTATAATTTAGTTAGGATTGATTCATCAGGCATTGCCCACTCTCAGTTCCATTTAAAATAGGACAAATGCTTTATTTTGGGCATTTATGGAGACATCTTATCTACTCCCCGCTCGGGCGTAATCTCTGGGGTTAGATCGCGGGGTAAGGCTGGTGGGGGAGGGCGTGATAAGCCTCGATCTGGCAGACATTTAGTCGACCAGTTTTTGAACTCTATTATTCAATGTGGCACGTAGTTGTTTATTATATTTCATTTTATTTAATTTTTTTCTTCGAATATTTGGCTTTGCTGTCGACTCGGCTTTGGGCTGATGCAATGTCAGCAACAACTGACGGCAGTTTCGGACTAGTTTTGGCATCGACTGAGGCAAAGCAAAGGCTTAGTCTATTGTTTGGGGTATTTCATCAGCTTTAAAGTCAGAAGATCAGCGGGCAGGGCAGGCATCAGCAAAACAAGTCTCCCAACTCTGCTGATTAGCGACACAGATCTGACCCAGAATCTAGACAGGTGAAGCCAGCCTATTCGGCCTGCTTCTCGGTGCTTCCTCTTGGTGTTACATCGCATCGAACGAATGGCAAATGGCGAACGGCGACGGACTGGAATGCAAATCGAAAATGGATTTTAATTTGGTGATTTCGAAATCATTTCGGGTCTAGACCTAAATTAGCATAATTAGCCAAATCATTGGCTCATTAGTGTCACTCAACTCAACCTGGCCGACCGTACATTCTGACCGTGTGCCGTCTGTTTAATTGCAGGACATCTTCCGCAACCAGCATCGGATGATCAAGTTCATCGCCCAGTCCATCCGCCTGTGCAGCAACCAGTCGCTGAAGGCCGCTCAGGCGGCCCAGCAGCTACAGCAGCAAAAGTCCTCGGTGGACTTTGAGATCACCGCATCGGTGGACACACAGTACACACATGCCCCGGAGCCCATCAAGCACGACAAGGATCTGGGCCATCTGTTCAAGGCATCGCAGATGTCGGTGCGCCTGGCCACGCCCCAGCAGCTGCAGCCGAAGCCGGACAACGATGAGGAGCTGGGCTTTGGCCGCCTCTTCACCGATCACATGCTCAAGATCTACTACCACAAGAATCTGGGCGGCTGGCAAAAGCCAGAGATCACGCCGCTGGAGAACCTGGTCATGCATCCCGCTGCCAAGGTCCTGCACTACGCCGTAGAGGTAAGCCCAACCGCTCTCCACTCCAGGCTCAGCTCTGCCACTCACCCTTCGTTCACCCGATCACCCACCCACAATCATCCGTACCGTAATCTCTGGATGACCCAGCAGCAACACGACACGACGCGACACGACACGTGTGATCTATGTTGACGTCGAGTCATCGCCTTCGTCGTCCCCATCTCATCATCATCTGATCTCTGTACTGGCTGCTGGCTGCTGGCTGTTGCCAAAGGGTGTCTTATCAGGCGACTGACTGATCGATCGATTCGTTGCAGCTCTTCGAGGGCATGAAGGCGTACCGGGGGGTCGATGGAAAGATCCGAATTTTCCGGCCGGACATGAACATGGCCCGCATGAACCTGGCCGCCCAGCGCTCCGGGCTGCCCACCTTCGAGGGCAAGGAGTTCGTTCAGTGTCTGTCCCGCCTGCTCTCCATCGACTCCGAGTGGGTGCCGCACACGGACACCGCCAGCCTGTACATCCGCCCCACACTCATTGGCATCGATGTGAGTATCCCCGATCTCTGCTCCCTGAGCCCTGATCCCTGATCCCTGATCAAGTAATTAAACTTTGATGATCCTCGCACAGCCCACGTTGGGTGTGGCCTCCTCGGACTCGGCCCTGCTCTACACCATTCTCAGTCCGGTGGGCAGCTACTTTAAGACGGGCTCCACGGGAGCCGTCTCGCTGCTAGCCGATCCCGCCTACACACGCGCCTGGCCCGGCGGCGTCGGTAATCGCAAGATGGGCTCCAACTACGCGCCCACCATCAATGTGCAGAAGGAGGCGGCGGCACGGGGCCTCCAGCAGGTGCTCTGGCTGTACGGTGAAGATCACCAGCTGACCGAGGTGGGCACCATGAACATCTTCATGTTCTACGTGAACGATCAAGGAGGTGAGTAGCGAGTGGCCTCCCCTGGCATTCTCTTTACCGTTTCAACAGGTCCATTAATCTTGGTTTTCATTGAAATTTTCAGAACAAGAACTGATAACGCCGCCACTGAGTGGCCTGATCCTGCCAGGCATTACGCGCGACTCCATTCTGAACATGACCCGCCAGTGGGGCAAGTTCAAGGTGCGCGAGGCCAACATCACCATGCCCATGGTCTGTGAGCTGCTCAACCAGGGAAGGGTAAGCACAGAGATCCCCACACATTGATCCCCCCCAACTCTGGATCTCATTGGGTTTTTCGTTGTTCCGTTTGCTTTCAGCTGCTGGAGCTCTTCGGCGCGGGCACTGCGTGCGTGGTTAGTCCCGTCAATCGAATCAATTATCTCGGACAGGACCTCTATGTGCCCACCATGGAGCAGGAGAAGCCCGTGCACGAGCTGATCCGCGAGACGCTCACCGACATCCAGTACGGCAGGGTGGATCATCCCTGGTCGATGGTGATTGACTAAGCATTTCAGCTAACCCCTGTCCCTTATCCCTTATCCCTCATCCCATACCCAATCCCCCTCCCCCTCCCCTTCCCCTGTGCTGCGCTGTGTATTAGTAGGATTTAGTTGAGGAAAGTGTGTGTGTGTATGCTTGTGTGGGTGCTCGAATTTTGTTTCGTTTGTTGCGCTGCGTGCATTTTGTCCGCATTTATTTGTACACTATAAATAGATGTCTACCGATAAGATGAGGGTCGCTATATAGATGTCTATATAACATTCGATTAAGTTGCATTTAGTTGTATATTTATTTATTTATATTATGGATTCGATATCCATTCAATTTGTTTATTGTACATATTCCAACCGGGTTGAATGATATAAGTATATTGGATTTTGTTTTTTTTTTTCCTCATTCTGCTTATTTAATCTCTTTTTGTGTGTGAGTGCGTGTGTGCGTGTGAGTGTTTTATTTTTTCTTTCATTTTTTACTTGTTTTTTTTTAAGCTTTGAATCAACTTTTTGCGCTTTTACTTCCAAGCAGTATCTGAATCAATTCAAAAATTTACCAACTAAAAGAGTAAATAAAAAAAAAACAAACAAAAAAAAACAAAAGAAAAACTTTGGAACAAGTTAAAAACGTACCGGAGGCGAAATGCATTTATTAGTATGTAAGTTGTCAAGGATCGAGGATCGAGGATCGCGAATAGAAACTGATTGTCTTCTTGGAGGTAAAAGCAGCGCGAGAAGAGCTGTGACTAAAGCAACCAACCCCCCACCACCCCACACACCCCTCCACAAACAAAAACAAAAACCTATCTCTAAATTGTCTAGGCTAAGATAAAACCATATCCGAATCCGAATCGAGATGTATGTATGTAAACACTAGTATGTAATTGTTAAACGAATCAATCGATGAATAAACATGAAAAACTGAACAACGCCAAGCTGAAAACTGAGCTGAACGGCAGCTGCTCCCCAATGGGATTGGGTGCAAAGGAAACTCTCTGCTAGTTGAAGCATTTATTGGAATGGAATTGAATGGAATGGAATAGAATGAAAAGGGGAAGAATGCAAATCAGATATGTTTGCTGGTCTCCAGATTGAGGACCTTCTGCTCGTTGGCGGTGAAGGTGAACGGTCGCATGGCGTTGAGCACCTCCTGGGGTTGGCTGCGGAGCAAACGGAGTCGCTCCTCGGCCACGGCAGTATCCTGTGCGTCCTGCAGCTGGGCCAATGCCGCGGTAAGGTTACGCGCTGCCTCCACCTCGGCGTTGCGGCGGTGCTGGTTGGCCATGGCCAGCTGCACCATTTCGTGGTGGCTCTGCATGTTCTTCTTGTACATGGTCGCGGTGCGGTCGTCGTACAGGCGGTGCTGACGCTCGCCAAAGGAGGTCGGGTCGCGGGAGATGTCGTTCCCGGTAGTGGCCCATTGCTCGCGGAAGTACTTGTCCTCCTTGCGCTGCATGCTCACCTGGTCGCGGTTCGCATAGCTCGCGGCCTGCTGGGTGAGAATCTTCTCCAGGGCCTTCTTGCTCTCTTTGGCATTGTACTCGCGCTCGAGCAGGTCGATGAAGAGCTCGTCGCGCGTCTCCCGGTCGTGACGGATCTGGCTGAGCTGGAAGCCCAGCCGGGCGCTGTTGATCTCCCTCGCCTGGATCTCGTCCGCGCGGCGCTTCATGTCCTTGGCCACGAACGCGGCCGTCTTCGGGCCGAACGAGTCGAGAATGCCACGCTGGGGGCGGCCCACATTCACCTTTTCCTCGGCCTCGCGGGCCGCTTGCTTCTGGTCGGCGGTCTTCTTCAGCGACTCTTGCAGCTCCTTGCGCTGCAGTGCAAATTTCTCGGCCTCCTGCTGCTGCTCCAGAGCGTACTGATTCTGGAACTCGATCAGCTCCCGTCGCTCCGCCACCTCGGTCTCGTGCTGCTCGCGCAGGCGCTTCTTGGACGCTTCCGCAATCTGGGCCATCAGTGCTTCACGGAAGGCGTTGGCCTTCTGGTCCGCCACCAACTGCTCCTTGAGCACCTGCAGCTCCAGCTGCTTCTGTTGGGCCTGGGCCTCCTCCCGCTCGGACTGCTTGTCGACGCTCTTCACCTTCGCCTCCGATTGCATGTGCTGCCTGACGACCAGCGCCGTCTTGGCCACGTTCACCTCCACCTGCAGGTCGCGCAGTTCGGGCACATTCCGCTGCAGCTGCACGCGGCGACTGTTCGCCACCATCTCGCTTTTGCGCTCCTTGACCAGGGCCCGTATCAGCTCGGAGTCAATGCGCTGCTGCTGCTCCTTCGGACGCATTTGCATTCTGCGATTGAGTGCCAGCTGCTCCACCTGGAACTTGACGGTGCGAAAGACCGCATTCTCGGCTGCCGATGACTTTGTAATCATGGGATAGGCTTCCTTGTCAAAGTCGCTGCTCCCGATCGGCAGCGGCTTCATCATCGACAACATATTGTTGAGCGGCTCCTGGGAGACGACCGCAAAGATCGAAACGCCGGGATCGTCCCATGCGCCATACTGTATGCGGGGCTGTGGCTGTGGCTGTGGCTGCTGCCCCACTTTGGCTTTTGATGGCTGGCTGCATTGTAGCTGCCTCTTTGTGAATTAGTTTTTGGGTGTATTTAGATTTCCCGAATGGGCTACGAACTTACGAAATATAGAGAGTGTTCTATAGAGTGTACATAGGCTAAAAAGGTGTTCTATCAACTGAGAGCAAGCGAGTCAGGTCTGACGCCCAGCGAAAGGTTTCGAATGGCCAGATCTGATCGGATCGGATGGGATAGCCTACTAAAAATGTAACATAAATATACGCGCCAGCTACCATTGACATGGATCTCAAATTCTATCAACTGATGCCCGCAGGAGCCTACCAGGAGCCCCTCGGGGAGAGCTTTGCCAACATTTCTGTGGCCATTCGCAGCGGAATTGTGTCGCTGTGCCAGAATGTCGCTCTGTCTAGTGCACTTTGGGCGACACACATTTTCCAAGCCTCTCAATGGCTAAGGATTAATTTAACTAGTTTAATTTATCAATTTAAAACTAAAAGTATTTTAAAACGTTTGTCAAATCATTTTTCATTAAATGTGGGCACACCTCAAAGCTTCTGCATCTACCATTTACTGCGGAAATTATTATTGACCAAGATTCTTGGTTGACAATGACTGCGACAGTAAAATGATTTTCCTTGTACATTCCTTGTACATTTGCCTGTCTCGCCTTTTTATTCTATTACTGTACAAATTATTAAGAGTATTGCAAATTACTATTAAACTTTCTTTATCGAACAAATTTAATCAGAAATATTACATATTTTATATGGGCAAATATGGACAGTTCCATTCTGGAGTTGATCTATCTAAAAAAAAATCTTGAAAAAAAATAAACAAAAATCCAAATATTTGGAGAAAAGATTATCCTTGTTGAATAGTAATTGAGAAGCCCTAAATTCACCAAAAAAATCATCGAGCGTAGGGCTTTAAAGATATCAGCCAAAATATAACCTCAGGTTTTCGAGGTTGGGGTACAAATTGGGTAGGACTTACGAATAAGTAGAAGTATAAGTATAAAAATTTGTTGTGCATAAATATGAAATCTGAAGTGTAAATTTTCAATGCTTTTTAATTGTAAAAGCCTGTCCTGTTTTAAACTTAGAAATAAACCTTAGGAGATTTTTAACTTTTTTATCAAATGTTAATGCTAGTTTTAATCTTTTTTCTAGGAGATAATAGTCAAGAAATAATAAAAGAAAATATGAATATAAAAATTCCATGAAATACCGAAAACGTGTACTGTTGCTTATTTTAATAGTTTTTATTTGAATGAGATTAATGAGATATGTCAAGTGGGTTAATTCAGTAAATATAGAAAATAGTATTGGCACAAAAGTGGATATATAAAAATCAGTTTTGATTGATTTTTCATGATTTTTGGCCTGGTGGACCTTCTGGCGGAACTTCCCATATGCACCGGTATAAAAGATAGACTTTGAAAATTGACTGTAAAGCTTCTAGATTAACTTAAGAAGGTCTTGCTTTTAAATGCAGTTTTATTATGATGACCACTTTTCAACCGATTCGTGTATTTCTTTGTCCTTCGCTGATAACTTTCTGAACTGTGCATCCAGGCTACAGAGACATAATACAATCGAAGCAGAAAGGAGCCCGGGGAAAGGTGAGTGCCAGTATTGTCAGTACTCCTTGTTTTAATTGTTACTCGTAGTGAAAGGAGAAAAGGAATCCCATTTTGCAGTCTAGTCCGAGCCGAAAATGTCCCACAACTATTCAAAAAACAACCAGAATGGCAATGATCCTGCCTCTGCCTCTGCCTCTGCCTCTGCCTCTGCATCTGCCTCTGCATCTGCCTCTGTAGCTGTTGTTGTACGCGTACGTCCAATGGCCAAAACGGAGTTGAAGCGTGGGTGCAGCGTTGCGGTGGAGCGAGCAACGGACGGGTCGCCCCAGATCTCGGTGAATCGGAAAAAGTGGTTCAAGTTTAACCATGTTTTCGACCACACTGACACGCAGAAAGATATTTTCGAGACCTGTGTCCAGGCGAAGGTGAGGAAGCTGCTCTATGGCTACAACGTGACCATCCTTGCCTACGGGCAGACCGGCTCGGGCAAGACCTACACCATGGACACGGCCTGCAATGGGGTGCTGGACGACAGCATGGGCGTGATCCCCAGGGCAGTGCACAGCATCTTCCAGCACATTGGACTGCTGAAGGATGAATACGAGTTCAGTGTGGCCTGCTCTTTCGTTGAGCTCTACCTGGAGCACTCGTTCGACCTCTTTTCCCCACGAAAGAGCCCCGTTAAAATGCACGAGTCCGAGAACCGCATTCTCATGCCTGGTCTCACGAAGCTGGAGGTTAGCTCCGCCCAGGAGGTAACCAGGCATCTGATGAAGGGCTGTGCCAAGCGGACAGTCGCATCCACGGCGATGAGCAGGAAATCTTCCCGATCCCACGCAATCTTCACAATCACCATCGAGGCCAGGAAGTTGTGTGGGGGAGCAGACTCCGTGACGACTGCCAAGTTCAACTTGGTGGATCTGGCCGGCTCGGAGCGCTGCACCAAGACTTTGGCCAGAGGCGACCGCTTCAAGGAGGGCGTCAACATTAACAAGAGTCTCCTGGCCCTGGGCAACGTCCTGAACGCCTTGGGCTCCGCTCAAACTCCGCCTGCACACGTTCCCTACCGACAGTCCAAGCTGACGCGCTTCCTGCAGGAGTCGCTGGGCGGCAACTCCATCACCCTGATGATTGCCTGCGTCAGTCCCTCCGACTACAATGTGGCAGAGACCCTCAGCACCCTGCGCTATGCGAATCGAACTCTCCAAATTAAAAACAGGCCGGTGATCAACATGGTCCCGCCTGTGGACGAGTTCGACACTCAGCAGCAGCGCAGGGAGCTTCAGGCCAGCGCAGAGTCACGCCCCAAGAGTTCCAGCGACAATCTTTCGGGAGCGACCGAAGACCAGCAGAGTGGGGAGGATGGTGGCGGTGGCGGTGGCGGTGGCGGTGGCGTTGTCGATGCCCTAATGGAGCAGATGGAGGAGATAAAGCTTGCCTTTCACGATCTGCAGATGCACAGCCAGGAGGCTCGGCACCAGTTGAACGATGGGCGCGGGGACGAGGTACCGCTGCCCAAGCTGCTCGGCTTCCAGCCAGAGAAGATCACCAGCGAGCAAATGGAACTGATCGACGAACTGCGCACCCTCAACCAGACCCTGGAGCAGAAGCAGCTGCTGTACGACTTCATCTGCTGCAACTTCTCGGAGCAGGACTGCGACGACGGGGAAGCTGGCGCAGATCTCCTGGCCAAGGGGCGCGTCCTGCTCAATCAGCTCTCCAACATGAAGGGGAAGGACACCTCGGGCACGTCAGCCGAGACGCGAGCCAAACAGATGCAGCTGTTGCAGGAGCAGACCATCAGGCATCTCACCCTGGTCGAAGAGCTGAGGATGCGCAGGGAGGATCGCAATAGTTTGAGCGAACTCAACGCCGAAATGAAATCCATAAACGAGTCCAAGTGGCAGATTATCCAGCAGTACCGCCAGTCGAAGATGGAGAGCAATGAGCAGCTGATCCAGCCCGAGGGCAAGGACCGTAGGCCGAAGGGAAAGAAGATGAAAAGGTGCGAGGATGCCCAGGCCCAGGTCCAGGCCAAGAAGCAGCTCAGTCATAGCGATGCACCCGATGCACCCGATGGCCAGCTATCGGCACAGAACAAAGGGAAAAGCGACTCTGGCAAGTGGATCGATGAGGAGTTGGATGTCATCCTCTCCCTGGTGGACGCTGAGCACGAGATGGCGGATCGGGAGGCGATTACCAACGAATACAATTATGTGAGAGAGCAGCTGGCAAACGCGGACTTGGAGGAGACTAAGAAGGCCAGATGGCTGGCGCAGATCGGGGAGGAGCAGGAGTTGCGCAACGCCCATTTGGACGATCTGCAGCAGAAGGCGAGCATCAAAGACTTGGACAGTCGCCTCCGGTGCTTCACCTCAGAGAACATCGACGAGTTGCGAGAAATCCACCAGAAGACGCTCAGCGCCCTCGTCCTGCAGCGGCGCCAGCAGGTGGTCTGGCAGAACGAGCAGCAGGACCTGGACGACGAGCAGAGCGCCCTGCAAGAGGAGAAAGACGAACAGATCGAAGCCTTGACCAGGCACCTGTCCCAGGCCAAGTCCCATAAGGAAGAGCTGATGCAGAAGGTGAGCCTCCTGCTACGCTCCCACGAAGCCCTCCAGCAGATGGACGAGCCTCTCAGTGAACATTCCGGCGAGAGCGGGGATGCACGCGACAATAACGAAGAGTTCCCTCAGCCCACAGGCAAGTCATTCCAATTCAACCGAGTCTTGAATCTTAAATCTAAAATTTCCTTTTCTTTGACTGTAATTCTCCCCTGTGTAGGAAGCGCGAAGGAGGCCAGCGGCAGAAGCGGCAGAAGCGGCGACAATGGTTCAGAAGAGTAACCGCTCTCCACTTCGGTAGCCCAGGATCACGGCAAGGCTAACCGGGCGAATTGATCTTCAAGGAAACGGAACGACTCTCTTCTGCATATCTCTCTGCCGGATTTTGATCCGTCGGATCGTTGGGATCGTTCGATTATGCTCTCTGGGGTCTAGCCCCGTCCGATCTTCCTCCTCGAAGTAGACTCTTCGGCAGCCTCTTAATTGGATTTGGCTTAGTTTTCGTTTCAAACTACTTCAACGATTTAATACTTTATATATTTTGTTACCAACCTGAACAACAGGGGTTTTAATCACAGCCATCTATAGGACAGAATTCATTTCGCTGTCTAGTAGAGGGCTTAATGGGTATCATATATCGTTATTATCCGTGTGTGGCCCAGGGTTTTTGCACTGATGTGAGTTAAAGCCCAAGAGGACGTTAGTTTATTATAGTTGTAGTTTTGGCAACGTTTATTTGATATTATTTGGATTTTGCCTTTGATTATGTGTAGTGTAAAAGTATGTGGCGGGATATGGCTATATTTTTCGAAGGCTTTCTCCCGGCCTAATTGAGTGCGAAAGTATAGTACCGAGGAGTTAACTTCGCCAGAGTTGAATCGGGTCCGGGAGGGACTCGAAAGATCTATACTTGAACGAGGAAGAAGGCACGAGAGTTGCCCATGAAGAGGTGATATGCTACAAGGCGTGAGAATCGTTCTATTTATCCGCGAATTCCTGAAGAGACTGCCCTACCGTTGCTCCCTGCCCTTCAGAGCCAGGCGAGGAACTTTGTGTTTAAGGTCTCGTTGCTCGTCAGTCTATCCCGCCGCCATTAGTTATATTACTATGTATTTACTGAAAATGTAGTATAGTTAATATTTAAAATACAATGTGTTTTAAATTTCAATATTTTGTGTATTATTTGTTACCATTATCTAAAATATTTAAAGTTTCAAAGTGGCTATGAGTTATCAGTTAATAAAAGTATTTTGTCATCGGTATAATTAATACATACATAATAAAGTGTGGAACCTTTTACTTTTATACTTTATCGGGCACTCGCTTACACTTTTGTTAAAAGTACTTTGTTTTATTATTGGCCAGTAATATTTGGAATAATTGAATGTAACAATGTAACAATTAAATTACACTTTTGGGATTTACTTGCGGTTGGTGGCAGCACAATTTCTACACTTCTGAGTGGTTATAGCTCTTATTTATGGTATAATAAAACTTGAGACAGTAGTGGCAAAAGTATGCTGAACAATGCGATCTATTATGTTGTGAGTACAATAACTTCTTCATGCACGTTATAAGGGCATAATGCGCGATTTGCTTGTAACCATTATTTATACCCAGTAGGCTTAGGTGTCGGCTTCGAACCTCATTTGTTCGTGTTGTAGGTCCTATTACACGATTGCCATTGTCAGCATCAACTCTATATATATTGAAGCTGAAATCCACATTATTCAGTTCAAATCGCTTTATTCCTTTAGTTGTTATTGGAAACTCAATGCCCGAAAAATCTAATCTACAACCGTCATAGTAAATGATGTCCCTACTGATGTCCAATATATAGTGCTCTCGGCTTGAAAGTATTGCTCGGGCTTGTTTTTTTTGGGCTGGCGTCGTGAATGTAGTTCTTAGGTATCTACTGTACGCCAATGATGCTAAAACACACCACTTGAAGCAGAATGCATCCACATTCTTAACATTTATTAATGCACTTCGGGATTTTATTTTTGGTGGTGCTGGAATGTGTCCATTTCCAGGTATATTGCTGTCCAATCTAGTTATTGTGAGCTCAAAATATTTAAAAATTTGTATGGCCCAAACTGAATTTTGTTCCTGGAATTTACTGCTCAAAGTTATTAAATGTTCGAGGGCTTGATCCAGTATTTGAATAACAAATTCATTGTCGTAGATAGAAATGATTGTCGTCACGTAATGCATCGATGTTTCCAGTGTGGTTTCATCATTAGTTTGCTTGACATACGGTCCAACTACTTTTAAATAAAACTGGACTTGTTTGAACTCACTTAGGCCGCACAGCATTATTTTTAGTAAATCCTTTTTGCAATGCTTATAAAATTCCTTTAAATCGATCTGGGCACTCTTATCGCCCCGAACACGATATGTTTTCAATCGATGTGGCCACCTCGTGGGAATGAGAGTAATATTTTTTTTGCCGAATAGCTGAGCAGCTCTGGCATTCCTATGCTTTTCCGAAATCAAATGGCGGATTTCCCGCGACGAACGGTAACTCTCTCCGCAAACTGAGCAGACAATTTTTTGTTGTTGGTGGAGACCACTTGAAGTCAACCCTTTGTCCATGATGACATCAAACGCATTTCGGGAACCCATGCATCTCTCATAATGAGAGGCAAACTGCACGCTTCTGACGGTCTTAGTACAGAGGTCACATACTATTTCTGCTGCCATGTTTACACGGTTTTTGTTTCTGATTTGTATCGACCAGTTCCACTGCTAGAAGAGGACTAAGGGTTTTTTCTAAATGACTCTCTATTTATCTACTTGAAATGGAATGGCAGGTAAAAATGTGAGGCACACATAAACGACTTCTCGTCTCTCACAGCAGAGATAATAAAAAACTAAAGAAAAAGGGACTGAGTAAATCACGAGACCTTCACAGCGGATTTTATCAAAAAAGAATGTCCTGTTTGACCGGTTTGACTGGTTTGGGTGTGGGTGACGGCTAAGGGTTGTTTCCTTCTCAGGTATAAAAACAGGTTGGCCTCTGACTTCTAGGTCGGGATCACATGTAATGGTTTTATTTTTCATGTATCGGCAGGACTTAATATACGACTATGCCATACAAAATAAGCGGCAGAAACGAGTTTTTAACTTTGTCCTAAAGAAGGTTTACGATTTCAAAATTATCAAATTGAAATTATTCTTCAACAAAAATGGTTGAATCCCAAAAGAAAATGTAACCTATGGTTTTTTATCTTTCCTGTATTATTTTCCCCATACAAGGCCATCATGGTTCAACCTCAACATCTTCAAAATTTAAATAGATTTTCATAAAACTATCAGGGGGGCCGCAGACTGTCAAACCGACCGAATTCCAACTGAGTTGGTTTTTTTCTAGGTGTCACAGCATGCTGTCTTGGTTGGTTTTAAAATCTCTAGTATTATGGCTAGAGATTTGATTGAAAAACATGTTTTATACGTTCGTCTTGACTTAATTAGTTAGGATATGTATCAATTTTTTCTCAGCTCCCCATGATATTTTCATTATTTAACTTTGAGTCTTATATTTGAGCGAAAAAATAAAACTCAAAGTATAATCATTATTTTTGAGTTTTATTTTTTTGCTCAAACATAATTATTATGGATAATCATTAATAATAATTAATACAAAAAATTATTATCAATAATGATTATCCTAAAAACTGAAAATTTACAATTTTTGGTGGATTATAGTTTATAGTTTATTCTTCGAGCAGTCTATTGGTCTATTTAGTTAAGTGGCTACTTTAAGTGGATGATTTTTTTGAGAAAAAAAATTTATTATTTTCGGTCCTTACAGATAGTTTTGATTAAAACCCCCGTTGTTCAGGTTGGTAACAAAATATATAAAGTATTTAATCGTTGAAGTAGTTTGAAACGAAAACTAAACAAAATCCAATTAAGAGGCTGCCGAAGAGTCTTCTTCGAGGAGGAAGATCGGACGGGGGTAGACCCCAGAGAGCATAATCGAACGATCCCAACGATCCGACGGATCCAAATCCGGCAGAGAGATATGCAGAAGAGAATGGTTCCGTTTCTTTGAAGATCAATTCGCCCGTTTAGCCTTGCCGTGATCCTGGGCTACCGAAGTGGAGAGCGGTTACTCTTCTGAACCATTGTCGCCGCTTCTGCCGCTGGCCTCCTTCGCGCTTTCTACACAGGGGAGAATTACAATCAAAGGAAAGGAAATTTTAGATTTAAGATTAAAGATTCGGTTGAATACGAATGGCATGGGACTTGCCTATGGGCTGAGGGAACTCTTCGTTATTGTCGTGTGAATCCCCGCTCTCGTCGGAATGTTCACTGAGATGTTCCTCCACCTGCTGGAGGGCTTCGTGGGAGCGTAGCAGGAGGCTCACCTTCTGCATAAGCTCTTCCTTATGTGATTTGGCCTGGGACAGGTGCCTGGTCAAGGCTTCGATCTGTTCATCTTTCTCTTCTTGCAGGGCGCTCTGCTCGTCGTCTAGGTCCTGCTGCTCGTTCTGCCAGACCACCTGCTGGCGCCGCTGCAGGACGAGGGCGTTGAGCGTCTTCTGGTGGATTTCTCGCAACTCGTCGATGTTCTCTGAAGTGAAGCTCCGGAGGCGACTGTCCAAGTCTTTGATGCTCGCTTTCTGCTGCAGATCGTCCAAATGGGCGTTGCGCAACTCCTGCTCCTCCCCGATCTGCGCCAGCCATCTGGCCTTCTTAGTCTCCTCCAAGTCCGCGTTTGCCAGCTGCTCTCTCACATAATTGTATTCGTTGGTAATCGCCTCCCGATCCGCCATGTCGTGCTCAGCGTCCACCAGGGCGAGGATGACATCCAACTCGTCATCGATCCACTTGCCAGAGTCGCTTTTCCCCTTGGTCTGTGCCGATAGCTGGCCATCGGGTCCATCTCTATGACTGAGCTGCTTCTTAGGCGGCGTTGCCTGGGCATCCTCGCACTTTTTCGTCTTCTTTCCCTTCGGCTTACGGTCCTTGCTCTCGGCCTGCATCTGCTGCTCATTGCTCTCCATCTTCGACTGGCGGTACTGCTGGATAATGTGCCATTTGGACTCGTTTATGGTTTTCATTTCGGCGTTGAGTTCACTCAAACTATTGCGATCCTCCCTGCGCATCCTCAGCCCTTCGACCAGGGTGAGATGCCTGATGATCTGTTCCTGCAACAGCTGCATCTGTTTGGCTCGCTTCTCGGCTGACGTGCCCGAGGTGTCCTTCCTCTCCATGCTGCACAGCTGATTAAGCAGGACGCGCCCCTTGGCCAGGAGATCTGCGCCAGCTTCCCCGTCGTCGCAGTCTTGCTCCGAGTAGTTGCAGCAGATGAAGTCGTACAGCAGCTGCTTCTGCTCCAGGGTCTGGTTGAGGGTGCGCAGTTCGTCGATCAGTTCCATTTGCTCGCTGGTGATCTGCTCCGGCTGGAAGCCGAGCAGCTTGGGCAGCGGTACCTCGTCCCCGCGCCCATCGTTCAACTGGGGCCGAGCCTCCTGGCTGTGCATCTGCAGATCGTGAAAGGCAAGCTTTATCTGCTCCATCTGCTCCATTAGGGCATCGACAACACCACCATCATCCGCACTCTGTTGGTCTTCGGTCGCTCCCGAAATATTGTCGGCGGAACTCTTGGGGCGTGACTCTCCGGTGGCCTGAAGCTCCCTTCGCTGCTGCTGAATGTCGAACTCGTCCACAGGCGGGATCATGTTGATCACCGGCCTGTTTTTAATTTGGAGAGTTCGATTCGCATAGCGCAGGGTGCTCAGGGTCTCTGCCACATTGTAGTCGGAGGGACTGACGCAGGCAATCATCAGGGTGATGGAGTTGCCGCCAAGCGACTCCTGCAGGAGACGCGTCAGCTTGGACTGTCGGTAGGGAACGTGTGCAGGCGGAGTTTGAGCGGAGCCCAAGGCGTTCAGGACGTTGCCTAGGGCCAGGAGACTCTTGTTAATGTTGACGCCCTCCTTGAATCGGTCGCCTCTGGCCAAAGTCTTGGTGCAGCGCTCCGAGCCGGCCAGATCCACCAAGTTGAACTTGGCAGTCGTCACGGAGTCTGCTCCCCCACACAACTTCCTGGCCTCGATGGTGATTGTGAAGATTGCGTGGGATCGGGAAGATTTCCTGCTCATCGCCGTGGATGCGACTGTCCGCTTGGCACAGCCCTTCATCAGATGCCTGGTTACCTCCTGGGCGGAGCTAACCTCCAGCTTCGTGAGACCAGGCATGAGAATTCGGTTCTCGGACTCGTGCATTTTAACGGGGCTCTTTCGTGGGGAAAAGAGGTCGAACGAGTGCTCCAGGTAGAGCTCAACGAAAGAGCAGGCCACACTGAACTCGTATTCATCCTTCAGCAGTCCAATGTGCTGGAAGATGCTGTGCACTGCCCTGGGGATCACGCCCATGCTGTCGTCCAGCACCCCATTGCAGGCCGTGTCCATGGTGTAGGTCTTGCCCGAGCCGGTCTGCCCGTAGGCAAGGATGGTCACGTTGTAGCCATCGAGCAGCTTCCTCACCTTCGCCTGGACACAGGTCTCGAAAATATCCTTCTGCGTGTCAGTGTGGTCGAAAACATGGTTAAACTTGAACCACTTTTTCCGATTCACCGAGATCTGGGGCGACCCGTCCGTTGCTCGCTCTACCGCAACGCTGCACCCACGCTTCAACTCCGTTTTGGCCATTGGACGTACGCGTACAACAACAGCAACAGAGGCAGAGGCAGAAGCAGAGGCAGGATCATTGCCATTCTGGTTGTTTTTTGAATAGTTGTGGGACATTTTCGGCTCGGACTAGACTGCAAAATGGGATTCCTTTTCTCCTTTCACTACGAGTAACAATTAAAACAAGGAGTACTGACAATACTGGCACTCACCTTTCCCTGGGCTCCTTTCTGCTTCGATTGTATTATGTCTCTGTAGCCTGGATGCACAGTTCAAAAAGTTATCGGGCGGGCTCTGGCTTCCACTCTCTTTAGCGTTTTGCATTATCAACCGAAGTATCCGTTTTCACTTTTAGGTGCTCCCGTTTGTGCAATTTGTTGTCTACTATATGTTTAATACTTAATAGTCAAAGCTCAAACTTTTATTTCAGGTTAAATTACAAATCGTATGATCATTATTTTGACATATTTTATTATGTTATTAATGGTATCAATACTGAGTCATTATTATTAATATTACTAATATAGACTGTAGTCCGGATCCCCCACGCTTTGTGCGACATAATCGATCAGCGTAAAAAGAAATGAAATGGAAGTTCAAAAGAGGTCGATATGCATCTGGACTGGTCCCAAACTCCAGCTTCAACACCTTTTGCTGGCAGAGCAGCGAATCCAGGTTGACCAAGCCGCACGGGCGACAAAGGCAGCCACCTCATGGGCCCATGTGTGTAGTGCAGCCTTGGGTCATGTCGGCCCTATATCTAGGGCTAATGATCCCCTGTTATTGCTTTGCCCTGTGTCCTTTGACCCATCCTAGCTCAGGATACTCGCTCTGTGGATGCACACTAACGCATAATGGTGGGTCCTGGTACTGGTACTGGTTCCGGTTCAGGTTCAGGTTCTGTTCCTAGTTCTAGTCCCCATTCATTAAAATTCTCTCTATATTCTCTCTATTAGTTAATTAACACTTTATCCAGAACCCATGTCGAATATGTGGATAGGAAGTGATTAAGTACCATATAAATAGATATCTAAATAGTAAGAAATTGTTGCCATCTATTTTATTACCTCACTGAAAACATACGTAGAAGAAGAGGAAGTTTCCACATCATCATCTAATGTTTCTCTCAGTTGATGATGATTGTTTGATTATTTTTAGTACGATATTTTAAGAAGTCTGTGAAGAATTATCAACTGGAAGTTGTTCGGTTCGGTTCCGCTGGTTAACTTTTCGACCTTCCTTGGATTTCTTGTAGAAGGTTTGTTAATGATTGTCCATTGGACATTCTTTATCTATTTGCCGCTATCTAAGTCCGTCAAATACTCGTAATTTTATTGACTCACTGATCGAGTTTTGAACATATGCCTTAAATGACATATGACTCTGGAGGGGCAGTACCTAAATTAAACGGTTTTGAAGTCGTCAACTATTCACGAAATGTTATCTGAAGAACAACTGTAGAACGCTTTGATTGATTCCCGGAATCGCAGTGGGCGTCGATAACGAAAAGCTCATTGCCTCCACGACCCTATAAAGGCCCAGAAATATAGCGGCCCGAGTCGAAGTTAGTCGAATACATTCGTGGCAGCAACATGACCGGCAGCAGCACCCAAGTCAAGGCGTTGGTCTGGTTGGCCCTTCTGGGCTTGGTGGCAGGAGCATGCGCCGCCCTGCATCGGATACCCGTGCGCCGCTCGGAGAAGTATGTGCGGACCCGGCAAAGTCTCATGGCCGAACGGGAGCATGTGTGGGGGAAATACAACCGAATGCCGAGCAATGCCAGCAGCAACACCAGCACTAACAGCACCAACAGCACCAACAGCACCAACAGCACTAACAGCAATGCAAGCAACAGTACCGACAGTACCCCCGCTGGAAATTACTCCGTGGAGATCCTGACAAACGTCATGAATTTTCAGTACTATGGCAGCATCAGCATCGGAACGCCGCCTCAGAGCTTCAGCGTACAGTTCGACACGGGGTCTGCGAATCTGTGGGTTCCCAGCGTGAATTGCTTCAGCGTGGACTGCTTCAGTCATGAGCAGTACACCTCCGCGGACTCTAGCACGTATCAGGCCAATGGGACCACCTTCTCCATCACCTATGGCTCGGGCAGCGTGTCGGGCATCCTCTCCACGGATGTGGTGAACGTGGCTGGACTGACAATTGAGGGACAAACGTTCGGGGAGGCCACCACAGAAACGGGCACTAGCATGGAGGATGCCTCGTTCGACGGCATATTTGGCATGGCCTACTCCAGCCTGGCCGTTGACGGGGTTCCGCCGCCCTTCTACAATTTGTTGAGCCAGAATCTGGTGGATGCGCCCGTGTTCTCCTTCTACCTCGCAAACAATGGCACCGAGGTGGCCAGCTACGGAGGAGAGCTCATCCTTGGCGGTTCCGATGCATCACTCTATTCAGGCCAACTCGTCTATGCTCCAGTGTCCAGCCAGACCTACTGGCAGTTCCAAATGGACGGCGTCACTCTGGGTAGCACCACCTTGTGCACGGACTGCCAGGCAGTGGCCGATACGGGCACCTCGCTGCTCATTGCTCCGTACGACATCTACCTGATCATCCTTTCGATAATGGATCAGAACTTTGACTGCTCTGACATTTCATCCTTGCCCACCCTGACCATCACTATCAGCGGTGTACCCTTCCAGATTCCGCCCAGTGCGTACATCATGGAATTGGATAGCTCCTGTACCCTGGGCATCGAGTATATACAGGGCACTGATTTCTGGATTCTGGGCGATATCTTCATTGGCCGCTACTACACGGAGTTCGATTTGGGCAACAATCGTTTAGGTTTCGCCTCAATGAGCTCCGCGAGTATTTCGGGTGCCTTCTCCCTATGGAAGATCCTCGGACTAGCAGCGCTTTGTGGACTGTGGAAGCTGCTCAACCTGGCAAACTAAACGCGTTCGCTTCGATCCTCAAAGTCGATCCTAGGAAATACTTACGAGTACGTATAGAAGTGTGACTTACAACCCAAAGTAGATCGCTGGCACATTAGTCATGTATTGCAGATAACACGAATATCGGTAGCCCAACGCTATCTTCTTTTTATTTCTCTATTTAAATAAACAATACGATACGATATGCATCAGGTCAATTATAGTTACAAATCCCACTCTGGAGGATCCGTATAAGCTCAGCGCGGGCCTAATTGAATGGCGGAGGAGCTTTGGCTTTGTTGGGATAATTTTCAGCTGCACGGGTCACCGATTGCAAGTGAGCGGGCCTAATTGTACCACGTGATTTATTGTGAAAAGGGAGAATAGAACCCAGAAAGCTACGCAAATTGGAGCTGATCTGGAACCGAACGCAATAAGCGCTTCATTTATGTGTTAATTATAAACGGTACTCGAAGAGTTTAGGGATCTTTTAGCTTTTTGGTCGAAGTGGATGTATGTAAGGCACAGAAGGAAGCGTTTCCGTAACCATGTATATTTATTATCGATTATCATCAATAGCCGAGACCACAATTTTCAAGATACAAGAAAACGGAAATGTAGTATCGTATAGATTTACTATTTCTACCCGATAGTCAAATCTAATTTAGATCGGATCATTATTATAGCCAGAATGAATAAATCCATTTTCAGTTGCTAACCCAAGTTGTACATGCGCCCTCTGGCGGAGGAGATGTGTAATCTACATTGTAGATGTAGATGACACAAATTTCAACAGATAAAATATTTAAAAATTCCGCATAAATCGCAAGCTCACATATATACTGACTGAGAGTACGCGTATAAAAGTAGAGTCGCGGCCACAGCAGCGACTGACAACGTTCCCTTTCGTTAATCATGTTTTTAATGGTAAAAATATCAACATTTTGAGTTTGAGCGTTCATTACGTCCATTCCAATGCGCTCCAGATGCAGTTGTGCAGTTCTTGAAGTAAAAACTTACCGTAACTGGAATGATATTCACCCGTGATATATATATATATATATATATAATAACAATTTGATGGGCTTTTTTAAAAAACATTTATGTATGTATTTCTCTTTTCTTTGTTTCATTCGCGTATTGTGTTTTATTTTCTGTTCTGCGCTTTCTGCAAATGTTGCAAATTATTATTTGTTGCTTCTTCTTTGTAGGGGTTTCTCTTAAGATTCGTTCGATCTGTACTAACCTCAAATATGAGTGTGTGTTTGTGTGTGTGTGTGTGTGTGTCCCGTATGGCTGTGTGGTCTCGTCTAATGTAGGGCAATAATCAAGTAACTGTACATATTAAATTAAGGAATTAATCCATCGGTTCTCAAACAAATGTTACAACTATTTATGTTCACGATTTTTGGGGTTGTTCTATGAATCCCTAGAAAGCTTCAAATGGGATAATCTGCATACACATATGTATATGTATGTACATACATATATACATACATGTATTTTTATGTATATACAATTTCAGCAAAGCCTTCTTTTTGGATTCACTAAGTAATAAAAACTCAATTGATTTCAAACTATTTTTAATTGTTTATGTTTTTGCCTCTTCACTCACCTTTTTGTAAGGATTTCACTTTACTTGGAATTTCGCTATTTTAATATGTACTTTTTCTGGTTTTTTTTTCTTGTTTTTTGTTTTTTTTTTTGTTTGTTTAATTTGTTGTTATTTGTTGTTTTTTTTTTGTTATTGGTTTTTCTCTTCGTTTGTTTGTAAATATATAAATAGGCAGCTTTACGACGTTTTAAAAACAAAAGGGCGCGTGTACGAAATCGTTTTCAGTATTTTATAGGTATTTTAGGTATTTTAACAACTATGCTTCTCAAATTGGTGGAAAATGTTTGACATTGCTTACTCGCTTTTGTTCTTGTTGTAAAATTTTGGTTCTTTGTTCTAGAATCTAGAGCATAATGCTAAGTTAGTTGCTTGTTTGGTATTTTTGTCGGTATATTTAGTATAGTACTCGTACTTTTGGTTTGCTTAGCTTTGCTGTGGAACTTACAAAATAAAAACAAAAAGGGAGGCGCGAGTAATAATTATTTTCTTTTTTGGGTTAAGGCTTTCGTCTATGTAAGTATGTATGTATAACATTCTTTACCTATTTGGTTTATATGTATTGTATAATTAAATTAATTTCATTTACTGTATTTTTTGTTTTGTTTTAATAGAGTGGCGTATTCTCTCTTCTCTGGCTTTTGGTTTGTTCTGCTCGCATTATTATTATTATTATTTATTTTTTTTTTTATTTTTTATTTATGTATATTCTTGAGTATTTTCTTGTTTGTTTTTCTTAGAAAAAAATTCTGGCGTATAAAAGCTTAATTTTGTTAGGTTGTTCTCGTTCTCGTTCTAGGTGTAACTAGAGGTAATCTTGAAGATACTCGTACATACATATATACATCTGTATGTATAAGCATATATATATATTCATATGACTACATCAGTTTCTTTGGCTCTTCTAACCGAATGTCCCGGCACAGGACCTGACCTGAACTGAACGGACCTTCGTCTGCCTTCTCTCCTTCTTTATATATATATATATCAGACTGAATTGGGGCGTTTTTTTTAGGCGAAAGTGAAGGCAAGGACATCACCATTAGACATTTGTGTGTAGTGTGTGGTGTGTGGTGTGAAGTGTAGGATGTTTTTTTTTTGGAGTATACTATACTATATATGCATGTATGTACAGCTCTGTCTGAATGTGTGTGGGTTTGTAAGACTCGCGATTCCTCGTCTGTATACATATACATGTTTATACTCGTATATGCACATATGCATGCCTGTCCGCTTTTGTTGAATATGCCATACATATGTATATAAATTTTTCAATATAAATTTCGACTAAATTGTTCGAAGTTCGCTTAGCTTGATCTAAAAATTGTAATTGCACCTTTCTTACCTACATTCGGTATTAGTTTTACTCTTAATTTTCCTTCACTTCCACATTCTCTTTTAACGTTTTGTTTTCGTTTTAATATTAAAGCTAAAGCTAATGTTAATGTTGGTATAGGTTTAAGTTTCTAGCTTGTTGAATTCTGCTTGAGTTGGTTTTAGTTGCTTTAGGTTAGTTGCTTGTTTCATAAATGTATAAGGCTCTGTGTAGTTAAGATCTAATAGACACCCAAAAGAAAACCAACCAAGGGTCAGAAGCGATTGGGAATAAGATAAAGAGGGACAGACATGTAGAGGAAGAGGAAGCCTTGAATGAGGTCAAAATTCCAGTCTAAGATCTATATAATGTGTCTAACGTCAGGTCCAAGTCAAGGGTCATCGAAATACTAAGCTAGGGCTATAAATTTATCAACACTAATCAGACCGAATCTAATGTCTAGTTTTTTCTTCACCTTCCTTTCCTTTCCCTTTCCATTTCCTTCTTCTAGTTAGTTTGGTTCGCCTAATAATAAATGTTTAGTCTTTACAAATATGTATCTATGATTATATTTAAAAAAAAAATGTATGTACAGTTAGACACCGCTGTGTCCAACATTCGTTCAACTTTCGACTAGAAATGAGCGCCTAAGCGTATGCAACAAATTTGTTTTCGCTATTCCTACTTAAATTTTGTTTTGATTCATTTTGGAGTATTGGAATTATATGTAGTATATATGTGTGTGTGTATGTATATGTGTGTGTGAGTGTGTTAGTTAGTCAACATGTAATACCACTTCAATTGCTTTTTGATTTGTTGATTTCAGATTTCAGAATTCAGAATTTAAAATGCTGTCGAAGTAATCGAACCAAACTACTAATCGCACTAAAACTAAGTAGCTAGTACGAGTATCAGCAGCAGCCCCAACCCATATATCCTCAAACCCCCCCCACATCCCCACACCTCCAGCAATTCCAGCAGGAAGACAGTTCATATTTGTATTCGTATTGCTTTTGGGAATGGGAAGGGGAATTGCTGCCGATCTCTACAGTATATGTACGTAATATTCAACTATAGGCAAAATCGAACCTCAAACAAGAACAGAACGAACTGCGAGTGAACTGCGACTCTGGCGACTTAAACGTAATGAAACCTTGCCTTTAAACTGCTCAGGACACATCTCTATTAGTATTTGTATATTTGTATCATTATCCGTACCATTATACCATTATACGAGTATATTGTAGTTTTGCTTTATGCTTTATGCTACATGCGCGTATTCAGCATGCTTCTCTAACAAATTTTCTTTGCGCCTTTCTCTTGCTCTTGCTCTTGCTTCGGGTATAAGCGTTAACAAATATTTATGTAATTTCCATTTTTGTTTGGGTACTATTTTCAGCTAATTTTTATCACAAAATATGTGTAGGTGTGTGTGTGTGTGAGTGTAATGAATATTAACATATTTTCCAAATTGTAATTCAAATACATATTTACAAGCTCTATATAAATTTGTTTTCTTTTTTTTTTTTTAGATTTGCTTTTTTATTTTCAAAGGTTTTCTTTCTCTCTTTTAAAATGTAGTTTCTTATATTTCTTTTCTTAGGTCTGTCGATTGTCGCAACTTTTTGTTAGTGTTTGTTTTGTGAGTGTATCTCGAACTCTTACTGAGAGTTCGAACTTACGAAGTTACCTTCGTTGAGTTAACTAGTTTTCTGGGGCTGCGCCTAGCCTAAGCCTAAGCCTACGGGGGAGGCCAAGCGAGTGGTGCGAGTGCTGCGAGAGTGCTCTTCAATCCGCGTTTCGTTAAGTTTTAGGACGGGCTAGATACCCATACGAGTATGTATGTATGTATGTACATATCAGCTAGTGCAATCAATCCCTAGGGGGCGATCATCTCTTCCAGCTCTCTCTTGGGTGTGTGTGTGTGTGTGTGTGTACGTGCTAGAGTGATAGTTCTGTGTGAATCTGAATCCTAGGCTACTCGCAGGATGATTATAGGCTATATGCTATGTACAATTCACGGGCATTGTTCGATCTCTGTCGTAAGCTTTCCTCCTCACTTTCCGCCTCTCACTTCAGCAGTTATCACAAAGTTATCCATGTATATACAACTAACCGTATCTGCGCACCATCCTTGTCTATCCATCAGTTATCCAGCGTTATCTACGTTATATCCCTTTCTAGTATATCCGTGTATATGTATGTATAAAGGTAAATAATTGCAGTAAATGTAGCAAAATCGTAAGCAATATGCTCTGCCTTAATCGTAATCGTTATCTCTATCTCTATCGCTATCGCTATCGCTAATCATCGCGGATCGGCTAATGGGGTAAAGTATCGAATATCAAGTATCGAGCACTTCCATTCAGTGTGTGTGTGTGTGTCTGTGTGTGTCTGTGTCTGTGTATGTGAGAAAAGCGAGATGGAGAGTTGTGGGAAGGTATTCTTACATCGAGGGATAGAGAGAGAGAGAGAGAGGATAGATTTAGAAGCGAGAGAGAGAGAGAGAGAGAGATAGTGATACATGTTGGAGCAGTGAGCTTTTTGGAGGTTAGCCGCTAGCTCTTGAGGTTACAGCATTTCCTTATCTTAATATATATTTGTAGTCTAACTAAGCATATGCATGGGCATGGCTGGGAGCGGAGTGCTCCCTCTCCATCTCCACTCCACCGAGTGGCTTATTTTATTGCTCCATGCTGCTGCTCTCCGCGGAAGCCGAAGCTAAAGCCGAGGTCGAAGCCGAATCCGAAGCTGTAGCCGTTGCCGTAGCCGTAGTCGAAGCCGAAGACTGATGCCGCAACAGAATCTTGGGCTAGAGGAACTCTCTGCCGCTTCTTGGACCGCTGCTGCCTGTGGGCGTTGGCAGCGTGGGTGGCGGCCCCGTGGGCGAGGTGGTGGCACTACCAGCCGCTGGCGTGCCGCTGCCCGGAGGCGTGGCCGCCAATGATGTCGGGGTCGTGGCTGCCGGTGTCGAGGGCAGCTGGGCCGCCGTAAAGTCCTCCTCGAGCAGGCGCAGGTGCAGCAGCTCCGTGGGACAAGCACCGCTGGGAGAGCCTGCCCCTGCTGCTGCCGCTGCCGCTGCAGGTGATGCTGACGCTGCCACGCTCGTCGTACCAGATCCAGCGGCGCCCGTCACAGCTGTGGTCGTTGAGGCCGCGCCGACCAAGGCGAGTGTCTGCTTAGGAGGCGCCGGTGCTTTCCTGCTCTTCGAGCGTCGCTTCTTGAGCATCAGTGGCCCCAGGCCGTTGCCTCCCGCGCTCGACACAACTGGGAGGCCTGGATTTAGTAGACCGCTGCCAGCGCCAGCCCCTGGTCCCGCTGCTGACGTGGGGGATGAGATGGTTATCACAGTGTCCACGGGCGTAGTGACCGTCACTGTGGCCGGGGTCGTGGGCGAGCCCGTCCCAGGCCCTGGCCCTGGTCCTGGCCCTGCCGCGACGCCGCTCGCGCCGCAGCCCGCACAGATCTCGTCGCCGGGCGTCGTCTGGCCGCTGCTGTTGTCCCCCTGCTGCGGCCCGAGCCGCTTCACCAGCTCGCCCAGCAGGTCCTCGATGCGGCCTATCCGCTGTTGCATGCGCTGCAGCTCTAGCCGCACGTCCACCTTCATGTCCAGGACGGTGGCGATGAGATCTCGCTGCGCCAGCGTGGGCGGCGTCTCGCGCAGGCCCGTGTCATACGTGTCCGAGGTGGTGGCCCGCGAGCTGGCCATCTCGATCTGGCGCTCCCGCTCCAGGGCCAGATTGCGCTCTCCCTTCACCAGCGCCGTCACTGCTCCAGTCCCGCCGCCAGCTCCGGATGAGCCCGGGCCTGTGAGCGCCGCAACTCCTGGCGCTGCTGTTGCTGCTGCTGCTGCTGTCCCTGCTGCTGTGGCTACCACGGGAGCAGAGGCCGCCCCTCCATCGATGACCACACGGCTGTCGCGACTGGGCGGGGAGGAGTCTACCTCGCCGCCCTCGTCGATGGTGTCCTGACGGGCGAGCGTCGCCTGGCTCGCCTGCAGCTTGGGCGCCTTTGGGAAAACCTGAAGGTGACGTTTAATGGAACGATGTGGATGCAGGTGGCATTGCCAATGCGGATGCAGATGCGGAGGCGTAGGCGTAGGCGAAGGACAGGTAAAGATTCAGGTAGATAGTGGTTGAGGTTGAGGTTCGGATAGGTATAGTTACAGTTACAGGCAGAGGTCGAGGTTCAGGTTGAGGTCGAGGCGGCAGGTTGAGGCAGAGGTAGAGTTGTGTTCGGTTGGAGGAGAAAAGTGAGAAAAGTGTTTAGGTTGTTTTTCGATTTAAATTTGATTTTTGTTGTTTGTTTTGTTTGGTTTTTTGGTTTTGTTTTGGGTTAGTTGCAAAAGTTGGTTTCGGGTTTTGTTGTTGAAGCATTCATTCGGTTTGTTGTTGGTTGTTGAAAGTTGTTGCAGATGTTCATTGTTGCAGTGTGAAAGGCAGATGGTGCAATTTGGTTTCCAATCGGTTGCAGGTTGTGTTGCATGGTTACAGAGTGGCAAGTAGTTCGATCGATGTGAAGCCCAATTCGGAATCATTTTTGAGTTGTTGTTGAAGGGTTTTTGTTTTTAATTTTTTTTATTGCAGTTGTTGTTGTTGTTGTCGCAAGCAATGTTTTGTGGATTTTTCAATATTTGATTTTTGTTTTAATTAATTTATTTATTTTTTTTTTTTTGTGTTTGCAAGAGAAAAAGTGTCAACGATAAACGGAAGAATAGAAAACATATCAATTGATTGTGGAATCAGTTATCGCAGTAATCATTCTAAAGGCAGGTGTGTGTTTGTGTGTGTGTGAGTGTGTGTGGGTCAGTGGTGGGGTGGTGCGTGGGGCTCATCACTAAGCGCACTACATTAAAATTGAGCGGCGAGCGGGGCTGGCCAGAATGCGGTTTACATACACAGCTGTGATAGCTAACATTAAACTAATTAATATCAATTAAGACGTGTAGCTAGATCAACTTTGGAATTCTCACAGTAAACGTTTAAAATATACATAGCGGTATATATGGTCCATATGGTTATGTTAATTGAAAAATGGCGTTTAGATTAATAAATTTCGGAATATCGTTACCGATTGATCCACACAACAGTTCGATAGCAATCGAAAAGGTCATAGATACGTAAAGATATCGGAATATCTATTTGCAAAGTACGCCAACTAATTTGTATGCAGCACGACTAAGACCAGTTAGTCGATGGTGTGCAAAGTGTGCCGGAAATCATTTAATCAATCACGCACTTATTGGCCCGCCCCTTCGCTCATCGAGTCAATTTTGTGCTAGAGTGTGGGAAAGCCAACTAACATAACAGAAACAAATTAAACTAATTGCTCGAGAACTTACTTTGCTTAATTGTAAATGCTTATCGATTGGATTGAACAATTGTCAATGGTTGATCAGAAATGAGAAAGTAACGAAATGAACGCAAAATGAGCGAGTAACGAGTAGCGAGTCGCGCAATCGGAATCGTTGTTATGAACGGATTTCGGCATTAGTAACGGAATCAAATTGGGGAAGAGCAAACGAATGGCAAAAAAAGATAGACAGAGTTCATTATTAATAATGGAAACCTAAGATAGACAATCGAATACATGTATGTATGTATGTATGTATGTATGTATGTTTGTACCTATCCATGTATAAGTGTATACATGGATGAGTAGTGTTGACGTGTGTGTGTGTATGGATTATCAAATCAAAACGACTCAAAATCAAAACGATATCAATGAAAATATATCAAATTTGAAAGTAATTCGAAACGTTCAACTTCGAACTGTTGTTGTGTGTGTTGTTTATGTTGAGCTTTGAGCAGTTAAGGGTTAGCGATTAACGGTAATTACTTTGTTCCCCTGTCCACCATTGCTACTCGAAGTACTACTCTGCCGCGCCTGGGCGGTGCTCTCACGGAGACTCTCGCGGGCGCTCAAACTTCTCGAGACGGCTACCTTGGCGCTAGTGTCGCTAGCTGAATCGACGCTTGAACTGCCCAGAAGGCGTCCCCACTTGCTGGCACGGGTACTCCGCGCAGATGGTGGACCCGATGAGGGCGAGGGTGATGGCGATGGTGATGGTACGGCGGCGGTCGTTAGGATGCGTGAGTCCTCGGTTAATGTCAGTTTGGCTGGTAGCTTCTTGTATATGTTGTTTTTGGTTGTAGATTGTAGATTGTTGTTATAGATTAAACGAGCATTTTTTGTTTTTGTTTTTGTTTGGGTTTGGTAGGATGATCGGGCGCAAGATATTTCGAAAAAGCGGGTAGACATGAGAAAGATAGATTGATAGATTGATAGATAGATAGATAGAGATAAGAAGAAAAAATTGTGTTGGGTTGTGGGAAAGGGATGGAGTTACAGGAGTTGCGGTTTCATTTGGCAGAGTTTTGTATGTGTGTGTGTGTGTGTGTTGTTAGGGTATTAATGATCGCGGGTGTGTGTGGGGCGGAGGGGAAATAATATAGAATTTTCCGTTAGTAATTTAATTTTGGATCAATTTCAGGTTAAGGTGATTTCAATTCAGCCAAATTCACAATCAATTTGGTACAGCAGAAGAGAACACAGTCGAAAAGTAAGCACAAATCAAATACAACATGTAAAGAACAGAGATAGAGATACATCAGATATAGAGGAAGAGAGAGAGAGAGAGAGAGAGAGTGAACAGCACGGTACAGTTGTGTGGCAAAGCATGTGTGTGGTGTGTGTGTGTGTGGGTGATGGTTGAGTGAGTGGGAGTGTGAGTGAGTGGAAACAGTTATGCGAGAAAACATGGTCAAGAAAGACAGAAACAAAGAAAGACACACAACGAGCATAAGTCACTTTTAATACAGATCACATTATTGGTAAATAGTATTGGTTAAGCAATTCAACGAGAATAACGTCAAATATCGACTATCGACTAGAACTAGAACTAACACACCAGCCACAGCGGTGGCATCCACTCGGTCCACGTCTGGTGGTTGTGGCTGTGTCTGCCGATCGCCCGGGGGGCTGTGGCTGGAGCTTTGTGTAATTGTGGTTAGCTAACGACAATGCTTCGAAAGAAATGTTAGTTTGATTACTTGGTTAACTGGAAATGCGGTACAGAACGAACACAAACATAGCCGGTAACAGAATATAAACGAAACAAGAATACAAAATATCACAGCTTTGGGATGTGCACTCCCCACGTGACCTCTAAAAACACAAGAAAACTAAGCCAAAATAAAGGTAAAAGGTAAAACCAAACACAAAGAGATTAAGATACATATGCAAAGTGTCTCTTCGGAGACCGAAGTTGCAGATTAATTAAAGAGGGAGGCCCTATCTAATGGGTATAGGAAAAGGCGCTGCTGCTGCGCTGCCGCTCACTTACACGTGTATTAGTGTAACAGTGCACCATGGGAAATTTGACTACTTTTCCTGGCCAAAACCAATTTTTCAAAATTAGTTAAAATAATATATTTGTAGCCCGAATAACATTGATCTTTAATGTAACGCAAACAAAAAAAACTAACAGTGTGCGCCACTGTAAAATTAACAGCTCTTACACTGATAGAAAACTGGCATAGTAAAAATAACTACAATCATATTTGAATTTAAAATGCCATTTTTAAATACAAACATAGTAAAATTTATATAGAATTCACTTTGATTCAAATATAAATGTATTAAAAATGCTTTTTTAATACGGTCATATTTAATCTAAATACAAAACACTTCAAAATAACTATAATATATTAAATTTGTAGTTTAATATGTTTCATATTTAAATTGAATATTATTATGATTTGATTTCAAAATTTTTCTTTTAAAATCCAAAGGAAAAACTTTGTATTTAAATATTCCATATTAAATTAAATCAAATATTTTTTGTATTTATTTTAACTATGTTTATATTATTTTTTATGTGCCTCGAATTCCCAACTAGATCCAGCTGTGCTGCATTGAATGAACAGTAAAATTATCTTAGCGCAGGGGCATAATCACAACCAATGCAGTCCTACTCATGTTGCGATTATTTCTAGTTGAAAACTTTAACCAATTCACACCATGAGGACTTGAAATGTAATTTGCGTACGCAAAATAATAACCAATTAGTTAAAAATGAATATAAATATAAATATGAAACATATTATTTAAATATTAAACATATTAAATTTAAATATGAAGCATATTAACATTAAATATGAAACATATTAAATTTGAATATGAAACATATTAAATTTAAATATTTCTATATTAATATCAAAATTTAAGTGAAAAATATTCAATATTAATACAACCACTCTTGGATGAAAATCAATGGCATAAATATTGAAATCCAAGTGAAAATATTAAAATTTCAGGGCTTTTTTTTATCGGTGTACAGTTAGCTGTTTGCTATCGATAGGCGAAAAGTTCTTTTTTCAACTTGTAAAAAGTGCTAACAAGTTGTAAATTCATCCAATTAAGTTAATTTTTGACCACTGCAGTGGTTGGTACCACTTCTTCACATAAACACAAACAGCCCCATGCTGTACAAATATGGCCAATTGATTAATATAGATACGTAAGCCCTTTACAAACCAAGAGGCAAGTCGGCGTATTACATAATTACACTATCGGACATGGGGACAGCAACTATACATATATGAGGACCCAATGCAAGGGGATAAAAAGAAAGGAAATAAAAGTAAAACATAAAGAGAGCACTACACAATAACGATAGCGATAACAATAACGATAACGATAACAATAACAATAACGAAAAGCACACATCGAAAGCACAATGCACAGCGAGAGAGAGCGAGACAGAGAGAAAGAGAAAGAGAGAGCAGAGAAAGCTCTTGTACTAACCTTAACCCGTTCGACCTCGCCGTCGCCTTTCTCGACATCGCTCTGACCAGAGCCCGTGCCGCCACCGACAATATCCTTGCTGCCGGCTTGGACCTGTGGTGTGCGCCGGAACTTGGAGAAGATCTTGCGGACGAGATGGTCCTGATTCTGTGGCAATTGCGGCTCGTTCTTACGCCGTTCGGCCAATTCTTTTTCGCGCTTCACATCAGCCACCTTGCGAAAAATCAGTCGATGTCTGAGATTGTAGGTGAGCACCAGATTGCGTGCAAAGCTATTCGCAAATGCCGAATAGAAATCGAGGACTTCGAGCAATTTATCACGTTTGATGGCATGCAAATCACAATAGGTCAGAGCGCGCACATTGGCCGCGCTCTGGCCAACGGCCGAGTCCTTCCAGAATTGATCGCCGAAGACGTCGCCTTTGCCTGCAACGGAATCGAAACGAAAGTGCAGGTGGAATCGGGGAAAAAAAAACGATTGGAATTGAATTTGAGATCGATCTTACCCAGTATTGCCACAACCTCATCGTCCTGTATCACCTCCAGGCTTCCCGTCACAATGAAGCAGAGACTGTCGATGCTCTCGCCGGTATGGTAGAGCAGGTCTCCTGGCGCCGAATGGGACATCATGAAGTGCATCGCTAAAGCCCGGAGACAACCATCCGAGGCCAGACGAAATGCCGGATGCTCGTTAAATACTTTGCGATTTAGATGAACACATATGTCAGCCTTCATATCTTTCGGACAATAGTTTAGTACCTGCGAATTGTGAATGAGTTGCGAGTGGCATTCTCTCATTGGGTTCGAATTGGATTGGATTGGCTTGGCTTGGCTTGGGTGTGGCTATGGGTATGGGTTTGGTTATGGGTTTGGGTTGTGTTAGCCAACCATCTCTAAGGGGCTCTGACTTGGCTTTGGCTTGGCTTGAAACCCTATGTTGGTGGTAATTGTTGAAGAAATTTGAACAGGACATACACATGTGCTTTGTGTGCGGACCAGAATCGGCCGCGGTTGCCACCTGAATTAATTAACCAAAAAAAACCAACGAATTAAATATTTAATGTAATTTATTTTGAGCCTTTGCATGTAGAATCAAATTAGATAGTCGCTATCGAATAAATGGGGCACCTCCATCGAGTTTTGTTCTTATTCAAATTTCTATTAAGCTTTTAATAAATAATGAACATCTCTTTATGGCTACATTTTAGCGGCAAGGTGGCAACCGGGCTCGCTCTCATCGACGGGATGGGTCCTTGGGGAGTTGATTGACTCTAGTGGCTATTGAGACACGCACACACACGAACACGAACACGTACACGTACACAAATACACATACAATATTAAACAGGTGTGTGCGTGTGTCTGTCTGACTTTCTGTGTGTGTGTGTGTGTGTGTGCTGTGAGCTGTCTCTGGCACTGGCGGTGTGGTTGTGTGTGTTTGAGTGCTTTTGGGCTGCTTCGTGGAGATTCCCCCCACAGAAGCAGCCGTGCCCGTTGGGCCAGAGGAGGGGCTTTGGGGGGGGCCTAGTTAGGGTTACTTAATTGCGGCACAAACTACAGTCAACGAAATAGGTATAAAGGTCAGTTTATTTGGCTTGAGCAACGTTGCATTCGATTGGTTGGGTAAACTCTCGTTATCAGTTGAACCAAACACCTTTGACATCACTTTGATGGGCGCACGCACCCCCATCCAGGTTGTGGTTGGTGGAGGGGATTACTGGGAATAAGGAGGGGGGGAAGGTGGGGCCGAAGGAGGGGGCACTGCGCTGTTTGGTTCAAGTTCATCTAAAGGCATGAGTTTGACGGACGCTTTTCGTTTTGGCCCGGATTTCGCTCGCGGGCAAACACAAACACGTGGGTGGAGAACACAGATTTCGATCGATTAGCTAAAGTTTTTGTCAAAAATGGTTGTTAGTTTAAAAGAGAGAGAGAGAGAGAGAGCTTAAATGATGCTCCCAGATACATATGTATACAAGTATATGAACCCACACACAGCTTACCTCGGACCTGCATCTGTGGGTGGGTGGTTGTGGTTGTTGTCTCAAACAATTTATAAATACGAGTGTTTTTTTGAAATGCAAACTGGGTGTTTTCTCTTGTCGGGAGGAGCCCATTTCCCGGAAAAGCGTTTCTGATCTTAGGCCTAATAATGCGAGAAGCGGCTTTAAAATAAAATGGAAAGCAAAGCGGAAAAGCAGCGCCAAAGTGGATTTGTCGAGACTACTAGACAGAGAGGTAAGGCGAGAGAGAGAGAGAGAGAGAGACAGATAATGTATGTGCAGTGTGTTTCTATGTGTGTTTGGTGTATCTGTACATTGAAGACTATGAAGACTAGCGAGTGGAAGATGTAAGTAGCGAGTAACGAGTAAGCTAAAATAGATAAGCAAGGGAAAATGAGTAGAGAGGAAACACTGAAAATGCGACAATTGTGGCACTATGCTGGTGATCAAAACTAGAGACAAATTTATGTGAGAAATAAATTTACTGCGAGTGGCGAGTAACGAAAGCTAAGCTGCCGAATCGTAGTCAAAATGAAAGATAGAGAATTGTATTTAATTGTATTTAACCAAGGCACAAGTCACGTGTGTCAAGTGACGAGTAAACAAAAATTTACTTAAGCAAGTGCGCGAAAGGTGTGAAGAATAGTGAGAATGGCTGAAAGGCAAATTACTGAGGAATATCAGTATATGGATGATAGCGACGATTCGTTAGCACTAAGTAACAAATAACTAAGTAGCGACTGGCACATGGAGAAAAACATACATACATACATATGTAAGGGAATTGATGAATAATGTAAACATTAATGCAAACGTGTGAGTGTGTATGCCGAGTGTGCTTTAGATAGAGTGATAGATTGAAGTGCTATAGGCTATAGGCTATAGAATTTAGCTAACTAAAGTATTTACAGGGGTAGCCCTTGGCCCAATACTTATTAATATCGAGATCCCATAAGTTTGGGAACTTTCAAAATTCAAAATATTCAAATATCCCTGCTGAGATAATGCTTGAACGCACTTAAAAGTCTTCTCAGTCCTTTCTCTGAATATAATTTGATGCATTTGGAATGAAGCTTGGAGCTGAAAGCTGGCTGGCGATAAAAAAGGCTTAAGCAACCCCCGAGACTAGGATCTATTTGATCTAAGGGAGTCATTGCACTGGGGGATCTCCCAAATAGATAGCCAGCTGGCATGATCCCCGGCTACTGCTGGATGCGAACGCACTACGAATTACTCACCTTCTCGGTGTCCAGACCCTTGGTCATGGCCCACGTGGAGACGACATAGTCCATCACGCGCTCACTGAGGGCCTTGGGCACCTCGTGCAACTTCATGAACTCCCTCACATTGTTGAGCATGTCGTGGTACTTGGCCGTCGCCGAGGTCATCTGCTGTATGATGGTGGTCACATGACCAAAGATTGTGGCATAAAGCAGAGCTATAAGCGCAAACAAACGTATACATAAAGAGAGATAGAGAGAGAGAGAGAGTAGAGTGTGATGATTAAGATTAAGCTGGCAGTGTACACAGAGTATGATTTGATAGTTTCTTTCTTGTTCTAGATTAACATTGGACACACAGCTAGAAGACACTGGATGTGTCGGTGTAAGGTGTCAGGCCTCTGGTGTTTGTGTGAGATGAGAAAGACACATACATATATGCAGTATAGTTTAGTTATCAGTGTGCGCTGAAACTCGCTGATTCAACTACTCGCTGCGAAAAAATAAAGACGCACAGGTGCGCGACTAGAACGTTAATAAATGCCACAGATTGGACTAGCAAACACATGGAATGGACTATGACAGAGACAGAGAAAGCAGCCAGAGTATGGTAGCGAATGAGAGGGAAATCTTCAAGGGACTGCATAGGCACAGCATTCTCTGGGGTCGTTGCCTCCTTTTGGTTGATCGAGTGCTGTGCCTGTGCAGTGACACAGGGAGAGAGACGAGGTAATGAATAAAGGGATAATGCGAATGCAAAGATTACAGTAACGAGTAAAACATAACGGATAACGAATAATGTGTAGCGAATAACGAGTAACGAGTATAGAGTAAACACATAAAGAAGAATTGTGCAACTGGATGACGATAGAACAGATGAAGGACACCTCAGAATGCTGAAATGCTGAAAGAGCGCTACATGGCGGACATGGCTACAGAATTCAATCAAAAACGGTGTGGCTAAATGAGGCTATACCAACTGGAGCAGTTTATTAGTTCTAGCGGCGCAAATTGATTGCTTAGCTTTTAAATGATTGCGAGAATCGGAATCAGAATCAGAATCGAGATCGAGATCGGTATTGGTATCGGTATCGAGTTCTATTTAAAAGCGTGACGCGTGTGCGGGGTATTCAGAAACTTGGACGCGGCAACGGAACGTGTTAAGGACACAGCACCTGCAATGATCATCATGCAGATGGTGAACACCTTCTCGTTGTCTGTCTCCGCGGCGACATTGCCGAAGCCAACCTGTGGATGGGTAGAGAAATACGGAGAGAGTTGAGGAATCCATTTGCGGTAAGCATGAATGTGGTTCAGGGCTGCGCCCCGCTCACCGAGGTCATGCAGGTCATGGTGAAGTACAGGGCCGTCACATACATGCTCTTCCTTGACGGCCCGTTCACCAGCTCTGGCCCAGTGTCATTGCTCCAGATGTAGGAGTACGGGGATTGCGTGACATTCGCCAGCTTCCACAGCCAGCTGTATTGGATCTGTGTGTGGATGGGGATGGGCATATTCAAAAAGAGAAATAGATTATCCTTCGGAGATGAGGCATCCATGGGGCATGGGGCCTTACCCCATTGTCCGCATCGCTGCGCCCAATCGAGTACCAGATGCAGGCCAGCCAGTGGGCCACCAGCATGTAGAAGCAGAGCAGCAGGATCAGCATGGCAGCTCCGTACTCCAGGTAGCGGTCGAGCTTTCGCACAACCCGGCCCAGGCGCAGCAGGCGCACCACCTTGAGGGCACTGAACAGGGACCCGATGCCGTCCTCGTCTCGGTCGAACGCATTGAAGACATCGTATGGCAGGCAGCTGAGCAGATCGATGATGAACCACGACTTGAGGTAGTTCATCCGTATCACCTTCGGATCGCTGACCACCTCGCCGCCCGGGCCCACGAATGTGGTGTGGAAGTTTAACACTAGAATGGAGCACAGAGAGGATCAGTGATGGCTGCGGGAATATAGAGAACCGCCACTTACCAATATCTATAAAGAATATAACATCGACTATCGAGTCCACCACGAGAAGGGAAACATCCTCTGAGGTTTTATTTTTAAACGCTACATTGTATGGCACCTGCAAGAAATCAACAGAGTCAGTAAATCGATTCTTAAGACTTTCTCAGCTGACAGCGGACTGGGCGGAGGATAAGGAGGAGCACTAGGAGGGCTAAGATAAATGAAACACGGATCGGCGCATACAATCTTCTCATCCATTGAGTAATGCCTGAAGATGTACGAATGTGTGGATGGAAAATGTACATAGGCTGGGGGCGTGGGGAAACTGTCTCCTGGATGTCTTTGTTCACTGAAGATTTGTCGCTGTAGTTCCTGGCACTGAATCTCCGTTGCAGGAGCAACAGTTGGCCCATTGTTGATTTCTCAACTGTTGCCCCAAGTGGCAGTTACAAGCCTCTTATCATGGCGGGGCTTGGGTTGGGGGCTGCCTGGATTACACACGTCTGTCTGCCCTGCCTGACTGCCTGCCTGACTGCCTGCCTGCCTGTGTTTCTGCCACTGCTACAGAGCTGAGCATATTAATTTAAGCACATAAAACATAACAACCTCCCCCCGTCCCCAGCCCCCCCCTAAAGCTCAGGCTCGAATACGGCTGGGCGTAGAATATGGTAGAATGGTGTTCAGAGGAGGGCTGCAGAGCAGTGTCTGAGCAGCCACTTGGTCATGTAAATGTGTGCACTTGTCTGCCACTGCTTCTGCCTCTGCCCCCTACCCCTACCCCTGCCTCTGTCTTCTGCTTGCCCCTTTTGCACCCAGTTTGAACGTTAATGTCTGGCCAAGAGCATTATCTGATTCCTTGACTTGCACTCGAGCCCCATACGATCCCAGGCAAGTGCATTTGTGCCAGATGGAGCTTTGCGAGGTGTTTGCTTTAAGCTGCTGCTGCTGCTGCACAACAGCCATTCACACGTAGCAGAATTTGTTACAGCAAATTTGCAGTTTCGTGTAAGCAAAGGGCCAATTGAATCGGTGCTAACATCGGTAAAAACAGAGCCCAGATCTGAGATGTTATTTAATGCAAATAGGAGCATATTTTATGACAGCAAATACCATGCGAATCCTCTGTGAATATTTAAGACAAGGGCAACGGAACACACAGAGCTCCAGCTCTGACCAGCTCGAGATTGAGCATCCCAATTTATATGAAAAAATATCCACAGGCGTTGCTTTTAGACAGTCATCAATAGAATCAGGTGGGGATTTTCCATCCATTCCCTCCCTAATTTGTCTCTGCTGAAAGAGACATTTCCTCCAATATGTTTTACTCCTCTTACTAGTGACAATTTCCCTGCATTGTTTCTGTACTCTTCTGCCATCATGCTTATTGTAATCGTACCCAGCACCACCGCTACCAGGAGCTACTGGCAAAGCTTCAGATATGTCAGTTTATCTTTAAGTTTTGACAGTAACTAAGCCAGAGACCACAAGCAACCAGGAGAGAAGAAGACTTGCAAGAAATACGAGTACTCGCACCGCAGAATATCATTAAGCAATAAGAGAACGAAAACTGAAACAAGAAAAAGCCATAGAACGGCAAAGTGCAACTTTGGTTTGGCAGACAACAGAGAATTAGTGGGGGTGGGTGCTGGGACCTCAACCAGAGAGAGGGCCACATGTGTGAGGATGCGGATGAGGACTTGCGGGCTGCGGGTGCGGATCTTGCTGAGGCAACTTGGGCAGAGCGCAATTTAAGCGAAAATGTTAACATCTTCTTGACGGAAATAGACACAATTTGAGCAGACAAGCGACGAGGGGCTATGAAAAGGCGTCGGAGGCTGCTTTGTGCACATACACATGCATACATATGTGCCACGCATTGAGTGATGGGCACTCTAATGCCCTCTAATGCCAGGGGAACATGGGCTCCCAACATAGGCAACGCCCTGCTTTTTCCTCTTGCCTGAAAGTCGACTATCCCATGTCAAAAAGTATGTTCAAGTCGTTGTTTAACATGCATAATGTTGGCGTTGTGGATAGGTAGGAGAGCAGGGGGAGTAGAGATTTTAGGCGCTGATAAAAAAGGAAAAATAAATAGCGTAAAAGAAAGGAAAATTAGGAGATTAGATGGAAGGAGAGAAGCAAGCTAAGGGAGAAGAGCGAGCGAGGAATAGATTTGAAAGATGATCAAATGAAGAGGAGTAAATGGCAAAGGAGGCAAGAGGATAGGATGAAGGGTTTCCAAACGATGTAGGGCTGATGGGAGATGGAAGCAGAGATCCAAAGATGGAGAATCACTCACCATGATGGCGGTATAAAATGTTAAACACAATATCACCCAGTCCCAAATTGCTTTAAATGCACAATAATGCAAGAGTATGTGTGGCGGCGTTTTCGGCGCTTCCTGTCGGTACTGTGGCATAATATCCGCGCTCAGTGACATCATCTGCAGTGAAAAAGATACCATATAGCCAAGGATACATATGTATATAGGTATAGTGGACTGGTGATGGACTCACATGCGCCAGATTGGACTGCTTCGTGGGGTCCTTCAGCGTGGGCAGATGGGCGCTGAACTGGCGGCTCCGCGTCACCGAGCGGGCCAACTTGGCGAACTTGGAGAGACCTAAAACTGGCAAAAATAGATTAACCGCTACAATGGATGACAACACCGACACAGACACCAAGAAACGTAACATAACCGAGATCGCAACGGAGCGAGACGAACCAAAAAATAACGGCAGAGATAGAGTTAGAGAGATATACGATACGGTACGATACGGTACGGTACGGTACGATGCGATACGGATACGTATACGGATACATATATTGTTTGCAGATCGAATTGGGTTTATTGTTGAGTTTTCGTTGAGTTTTTTTGTTGTTGTTGAATTGTTGTTGAATTGTTCAATTTGTGTAAGCATAATATATATACATGTGTGTGTGTGTGTGTGTGTTTGTGTGTATGTATATTGTGTGGTGTATTTGGGTGTGTTGTGTTGTGTGTGTGTGTGTGGGGTGCAAGTGTGTGTGCGTGTGTAGACATGGAAAGAAAGAGCAGAACAGTAGAGTGATAAGAGAGTGCGGAATGGATACCCTTACCTCAGAGCGAGAGATTGGATTGGGTTGGGGAACAGATCGGATAGTAAGATCGGATGCTACATACATACATATGCACAAACTATGTACATACCATACATATGTACGTATGTATATATATACATATATCAGAAGCGATAACCACTTACCTCCCTTGGTATCCTCGCTGTCGATGGGCTGCTTGAGGGCCGTTATATCCCGGAAACGTCAACAGGAATAGCACAACCAGATCCCGTTCGTTCCGTATGGGCGCAACCTGCAACAGCAGCCATAGCGGGGTCTCTGCGGCAACAGAACAAAAAGGGCAGAATTAATAAAAATTGTCCATAAGCCCGAAGGGGGATAATGATGATGGGGCATGATAATGTCGTCATTACTGCTCGTCCTGTGTGGCCACAGTCGATTGCGCTTTCCGAACGATAGATAGATAATCCCATTCGAATTCAGGTCACAACAGGTCACAACAGGCCCCCACAGACCCCACAGACCCCAACCCACAGATCAGGGACGGACAAACATTTCATTGGATTGCAATTATTGATATGAAACGTTCGATAATGTATGCTGGATGCCGAATGCCAAATGCCAAATGCCGATTGCAGACAAATGGCCGGGCAGAGTGTGGCATGAAAATTGCATGCATGTACAGTGCGTTGCATTGTCGTAGGCCCGTGGATAGCATCTGATGGCTGATCGATTGCCTCATTCGCTAATTACAATGCGGATTCAATGGGCTCCAATATTCGAAGAGATCTGGGCCCCCAATCGGAGTCAAAGCAGACTGTACGTTAAATAGATTGAGTTTTGATAGTTTTGTGCGGCACTGTCTGTGGGGGCGTGACTGGCATCAGAAATAATTGCAGCTCTCTCCGCTGGTGTGCGTAAGTGAGAGTGTGGGCGGGAATTGATAATTATTATCTAATTGCAAGCGCAATTTGCTGTTTCCGCTTCCGTTTTCGTTTCCGGTCAATGTTTATGTTCCCCCTTCCCCATACCCCATACCCCTGCCTTGTTCTTATTAAACGCTGATTGAGCCGAACAGATTTAATTCATCGCCACTGGCATATAAAAATCTGTCAGCTGTCCAAACTCATCCAAATCGTGCGATTGCCAGTGCCAGTGCCTATGCCCCATCCTCAATCCCCGCATCGAGCGCATTCGACCCTCCAGAGACACCTGTCAGCGATATTCAATCTGTTGGATTTCCCGCAGCTTCGCTCTTTTGTTTGTGCGGCTGAGTTTTCCTATTGTCGCGCCCCCGCTTGGGCCCGAATCCAATAAGACTGGCGGGGGGGCAGAAGGAACAAAGCAAATATTTTGCTTAGATCTGCTGCTGGTTGGCAATGGTTTGCCATTGCTGCCAGATTGAAAACTCATTTTAGTTCCGCATTGAGTTCAATTTCAATTGAGATCCTGATTTGGCATTGCTCGGTCCATCTGTGGCTGTTGTTGCTCCATCTGTTGATGCTCCAGTGGCTGCACTTGATTTATGCATAACTAATGCTCCCCACCCACTGACCCCATCTCATCCCCGAACCCATACCCATGCCCATATGCAACAGGAAGTACGAATATTGGTGCGGGCGGACTGCCAACACTGCCAACGTGATGGTGTACATATATACCTTGTGTTTGCGCCTTGCCAAACTGGGAGAGGGCGCAGCCACACTGCACATCTGAAAATTGATACTCGAAGGCGTTATTTCATAGGTTTGCCAATTCCAATTCCAGGCCCCTCTCGCTGCCAATATGAGAGGTGGGCTGGGCGGCTGCTGGCTGCTGGCTGCTACTTGTTCATTTGGCTCTTTCCTAATAACTAGCCTACGCTTGATTCCACTTGATTTGGCTGGGGGATATACATATAGGATTACAGGCGGGGGTAGGTAGTCGCTGGATGGTGGCACTGTGGGCTCGTCTCAGGTTGATTGATGCGCCTCACTCAGACCCAATTTGTTGGCATTAGAGCGGCTGGGGAAAGGGGTGTGTGGAAGGTGGGGTGGTGGGGTCAGGTGGTCTGGAAACGAATGAATTATGAAAGGTTGCGACCCGGAGTCAGGGGCCGGAGATGAAGTCTACGAACTGCAGCCATTTATAACGAGCCAAAAAACCAAGTAATGTATGACCCGGGGGGTGGGTAGACTTTGATTTGGGTTCAGCTTGCGACTACCAGGAGATCTGACACAAGCCATTTAGCATACGCACAAATCGAATGGGAGTCCGGACTAGATTTACGGCTGGGGTTGGGTCTGGGGTTGGGTCTGGGTCTGGGGCTAGAGGCTTGGGGTGTTCCGCTACTCACTGTTTTTCTTGTAGAGCAATATTTCGAATTGATCCTGCTGCTGGTTCTCCAGCGTGTACTCCAGCCGTCCCACCGTCTCCTTGTCTGTCAGCTCGCCGTACATGAAGCCGCATCTGGATGGGGGTGTGGAGGGGGAGTGGTGCAAAGAGAGTTGGAAAGAGCAAACGAGGTATTATTCTTGGTTAGCTTTAAGCCCGATGCATGCCGCACACCAAAACACACACACACACACAGATTCAACAGATACATGCACATGCAGAAAGAAATTGCAAAAGCTAAAACAGAACACAGAAAACAGAACACAGAAAACATTCAGAGGAACGCAAAGTGAATCGGAAAGTGCCGAACCAAACCAGAATGGATGGATGGGGCTAGATGGGGGTGCACACAGTCCAGGGCCAGTAATGTTAAGGGGAAATAACTGCTTTCGAATGCCAAATTATTTCCCCAATTGAGGCGGCCATCGAAGTGGCACTAAGTAGTCCGAATGCGAGTGTCCAGCTGAACACTTTCTCAGGATGCCCTAAGGTTATAAGTAAACGTTTGTCGAGTCTAGATTCGGAAAGTTTTCCGGTGTGTATTTTACAGTGAAGTGTCACGGGGCGGACAGCAACCTCTTTAATATTCATAAATGCAGCAATTAAAGAACAGAAACTACAGAAAGTTGTTTGCCTTTAAGAAAGCTGTCAATCCTGGGAATACTTACTCCCACCACCAAGGTATGGCCACCCCAGAGAGGGAGAGAGAGAGAGAGCTGTTGCCCAGTGGAGCTCGCACTGTGTGGCCAATCAATGCAGTATGAAATCTAGGCAAAGGCCGAACCGAACACAGTGTGGCTGTCCTGGCCGCTGGTGTTCGTTTTGGGATAATTTCCCATGAAAAGTAAATATTTAATGCTCATGTTTTTCGGTGGAAGTTGAGGCGAAACTTTTGCTTCTTTTCATGTTGATTGCTTGGGAAAGTTTGCAACATGCTTGGCATTCCGTTATTGAGCTGAACACACACACACACACAAAACAGAGCTCCGATGGCATCACCATCACCATCATCATCATCAGCCAGGGCACTGGATGGATTGCAGTACAAAAAGTGTTGCATACTTCTGGGAATCGCATGCCATGACGTCAGCAGAAGCAACGAAACGAATCGGTAATGAAACAAAAACGGAACAAGAGCGAACGAAGCCCAACGCAGAAACGAGTGGGGAGGGAATACGGGGAAGAACAGTTAATTTCTGTTTTGTTCTTTTTCCCTACAAATGTATTTGTGCCATGACAAAAGTTCAACAAACTATGTTCGAGCGAATCGGCGACGTCACGGGCTCTGGCAGAGCAGCGGGCGCCTCATTTCCGCCGCTCAGCTCGGCAACTATTTTTCCCCCCAGTGCAGTGTGTGTGTGTGTGTGTGCAAGTCTGTATATGTGTGTATGTGGCATAAACCCAGACAAAAAAAAACAAAAATATACAAAACAAAATTGGGTTACAAAAGCGAACATTTCTAGCCCGGTATATGGTACATGGATATGTGAACAGCATACAAATGCAGCGAAAGCTCCACAGCGGCAGATATATCTACCTTCGGATCGAATGGAAGTTGTGCATGCCAAATTGTCCATGTTCCAAGGAGAATCAGGGAATACGGAATAATTCCCCACAAATAATTCATGGCTTAGAAATACATAGACACTTTATTTGGATGGTCTGCTACATGGCTTAAATATATTCAGCATTATTCAGCAGTATTGGTGTTTGTTATTGTTCAGATGTTTCTGATAAACAGGAGAAAGCATTTCCGATCCCACCCAGTGTAGTAGTCTGCTCGATCGAGATGGCATGTTGCGTCTGTCTAGCGATGTCAGTCGCTGGTCAGTCTGGTTCTAAGCAAATTTGTCCCTCTGAAAGATATCTCTACTTTTCAGAATCGTACGCATTAGCTGTATTATACCTCTATATCCTATTTCTATTATACCTCTGAACAGCTAACATTGGGGAACTGATACTGGTTCGGATTGGCTCGAGTTCGGGTCAGTGCCCCAGCCGCGGAAACAATAAGTAGGTATAATTATTTCTGGCGCACTTAAATTTACGTTTGGTGTGAGTGCCATCTGTTCAGGGGAAGTTTGCCAAATCGAATTCCAACTGAAAGTAGAAAGTAGAGCAAATAAAGTTTTTATGGTCGTCGAACGGCAGGGGGTGTTGTGCTGGTTCGCTGAGCAATCTGTTCGCTCTTCTATGCAGGCTAATGAGTGCTATCCCATCCACTGGAGTTATATTGGATTGCAGCTCAATTGGGTAGACAGGATCCGTGGTATATATGTAGGTGCCAGTCTGAACAGTTTCTGTCTGCCCCCTCTCACACACACTGTGCGGAGATTTGTTAGGGGGATTTGTTCGGAGAGGACTACTGCCCAGACTACTTCCAAGTTGCATGGAAAAGGCACGCAGTTGGGCAAAGGCATCAAAGGAATCACTGAACGATTACTTAGCCGCTTAAACTATGTATATCGGTTTCCTTCTCCTTCCGCTTTCTACTTCCCATCTGCCATTCTGTCTCTCTCTCTCTCTCTCTGCATCTCTTTTTATCTTTGCTTAAGTTTGGTTTTCGTTGGTCAACGTTTCTGCTTGAGTTTCGTTTTCTTTTTGCTTAGTTTTCGCTAATCTTTTTCGTTTTTCTTTTTTCACACTCAACCACAGAGCAGAGCAGAGCAGAGCAACAGAAACAACAAAAAAGTAGGTCAAAAAAGCACACACTGACACTTAAAGAGAGATGAAGGGAGAGAGGAGTGAGGGAGGAGTGGCAAATTAAAGGGGGTGGGGGTATGGGTATGGGTATGGGTATGCATATCTCTAGCTAAACGGTAGATTGGCATTAAAAAGTTTATGGTTTTTTCGGGGCCAAGCAACTGGGGAATCATCCGCTGATGCTGCAAGTTTAGTAGGTGCGTTGAGGTGCGTTGAGGTGTGGTGAGGTGAGGTAAGTAGTGACGCTGGGCTTCCTTGCTCTACTCCACTCTCTTTGTGTGTGTTTGCCCGTGTGGCTGTTTGGCAATTTTTGGCCTGCGAATTACACACAATTCTCGGGAGATTCACGGAATCCATGGGCCTCTGTATGGGGCCCCCGCTTGTTGATTTATGAGCTGCCTGTTTGAGGTCAGAGCGTGGCGGGGATAGTTCTTCACAAATTAAAGCAAACAAATGCAGTTAACACTTGTGTGTGGGTCGTGGGTCTGGGGTCTGTCTCTCTCCCCATCGCGGCATCTATCGCCAAAGCTCTGCATGGTATATTTTTTTGGTGCGCAACCAGACCGGAAGGCAATTTGAAATGTAGATGGGAATGGGAAATGGAAAATGGAAAGGGGAACAGGCAACCCACGAAAGAACAGAAAAAATAGCCACAAACATCCTATCCTTAACTAGGGCGAACTCGCTCCTCTGCTCTCCTCTCCTCTTGGAACTGCTGCTTGCTCCCACCTCTCAACGGCAGCATCCAGTTGCAGCTGCCTTAATTGTTGCACACTGCGCTATAAACAAAGGCCACTCAAACGGAGCGGCGAAGATAGTGAATGGAAGAGCTGTCCATTTGCATTAAGCAGCAAAGTGCATTAAGGTTCGACAATGGATTTTTAATGGTCGCCTCGAATGGCCTGACGGTACGGGAACGAAAGGTAAATTAATTAAAGGAAAACTACGCCAAGCAGACGAGCAGACGAAAAACAATAAATGAACTTCACATTCATTGTTCGCCAGAAACAGCTGGGGATAAGCCGTTAAGCAGATGAACACGGCCAGAGATGGATGGGGCTCTAATGGGGTCAGGGCAGGGGAAGTGGGGTGCGGTGCGGTGGGGTTCAGGCCAGGTGCGTAAGCATGCTGTTAATGATAGGATAGACAGTGTGGATGGAAGCGGATCCATGGAGTGGTGTGGGGGAAGTACAACAGTGTGGGAGGCGACGCAGCAGAAATCTCTTACAATCTCTGGCAATCCTCTTAGCTGGCAGCTGCACCTCCCACACCCCTCTATCTATTTCCACTCTCCCCTGATTCTGATCCTGATTCTGACTCTGGCTCTCTGGCCGTTATCCTCCTCCTCCTCCTTCTGTAGGATTATGTAGCTTACAGTTTGAGCATCACAGCTAAAAAGCTAATATTTACACACGAAATGAACATGCAACGCTAATAGAGATAAAAGCAAAAGAGATACTTAAACAGAAAAGCAGAATGAAAGAGGTAGATAGGGATATATACTTATATATCTAGATTAAGAGTACAACTAAATAAAATGCCTGGGAAAAAGGAATAAACTAAAATAAAATAAATTATTAAGGAAACTTCAGCTTCAGGGACCAAAGTTCTTGATACCCATCCAGATCGCTTGTTCTTGTGACAGTTATACGATACTGAAACACAGTGATACGTGATATACAAGTAAAAATGTCTGCAGAGTGACAGACAAATGGTCTGACGGACTGATGGACTATTTGATGACTTTGTGTATCAATTAGCCAATTAAAACTCAGGAATGTATTCCCTTTTTATGCCTTTAAAGCTCCGCTACACTTACTTCCCTGCACGACAAACTTCTGGCCAATAAATGCTAGGGTATAAAAATAACGAGAGGGAAGGTTGTGAGTCTCGTCAGTGGCCGCGACTCTACCTTTTTACCTCATATCTTGAGTTGGCTCACACTTTCCATGAGAGTTTGTATTCTGTGTCACAGAAGTCTGCAAAGAAAATCGGATTCCTCTAGCTCTTGTAGTTTCGGAGAACTAGCCGGACAGGACGGACAGACAGGACATAAATATATCGATTCAGCTGTCCTTAAACTCTTCGAGTACCGGGCATAATAATGAATTTTCAGCTAAGTGGTAGATTTTGTGGATCCAATTTTTTTAACCCATCATACATGCATTTAGTTCGTGCCACCATTAAGGCATCCAAATATCTCAAGAAAGAAACTGAACGAATGAAATATTTTCGTACATACGCGCGTGTTAGCACATGTAATACACTAATAGAGTAACACCCATGAAACCATCAAAAACAGTAATAAGATGAAAAAAGTGATGAAAACAGCAACAGCATCAGCAACGAGAACAAATAACGGGAAGAAACAGCAGGAAACAACAACGAGAACAGAGCGAGTTCGGAGTGAGAATAAATCGGCAATACGTACACATACCTGCACGACTTCTGCATGACCTCGGCCCGGTTGTAGCCGCTGATCTTGCAGAAGGACTCATTGCAGTAGACGATCGGAAAATCGACGATTTGTGCGTTGGCCAAAAGAAACGAGCTGTCCGCTGGAAGAGAAATGAAGATTTATAATATTAAAAATATTGTATGCAAACTAAGTTAATTTATATTCGCTTAGTTATCTTAAATTGATATGGTGACCTTCTACCAGTTTGAATATATCATATTTTTGGTTAAGGCGTACTCGTGCTTTTATCCCGCAATTCAGAGTTTAGACTCTAAACTTAAGAGATACTTTATTAGTTTTGCGGTAGATGTGGACAACGTTCCCGCTCGTTTCATTCGAATGGGCTTGCTCGACTTTGCATAGCTTGTACATCGACGTAAAAGTTCTTGCTGTTGTTATTATTATTTATGTGCAACCAACACTTAATATAGGAAGGATACATGTCGATAGTAGAAGCAACCCATTGATAAATGAAGCCCGCAACGGGAGCGTTTTATGTGCAGCCAACCTACATAGTCATGAATACCTTTCCACACATAGATACTCGCATGCTCACAGTATGCAACAGCAACAATGTGGCTGCTGTCAGTGGGTATGTAAGCTATCTAGTTGAATGCCCGTATCCGTTGGAGTTTATCAGAGTACTCGTACTTTGGCCGTAATTGGAACATTTCAAATGTTGTCATTCATAATAAATATCGTTTTATTGACTGCACCCGTCCCATACATCGACCGAATGGCACTCAAGTGCTCAGTCATTCAGTGCGTCAGTCGGTGTGCTTGTCAGTTGCTTAGTGAGTCAGTGAGTCAGTAAGTCAGTCGGCCGACTAATGGCGGTTGTTATTGCTGAACGGGTGGGTTGTAAGCAGGTAACATGTGTAAACCACGCGCTGCCATCGCACGGCATGGACATGGACACGGACACGGACACGGACATGGCGTCGAACTGAAGGGGGTTTTCTGTCCCCTTCCCTTTTTCTCCTCTTTTATATGTAGCTTGTTGACTTGCTATGAGTTGTCGTTGTCTGTGAACATTTGCCTGGTTCTGTGTCGTATCACATTTTTCTTTGCTTTATTTCCGATTTATTAGCATTCAAATGCGTGCTCGTTGTTGTTTCAACAAGATATTATCTATTATATTCAGACTTTTCTCCATTGATAAGATTTAAAACGAAGGACTTTAGGTGCCCGCCCCAATCCAATGCCCTCCCATGCATTCAAATGTTCAACAGGTTTTCCAATAAATCTTCTTCAGTCATCTAACTCTTGTTTTAATAAAGATGTATAGAAGATTCATGATATTTTAATTTTATATTTCCCATTTGCAGCTGCAGTTGAGTCTAGTTTCAGTTCCTGCAGTTCCCCTAGTGCCTCTGAGTCGGCATGCAACGTGCTTTAATTCGATGTGCGACAGAACAGAGTCGAAATCGGTTGATGTTGCCTTTTATTGACATTATATAGAGAGGCGTGACTGGCGAGAGGCGTTGAGAGGGGCATGCGAGTGCGAGTGGATGGTGGGATAGGTGAGCAGCTAAGTATGCAAATGGGGCATGGGCATGCAGCCATGGCATGGCCAGAGTTGCGTGTTGCAGGTGCCAGACACGGCCAGAGCGAGAGAGAGAGAGAGAGAGAGAGAGAGAGAGTAGAAGTAGCAGGAGTATGAGCTGCAGCAGGAGCACACTAACCCACATTGACATGGACATGGCCAAGCCAATGAATATGTATAAAAATATTCACATGCAATGGCCCGATGGCTGCTGTTGGGAAATGGAAATGCATATTTATGTGTTTCACACACACACACATGGACTCATCTGCTGTTTTACGACAGCAACAAGGACATCAACATCAACAACAGCAACAACAGCAACAACAGCAACAACAGCAACAGCAACAACTTTTGCTACTTTTGCTACTTTGTAGTGTCAACATTTGCCCCGACGGAGTGGGCAGGAGCAGTGGGTGGCTTTGCCGGCAATCTCGTTACGCTCTGAAAGGTGATGGAGAGGCAAAGGCAGAGGCAAAAGAGGAGCGAGAGAGGGTGCCAAATAGTTTATACGTGGAATAGTTTAAACTGCCCTGGGGACAAACTGTTATACATACATATATATTTTTATTTATTTCTATTAATTGCATATTTTATATAATATTAGTTTGCTTTTTTTTTCTTTTTGTTATCCTTTGTATTGTGATTATTATATATATAGATTAAATCAAATTGAATTTTATTCGTAAGTTAACTGCATGACTTTCCACATAATTGATTCGTTTTCCTTCGATTTCAAGCTTGGGATAGTTTCTCTAGTGGTCCATTAAATAGAATACGAGCATATGAATATTTGGATATTTTGCCATATTCAGAGACAAATATAAAGGCCAGCTCACCGATAACTGTTTTACTATGTGGAAATTGCAGTGTAACAAATAATTAAATATCCTGTATCCTGATTTGTCCGATGCCTGGAGTGTGCAGTCTTGCCTTGTTCTTCCCGTCCCAAGCAGTTCTTTACCATACAATATGACTTGTGACTGATAGCTGATGTCTGATATCTGGAATAATGATTTCTTGTAATGTTGCTCTGGCAACGCATAAACCCCTCGGCATTGTGTGCGTGTTTGATTTTGCCATTATGTCAACGTCACAATATTTTACTTGGGAATGCGGTCGGTTGGGTGGTGCCGGGGAGCCGGGGAGCCGGGGAACCCATGGCTAAATATGCCAACTTGGCAGGCAATGTGTTTGTCTCCGTATGCGTGTGTGGGCCCCCCCTCCTCCACCGCCGCCACTCCTTCTCTCTCTGCTAGTCCTTCGTCTCTCTCCTAGTCCCTGTGGCTACAGCACTTAATGGCATTCAAAGCTGGCGCGCAAAGTTTTGCAATTTGCCTGGGCGATTTCTTCCCGGCCGCGATTTCTTTTTAAGCCGCCACATTCTGTGCCCAACCGCATCCCGTAATGCCCCCAAAGTGGAGTAACGGTAACCGGATTATGGCTTCAAGTGGAGCAACGGAGCCAAGCGGAATGTGGAATGTGGCAAACGGCAAACGGAATCTGTTCCGGTGTCAGCGGCAGATGAACAGGAAATCCAATTGAAAACAAGCTTCACAGCGAATGAGATTGCAGGGACTACATATATGTACATACATATATAAATATAAAAATAATCATTTTCCTTGCTTGAGTGACGGTTATTTAACATCTAGGAATCAAGTGACTGCATGTCGACTCAAATGTCCGGAATACTTGCTGTTGCTGGTTCAATAAATATTCGGTTGCTGATTCGAATTCAAATTTTTTAATTTCAAACGTCTTTCCCTTAATATTATCAGCCGCTACGAGTTTTGAACAAAAATGCCACTAGTCGCGTGCCGCAAAAACGGAACAAAAAAAAAAAAAAAAAACGGCCGCCCCAAAACAAAATTTATAAATCATAACTGTAGTGCTTAACATAAATAAGTATTTCGAAGCATAAAGATCCAAGTTGTTGTTAATTATTTGCCACAGGAGTGGTAAATGCACTAAGTATTGATAAACTCATCAGCTGTCACGGGCAACAAACTCAAGCAGCTGCCACAGAGCTGGAGTTGCAAATCCTGTCAGCAACCGACAACCGCAACCGCAAGGGAATATTCCAGGGGTCAGGGAACCGATAGATGTCCGACAGCAGCACTTGGCGCCGACCCCTTATCGACGGGCCCTGATTGCCCAATCATTTATGAGCTCGATTATGGATGATGTATGCATTATAAATGTCGAACGTTGACAGTTAGGAACCCCCCCCGACCACTCGTGTCACACCCACCTGGCACTCCAGCAGCGTAAGGCGTAAGGGCAGGGGAAAGCTACATTTTAATTAATGATTTTTTGGTTTTGATTTGAAAAGCAAGCAAAAGGCGAGCCAAGAGCCAAGAGCCCCAGCTGAGAGCAGACAGAAGCCAAAAGGCAAACCAGAGACAATCAGCATCTAGCACTTAGCCCGCAGTACCTTTTGAGGCACCGTGCCGCCACTCGGCTAAGCTGTTTGGTAATTTGCGATTCGTTGACAACTCAACCTGAAATATTAATGGGTCGCAAACAGAATACGAGTAAGTACTTGGAATCTGGGCTCGGGGTTCTTGGTTCTTGGTTTTGGCTATGGGTCTGAGGACCGTTCCTGTTCGCGGCAGGCGGTCCATGTTCCTCGATGATTGATGATGCAGCACCGCTGAACGTTCCCTTCCATTGCCAATTAGCCGTGCAGCATTTACAGTTGTAAGCTGACCGAAAAGACGTAGAAAGAAAAAAAAAATATAATAGGGAAAGCTACTCTTGGTGTTGTTGCTGGGGACCGTTGCTGTCGTTGATTGATTTGGATGTACATATGTGGTAGACCGCAGCCCGAAAAGAGTCCACCTAAGTGGATTTGTTACAGGCCTTGGCCTGGCTGGTGGGGAAGGGGGAGGGGGGAGTTGTCATGGGTGTGGAGACCTCCGAAGGATAGAACAAAAATAGTCCATTAACTAAATACACCATGAACAAACCATTCTCACACATTGGCCCACTGGCACCCAAACCTACACACACACAGGGACACACAGGGACACAGGGACCCACTTATATACATGCAAATGTGGTTGCAATTTTTGCTAAACTTTCATTTCCGCCTGGCCGCCGTACAGTGGTGCCAAAGCGGCGCTACAAGTTATTGTTTCTGCATTTCATTAGAAGCGATATTAACTTAGAGCTTTGGCCTGCGGCTGTGGCTAAATGATAGCTGCCAAATAACGATCTCTGCTGCCAGAACCATGATCTTAATCTCTACAAATTTATTCTCCTTAAGCTCCGAATTCGGATGGGACCAACAGCCGCTGCTTAGAATTTGTCCGGCTACCGTGGAACCACTGTGCACGGCCTTCCTGCTCTGTTACTTTTGCTTTTGCTTTCCTCTCAATCTCCCTAATCTCCGCTCTCATGTCGTTCCGCCTCCTCCTCCCCTCTGTCACTGGTTTGTCTCTCTCTGTCGCTCTCTCTGTCCTCTCTCTCTCTCTGGCTTTATCTTTGGCCATTTTTTTTCATTATTGTTTTGTGGTTTTTGCATTTGCCATTTTCGTTGTCGTTGTCGT